AATAAAGAAAAAGATGGAAAAGTCCAAAGTTGAAAACTATTCGGATATGACTGCAAGTGAATCAGAAAATGAAATTAATCAGGATAAGAAATCTAAGAGGAAACTGAAGTTTGAAGAGAAATCAAAGCCCAGAACTCAAAAGAATGCTGATGATTCTTGTGATGATACACCTATTTCTACTGATAAAAATAAAACTGATGATTCTAATCGTAGTGAAGTTGAATGTAAATCCAAAGAGAAGAAAAAACATATAGTTGATGCTTCGGGTGATTTTAAGTCTAAATCTAAAAAAGAAATTAAGACTGATAATTCCAATGACAGTGATGATGAACCAAACTCCAAAAATAAACCGAAAGCTGATGATTCAAGTAATAGTGATGAGAAACCTAAATCTAAACAGAAAAATGAATTGAAAGCTGATGATTCCAGTGATGATGAACCTAAATTTAAAAAGAATGAATTGAAAGCCGATGATTGCAATGATAGTGATGATGAACCTAAATCTAAAAAGAAGAATGAATTGAAAGCCGATGATTCCAGTGATGATGAACCTAAATCTAAAAAGAAGAATGAATTGAAAGCTGATGATTGCAATGATAGTGATGATGAACCTAAATCCAATAAGAAGCACAAATCTGGAAAGAAGCAAAGGGATAAAGCTGATGATTCCAATGATGATAAGCCTAAATCTAAAAAGAAAGAGAAACCTACGAAAGATTCCAGCAGTAGTAGTGAAGATGAGAAAGATAAACCAAGCTCATCTAAAGTCAAACCAAAGGTGAAAGAAATTAAGAAATCTAAATCTGATGTGAAGAAGACAAAAGAAAAGAAGACAGAGAAATATAATGGCTATTATAATGATGATGATGTTTCCAGTTCTGATTTAATCATGAGTTCCTCGGGTGATGATTTTCAACCATCAACTTCACGTCTTCGATCTAAGAAGGCCAATAAAGGTACAAAAAGTCATTTGAAACATTCAGTTGCTACTTCAAATACTGAAAATTTGTTTGAAAAAATGCTTCGAATTGCCTTTATTTTTTCAATATTTGCTTCCTTTTAAAAAAATATATGTATAATAACAGCTTTTCAGTATTTTATTGTACCCTTGTACACTGTTTCTGCGCTTTTTGTCCATTTTTGGGAGGCATAGGTAAACATAGCTATAGATTCCAAATTGATGTAAAATATTTGTAAAATAAATGGAAAGACTGTACAAGGGTTATTGTAGCAGCTTTTGGAAATATTTTTTATTATGACAATTTTAAGGTTGATGATTTTCCTTATCCCAGACACAATACAGAAATAGTGGAATGTGCAAAAAATTAAAAAAATCATCATGCTAATAATATTGATCAATGAATGAATAATGACATATTATTTGATAAATGTTATTCAATATTTACAGCTTCAGTCCATTTTCTAATGAAAATACAATTATCCCCTATCTCCGCTGGAAGATCATCATCCTTATTGGGTCCATAGAAATTCAAGATTTTTTTTCCTAGAAATAAATTTGCCTGAAAATGACACAAATTCATATTTCCAGATAATAATTGTTTCATTAGTTGGAATTTTAGGCTATTTTGAAAATCATGTTTTTGTTTTTGTACAAGAATGAATGAAAAGGATTTATCCTTCATAAATTGTCTGTATGTTGAATTCCCTAATATGATGTTGAAAGTGATTCTGTAAACATAGTCAGACAGTAAACCCTATTAATAAGTCAACTGTTATTGACTATATATAGATATTTATTTAATATTTATCCATTATAGTTAAAATGATTTCTATTGATTGTTTCAGTAGTGAAAAAGGGTAAAAAGAAAGTTGACAACTCAAATTCTGACAAAGAATCTGATTCTGATTTTGATTACAAGAAATCCAAGAAAGAGTTAAAGAAAAGTCTTAAGGAAGAGAAAGATTCTAAACAGAAAGCTAAAGATAGAAGAAAAGCTAAAGAAATGGAAGAATCAGATAGTGATACACTAGGTATGTTTTATTCCTCCTTCACATTAGGTTGGTTTATTTTATTTTGTGACACTGATTGCATAGATTTTTATTTACGATATTTGAACCCAGTTGATAATAAGTTACTTTTGTTCAGATATTTTGTAAAAAATGTGACCAACATTAGTGTAACTTTGGAAGAAAAAAAATTCTTTTGAAATTGGACTTATTTTAAAAGTGTTCAATTGTTTGTCAATTGTGCAAATTTATTTAATTAATTGATTAAGAGTTATCAGTTATTATACAACTATAACTGTAAATAACCTGCTTTTGAGGTTTCTTTTTAGTTTTTGGATCTAAACCAAGCTAAAATTGATTTTTTCTAGATAAAGAAATAAGTAAATTAGAGAAAGCTTTAGAAGTAAAGACATCAAAGATGAAAGACAGTGGTGATGATGATAATGATGGTGATGAAGACTCTAACACTGATAAGAAAAAACAAAATGGTAAATCTGAAAAAACAAAAGAAAAGACAAAGAATAAGAAATCAAAAGGTAATTTTCATTGTCTTGTTAAATGGTGAAACTTACAAGCATTCAGATAAGATCATAAGGTTTTGGCCAATAAAGGTGAAAAGTTTGTTTTTGTATCTCTTACTTACATACAGTAGACTGGTCCGTATTTGTTCACTTCTTATACTTTCCAAATATTGACATAATCCTGTTATTTTGCAAACAATAGATACATTTTATGTTCATGGTCACAGAATTCTTAAAATGCTACTAAATTTTTTTGTGTCAATACCTCCCTTTAATGTGGATTAGAAAACTGTCTTTAATATGTGGCAGTTCAATAGCTCAGTTGCGAGATGATAAGGGAATGTTAGAATCCTTCTTAATCTAAGAAAATTTCCAATACTCACAGAAGTCCTTCAGTGTCATCTTTCAACTCCTTTCATTAAATATTTGTACGGTATATTGTACATGTATAATGCACATCCCTGCTTACCCTCCAATATATCTGAAAATCTCTGTCACTGTAAATAATGGGCACTCCATTCTGCCTAGCTCATTCATACCTTAGTAAATACTAAGTTTATGTCAATATATTAGGAACTAATGGTGATGGTAGTAGTTCAGATGAGGAAGATGATGGTAAGAAGAATAAAGATTTAGTAGATGAAGACAGTAGTAGTAGTAGTGATGATACTATGACTAAAACATTACCAGTAAGTTATCCTGACTTATCACATAATTTATAAGCTTTCATTGAAAGATCTCAGGAGGTTTAATGTTCTGTTCCTTTAAATAGCAAGTTAGACTGGCATCACTGTCATGACACTTCTATTGTTAGCTGAAATTAAGATCTATATATTTTAAAGCAACTGTTTTAACAACTTTATCCGTTTTAAAACTGTTCATTTGAAAACTTGAACCAAACAAAGATCTGAACAATAAAAGATCTCAGCCACAAATTGACAAAAATAAATCTTTTTCATGCACAGTCATAATAGCAGGACATACTTATCTCAAGTTTTATTCTGAAAGAAAATTTTAAGTAATTATTTATTATAGATGCCTAAATTAAATGGTAAAGATGAAAATGAAGAAGCTAAGAAAGATTTGATAGCTGAGTTAAAAAGTGAAGATGAAAGTTCGTCTGTAGATGACGATTCAGGTTAGATAGATCATTTGTTCTGTATATTATGATTCCTGGACTGTCTTACTATGTGATCCAATACTGATCGCTAATCATTAGCTGTGTTGTCATTACATCAACTTTACTTTAGGAATCTATTCTGTAAGTGATGAGCAAATCTTATTCTGTAAATGAACTTTTCTAGACCGGTATAACAGTATACTTGTAAAATGTTGCACAAAAGGTTTAATGAAAATCTAATGTTGTGAATAATGAACTGGCACATGTGTTATTTACAGCCAGTATTTTATATGTCATTGTGACGGAATTGGTTATCTCTTGAGTTTTTATCTTAATAGATAATGATGTGCCAAAGAAGAAGGATAAGAGCAAAAAGGCCAAAGTAAAGGAAGAAAAAGAAGAAGAAAATTCAGATTCTGACTTTGAACCAACTAAGAAGAAAAGATTCCGTTCTAATTTATTGGATGCCAAAGTCTCTAGCTCTGATAGTGATAAACCTAAGAAAAAGATGTAAGTTATGGTTTTAGATAGAAGATAATTGATCAAGGGTGTCTATTAACCTTAATATCTCTGATTACATACTCATTCTGGGTATCAACACAATACCTTCATATTTCTTTCAGTTTACTCTGTCAGTGATGCAGATTAGAGGAGCTATATATGGAAAGTTCATCTAATTGTTCTGATTTGACAATAAACATAGCCTAGGTGCTACAAACTGTACACATTAAAGATTCCTCAACAGTTGGAAATATAAAAGGATAAGCTTTTGCTTCGATCTTTGAAAGATTTCCCTCATTGCACACTGCATGGCTTTGCTCATCCTCATTAGTTCTCATATTTCATTAGGATTTTTTATCTTAAGTTGATTATTTGTGAATTGTAGAAAGAAGAGGAAAGATAATGAAGATTCAGATTATAAAGATGATGTAGAAGAAGATTCAGATGAATCTGATATTGGAAGAAAGAAGAAGAAGAAATCAAAAGATACCACAAGTTCAAATTCAGAATCTGGTTCAGATGATGATAAAAAGAAGAAGAAAAGAAAACGAATAAAGAGACCTAAAAATTCTTCTGATGAAGAAGAAGATGATGTAAGTTTTTGCTGTCATCTTATTGTTGAATTTTATGTCTGAAGCTTTTAAAATGTAAAATTATATGAAATTAAGATCAATGATAATCTAAGTATGAAATAGATTTTCCATAATGTTTGTAAATGTATCACTTGTGTCTTTATTCCTGATTTTTGGTCTGATCTGTGGTTTCTTCAATTCCAGAAAATCTTCATCAGTTTATTGTCTTTCACAAATTAGTTGTTCAATAGTAACTAAATATAAAAAATATAATAGTAAACCTCTCTTCATCAAATTTGACACAGTAGTGTTTTAGATATGATATTTTTGAACTGTTTATTTTTACAGGATGAAAAAGATTCACCAACTAAAGGTGGTCGTAAGAAGATACGTAAAGTTATGTCTGATAAAAAGGTGGCTGATGAAACTAAAGCTGCAGCTAAAGCAGAAGAAGATAGAAGACAGAGAGTTTCAGATTTACAGAAAAAAGTAGGTTCTACATGTATTTGATGGATTAATAAATCCATGGTTGATATTTTTATACCTGTTTTAGTTCAATATAGCAACCATTACCCATTTCACCCTCAAGCTGAGGACATCTTAATTGAGCCTCAAAATACAGTTCAAGATCGTAGTTGCTTGCTGTAATTAATGCAAGCTTAAGTGAAATTGTCTAAGAAAGAAAAAGAACAACCATTTTTTACAAGGATAACAATTTAGCTTTTGAAGAGAATCCCTTACGAGAGTCCCCTTATCCTTGGCCAAATATCTTGCTATTGATTTTTCACAAACTATCCAATTACATCTGGGTTGACTGACATAACAAGGTAAGATGACTTATTCAAGGTCACCTGAATTCATACACTGACAGAGATTTGAACCCACAATGGCCATTTTTTTGTAGTAACCAGCAAGATTAGGACAGAATTGGTCAACACTAAAAAACTAATATTTCCACAGAAGGAGAAGTGTTGTATGGTAATTATTGTTATATACAACAACTATTGTTCTATTTATTTCAGTTTAACATAGTAACAGTAGAAGACTCTTCCTCTCCTACTAAATGTCCAATGACAACTAAATTAGTATTAGAATCTAATAAAGAAGATGAACCATTAGTAGCTGTCAATAAACATCTCATTAAAAAATTAAAACCACATCAAGTTGAAGGTAACTCATTTTCACTTTTTGATCTATTGCTGTCAATTGCAAAAGAATCTTCATAGTTGTGTGAAATTTAATGTTCACTTAAAATAATGGAAATATTTTGATATTAAGATATTTTTTAAGCTGATGGCAGCTGAATGCAAAATTTCATTTTTACTAGTAATTACACACCAAATAGAATAATATTCATATTATGAAATTTGGTTGCTTTATATGAAACCCAGTACAGTAATATATGATTTTTTCTTAAATCATTTTTCAGCGATACAGTTTATGTGGAGTTGTTGTATTGAGAGTTTAAAAAGATTAAAGAAAGATGAAGGTTCTGGGTGTATTTTAGCTCATTGTATGGGTCTTGGTAAAACTCTCTCTGTAAGTTCAATTTAGAATTGTAACAATTGTTACAATTGTTACAATATTGTAAGAACAATATATCATTCTTAAAGATATTGAGGTCTGTAGCACAATTTGTTAACCTGTCAAAATCTTTACTTGAAGTCATTTGCTAGGTTATGTTAAACAATGGTGGTTGTGGGTTCCAATCTTGGTTGAATTGTGAAAGCCTGGAGATTTTGAAGTGAACCCAACCTTTTATCTAATATTTTTTAATTTATCTGAGTTTTAAAAGGATACTACCTCTTAGAATGGACATTTTTTGTCATCCTAAGAGGTAGTATACCTCTTGTTATCCTGGTAAAAAAACTGTTGATTTTCCTTTGTTATTATATTGTAATTTATTTAGGTGGTATCATTTGTTATTATATTGTAATTTATCTAGGTGGTATCATTTGTTCATACTGTATTGGCAGCTTCAGAATATACTAAAATGACAACATGTTTGATAGTTTCACCATTAAATACTGTTTTAAACTGGAGAAATGAATGTAGTATGTGGTTAAAGGAGAAAGATCAACTCACGGTAGGTTTTGTATTCATTTTAAGTACCATAATATAAATAAAGAATGAAGAATTTCTTAGATTATTTTATAGAAAATAGCTTTGTCAAGTTAGGATTCAATCAGTTTTTTATGTGGGAATCTTACAGCTTCTATTCGAATTTGACATCCATGTTTATTTTAATTTAAGAACAACTTAACTTGTTTTCAAAAATCTTTTGGGTTGAGGCTTCAATTTACAAATATATCATACAACCTAGAGAGCCAATGTTTTATTTTTGTGCAATTGGAAATGGTATCCCCCTCACCCCTCCACCTTAATGTTTATGTAATTTAATTAATCTGTTTCCAGGTGTATGAACTCTCTAGTGTTAAAGATAACCATAGTAGAGCTAGATATTTAAGGGAATGGATACGAGAAGGTGGTATCATGATTATAGGATATGAAATGTATCGTAATCTCACAAACACTGGCCGAGTCAGAAATAAAAAACTGAAAAAAACTTTTGAAGAAACACTAGTTGATCCAGGTAAGATTTAAAAATAAATAACATTTTTGGTTAAGAGTGACAGCTTAGGGCCTTGGGCTTGGTGCAAGAACATCTTCAGTTAAATTGTGATGATAAAATTTAAATCTAAACTGTTTATTGAAAATGTTTAAATGGTAACATTTCTTACATTGAAATCTTGTTGAATATTTGATTAGTCTTTTAATAACATCCAGTCAACTTCATAAATTGCTTTTTCTTTTTCTTTTTCTGTTTGTATGTTGAAAATAATTATGCAAATTACTAAGTTAAAAAAAAGATATATTTTTGCAGGTCCAGATTTAGTGGTATGTGATGAAGGTCATATATTAAAGAATGAACAATCAGCTATATCACAGGCTATGAATAAAATTAAAACAAAACGGCGAATAATTCTTACTGGTACACCATTACAAAATAACCTTAATGAATGTAAGTTGATTGTTACTTAATTAACTAATTGTTTTTAGTCAGTTGAGCAATGACACATGGATGCAAATATTCTAGTTTCTTTATAGATTCTATTTTAATCTTTGAATATTAAATAATGGTTTGTATCTTATAAATGAAATTTTCGAATTTAAAATTCAGAAAAATAAGCAAAGTAAAACAAGAAATTTTTGATATTTTTTGTAAATTTGTATATAATTATAATTTCAGATCATTGTATGGTTAGTTTTGTTAAACCAAGATTACTAGGTACTAGAAAAGAGTTTTTAAATAGATTTGTCAATCCTATAACTAATGGCCAGTGTTCTGACTCTACTGCTCATGATGTTAAAGTTATGAAAAGAAGAGCCCATGTTTTACATGAAATGTTGGCAGGTTGTGTTCAGGTATGTATTTAAGCTAAGACTCTTCAGACTTTTCAATGCAAAGTGCATCTACCAAAATATCCAATGTTATCAAATAAACTCTATAACTTATACAAATTTGGCTGAAAATGGCTATATAATATGCTCTGATATGTAAAATTATATTAATTAAAAAATGCTAGGAAGCTTTAAAAGTATTATTTAAAAAAATATGTTTGTTTTGACTTCAAGTCAAATAAAGTTCTATTTTGACAGTATATTTGGGTGTTGTGTATATATTATGAATGTAGGAATCTTATCTTTGTAATATATATTACCTAAAGATGTCTGATATCAGATCTATGTGGGATGGTGACTTTATGCTACCAGACACTGTTTAAATGAAGTTGAAGGGTATAGATTGGAAAAAAAACAACTTCACATTAATTTTGTCTTGTTTTTGCAGAGAAAAGATTATTCAGCATTAACGAAATATTTACCACCAAAGTTAGAATATGTGATATCAGTAAGATTAGCCCCTGTACAGATGACATTGTATGAGAAATATCTTGAAACTGTGGGTCAAACTGGTACAGTTTCAGCCAAGGGAGGAAGATTATTTCAAGATTACCAAGCTCTTTCAAAGATCTGGACTCATCCATGGGTCTTAAAATTATCAGAAATCAAACAGGAAGCAAAGGTATAGATACAGTCTTTTATACTAAGTTATGATGAAGCTAAAATACTTTAGTATTCTATGCTATGTTACTACATAGTTTTCCTGTCAAATATTTCCGTTGTTAGGGTGGCTTGCAAAAACTTGTAGTCATCCAGATCGAAGTTGAAACTGAGAACCTGTCTGCTTCAGACTGAACATGATCCCATCTCATATGAAAATAGAAAGAAGTAGAATGCCCTCCTAGCTCATGGTGTTGACTGCCACTAGCTCAATTAGATGCTAAAACTCATTTGAATCATAATATACCTGAATTCTCTATCATGTAATATTGCAGGTTAAATATGATGACTATGAAGATGAGGATGAAGAATTATCTAATGATTCATTTATTGATGATAGTACATCAGAGAGTTCATCATCAGTTGATGATAACAGTGATGATGATATTAGTTTGAAAGACAGTGATAGTGATAACAGTGGAAAACGTACTAAAAATACTCGAGCTAAAACTAAAGAAAAAAAGAAGAAAAATAAAAATGAGTAAGTTTATCTAAATCAGGGGAAGAATTGTGGGACTGGGAAGGAAATGGGAAGCAATGTGATCTACGACTGAAATATGATGCATATGTAAACTAACATTTGTCCCAAAGGTCACATTGAACCAACTCGATATGTGTAGTATGATTTTATATCCATTATGATTAACCGTTGAATACAATTTTTTTGTAAATATGTTTCAAAATGACTGATTTAGTTTGGAGAGGAATAGAACTCTTTCAGGAATTATGAATTCACTTAGGTTGAGAAGCACTGGGATTAGGTGTATCATTCTATTACCTATGTTGTATATGATATTGTTATTGTTATAGACCTAGCACGTCAAGTGGTAAACAAGAAGATAAGAAAGAAGTAGTAAATACGTGGAAAACTAGATCTAGAGGTGGTGCTGTACCAGGTGAGACTGGTTTTTATTATTTACTTATTGTATATCTTTGGTTGACATGGAAAGGTATTTTTTTTTATCAAATGATACGAAGCCTTGATGCTTCTGGTGGGAAAGAAAAAACTAATAATCCATGAATGATGAATTGTTTACATTATTTATTGATATATATTTAAATAGATAATGAATTGTTAACAGTATATTATAGATAATGCAGTGTTAACAGTATATTTAAATAGATAATGAATTGTTAACGCTAAATTATAGATTATGCATTGTTAACAGTACAGTCAAGTAACCTAATTTCGTGGAAACCTATTATTCGTGGATTTCCGGAAATGATTAATAATTTACATGTGCGACCTCGCGTGACCTCCGCATTTGCTTGTTTTGATAAACATGGATTATCTCTACAATATCAGCTAGTAGAATGAATTCAGTAGTTTCAAGCAAGGTAAAACGTATTAATGTATACTTTGACAAATACAAAATGGCGGATTTCAGTTATTACCAAACGTCACCATTTTTTATCGGCCAAATTTCCTTATAATCCCAAGCGGTAATCGGAATTTCAAGTGTCGTCTGCTATAATGTAGTCCAACGAATGAAGTCACATGATCAACTAGCAGATTGAGTGTGAGCAGAAAATTTCTTTTGAACACAAAGTTGGCCATATTCTTATGTTGTTTCAGTGACTTTTAGCAATAAATCTTATTTTGTCAGTCACTATTTTATTTTAAAATCGTGGTTCCTTGAAGGACTTGTCACCAGTTATAATGAATTGATATTAAAGATAAATACTAAGAGAAGTTAATTATATCACCCGGTATCCATACAACGTGTTTTTCTAGACTTATTTATAGAACAAACATTGTACATGAAAATAGGTGACGCATTCTGCCGCCGTTGCCGAGTTGGTTGCTCATGAAATATGGATCAAAGTGAAGGATTCATAAAGAAAATCAAAACAAACCAATTTTAATTATTTTGTAGAATATCTGAGGAAACATCTAAGACATAAAAAAATTTTTTTCGTTTTTTTAACTTTGACGAAATTCGGTGTTGAATCCTTATATTCACGAAAATAGCTTACACCCCTGTATATTTAAATAGATAATGAATTGTTAATAGTATATTATAGATGATGAATTGTTAACAGTATATTATAGATAATGCATTGTTAACAGTATTATTAAATAGATAATGAATTGTTAATAGTATTTTATAGATGATGAATTGTTAATAGTATATTATAGATGATGAATTGTTAATAGTATATTATAGATCATGAAATGTTAACAGTATATTATAGATAATGCAGTGTTAACAGTATATAATAGATGATGAATTGTTAACAGTATATTATAGATGATGAATTGTTAACAGTATATTATAGAAGGATGAATTGTTAACAGTATATTATAGATGATGAATTGTTAACAGTATATTATAAAATGATGAATTGTTAACAGTATATTATAGATGATGAATTGTTAACAGTATATTATAGATGATGAATTGTTAACAGTATATTATAAAATGATGAATTGTTAACAGTATATTATAGATGATGAATTGTTAACAGTATATTATAAAATGATGAATTGTTAACAGTATATTATAGATGATAAATTGTTAACAGTATATTATAAATAATGCACTTGTTGATGATGAATTGTTAACAGTATATTATAGATGATGAATTGTTAACAGTATATTATAGAATGATGAATTGTTAACAGTATATTATAGATGATGAATTGTTAACAGTATATTATAAAATGATGAATTGTTAACAGTATATTATAGATGATGAATTGTTAACAGTATATTATAGATAATGCACTTGTTGATGATGAATTGTTAACAGTATATTATAGATGATGAATTGTTGATATTTTTTTTTTATAGATGATGACTTGTTAACAGGAATAGATATGGACACCAACAATCCTATTAGTAGTGAATGGTGGGCTGAATATCTTAAAGAAGAAGACAAACATAGACTAGAACTTAGTGGAAAGTTGTCACTGTTATTTAAGATATTGTCAATGTGTGAAGAAATTGGAGATAAAGTGTAAGTCCTCTTTTATAGTAATTGTTAAACTAAGAGAGGCATAATCCAATTGACCAAAACCTTGCTTTTTAGAACTGTTTTGAACCATTCCTTAAGTTCCAAATTTTGTTTAAAGTGCCCTTTTTAACAGAATATCTCCACTGGTAATGTAAACAAATGAAGCAATTTGTATGACAGATAAAAGTGACTGTAATCACTAAAAGAAAGAGCAGGAATAAACCAGACTGCCAGATTCTGTGACAACTGAAAGCTCTATAATGATTTTTCTTCTGTTTTCAGGTTAGTATTTAGTCAATCTCTACTATCATTAGATATTATAGAAGATTTTCTAGATACTATAGATAAAAAATGGCAAGAAGAGTCTAATGAAAAATCTGAAGAAGAAAAGGTAATTATAACTTACAGTGTTGTCATTGATCTTTCTATTTCAAGACTTAAAAATCGATGAAAAATGAATTATTGCCAATGCTCTAACAAGATTTGTATGTGTACAATCCCATCTCCATTAGCTCAATCAGGAACAGCAGAGTAAGATGTAAGACCTCTTTTATAATGAAAAATCAAGTGATAATAATTTGAGTTATAATATATATGTGTGATTTATATTTATAGCTAAATACGTTTGGTAAAAGTTGGACTAAAGGTGCTGATTATTTCCGAATGGATGGTTCTACAAGTGTTGCTCTACGTCAGTCCTGGGCTGAACATTTTAATGATCCAGAAAATTACAGGTACTGTACTTTTGAAATCAGAATCCCCAATTTTTATTTTTGCTCAATACATGGCTTTACTTGTAGAAGAACATTCAACTCAATTTCGTTCAATTTATTTACTTTAAAATTCTGTATAAATATATTTGTATATTTCAGAGCTCGACTATTTATTATATCAACTAAAGCTGGAGGGTTAGGTATTAATTTAGTTGGTGCTAATAGAGCTATTATATTTGATGCCTCCTGGAATCCATCTCATGATATACAATCTATATTCCGAGCTTATAGATTTGGTCAAGTTAAACCAGTTTATATTTATAGATTTCTAGCACAGGTAATTCTAGAAACTTCTTCTAATAATTTAGTTAGATGTCTAATTAATACCTTAGATCATGAATTCAAACCAGTATCCTCTGTTGATGCAGGTTTTTGTCAATTTCACAGGAAAAGAAACCATTGTCCAGTGTGCTTCAAAATGCACTAGATTTTGTAGACAATTGAAAGTGTGAAATATGTAGGCTTACATGTCATTTTCCAGTAAAATTCCCCTTATTGCACACTCAGACAGAACCTATCTTTATTTGCCCAATCAGAAACAGAAAAGCAGGATTTAATTTCATTTATTATCAATAATTGTCTTAATATTATCAGTATTAGTTGAATTAGTCAACTGGTTATAGTAGTTATTTATTAATTTATAATATTTCTGGTTGATTATAGGGTACAATGGAAGAAAAGATCTATGAAAGACAAGTAACAAAACAATCTCTATCTCAACGTGTAGTAGATGAACATCAGATAGAAAGACATTTTACAGCTAATGATTTACAGGAATTATATGCCTTTCGACCTGATAGATTAGATGATCCTAACAGAGTAGAGAAGACACCTATTTTACCTAAGGTTAGTTAGTGTACCAGTTATTTACTAAACTTTTTCACAAAAATATCCTTTTGTGCACTGTTGTTCCATTGTTGTCAGACATATTAAGTCCATGCTTAGCTAGGTTGAAAAATAACATTCGGACAACATTGCTCAAGTTGTTTAAGAGACATTTCTCTGTGGAATTGTGTAGAATTATAAATCTGACTGCCCTCAGCATGCAAGTTTCTTAATAATTAAACCACTAAAGAGTAAGTTACATTATAGATAGGTATGAATATTCAAGTACTTTCTACAATTTTTCTAGGATACATTATTAGCTGAATTATTAAAGAGTGAAAAAGATTGGATTGTAACCTATCATGAACATGATTCACTATTAGAAAATAAACTAGGTGATGCTTTATCTGAAGAGGAGAGAAAGTCAGCATGGGAAGAATATGAAACTGACAAAAACAGACAACCAGTAGTTAATAGAGGTTAGTGTTAATTGTGATAGTGTTGTCAAGTCATGTGGTAGTAGCTTCCCTGGCAGCGGAATCGAAGGACTGACTCTGACAATTGTTTCTATGTTAAACCTGGCCAATACTTAGTTTCTGGACAAAAATATGACAATGAAAGTCTTGAGCTAGTCAAACTAAAAGTAGACCACTGCATTTTATCAACACCTGCATGACTGTCAATGTGCATAAAACGTCTATTTTTTTAAGAATTATTCTTCCACTTGTAAATCACTCATCATTTCACAAAATCTGACAAAAAATGCAAAAATTAGTTAAAAATAGGCATGTAAAAACCCAAAAGGGAGGGAGAAAATAGCATAAAATACATTCGTATAGAATCAATTGCATCAAATGTTTTAGTGGACTGGACCCAGAAGTGAGTAAATGTCTCTCTATAAATCACCATACAAGATGGATGTAAGCAAATATGTTTAGTTGGACAAACGGACCTCTTTATTTTAACAATTTAATTTTATTTTATAGCACCTATGAATTCTATGTATGCCAATGGAATGATGGCCAATACAGGTTTTAATTCTCAGATGAGTTCAGTACATCAACGTGCTTTTAGTGCTGAAAATGTTTCTCAAGTTGTACAACTAGTAAGAAGCAAGGTAAGTTTATTACTTGTTTCCTCATATAATATACTTGAAATAAAATTATGATATTCTTTAACCTAATTCTTACCTCAACCATCTGTCATTTATCAATTGAACTTTTACTAATAATATACTTAAAAGGGCATATTTTGAGTAATTATACTTGTAAATTTCAGTTCCCTCACCTTCAAGGAGATATGTTTCAAGCACAAGTTCAGAACATTATAATGCAGCAGATAATGCAATACAATCAACAACACGAACAAGAGGTATTGATTAAAGATTGATTACTCAACAAATGCTAATACTTGCAATTTGTATTCACTCAAGACAATGTAAATTAAAATAGTCTATCTTTGTTAGTTAAATTCAGGGTGTTTTTTTTTAATACGACCACACGAATGTTTTGAGAGTATATTGTATTCACTCTGTCGGTCCGTCAGTTTACATTTGACTCATGGTCACTTCACGGGCTACAATCCTTTAAAGATTCTTTTTCTTTTTAGTTTTTGGGTCATTGTCATCATGAAGATGATCCCTATCGATTTTGGTGATGATCTGATTTTCACCGAAATGTCACCATCTTAACGTATTCACTCTATTAGCTATACAGTGCAAATTTTGCTTACTCTTCATGCAAAAATTCTTTGTGCATTCTTTTGATTTTTATATGCCCACACGTAGTAAGGAAGCATATTGTCGTCCATCCGCTCACTCTACAGGCTACAAACAATGATTTGTACTTGCAATCAAAGCTGCTGGTGGGTGTATGTCACCTTGCTTTGCAAAGCTATCTTAATCTACAGTCCTTGATAGTTTTCAATCTGCTGATTATTTATTTCTATTTACAGTTGGCTATAAGACAGAGACAAGAGTTAGAGAGGTTAAGATTATTACAGAATCAAGTTGCCTCAAGACAGAGATTATTTAATCAGGCTAGTGTTCGTCCACCGCAGGAAGTCTGGGTTCGTCCTAAAATTTTGCCAGCTGGAGCCCAATCATCTCGATCTGCTAATATGACAAGTTTAATACGTAATCAACTAACAAGTAATAATACTTCAGATAAATCAAAAACATCTAAACCTAACCCTGGTGAAAAAACTCCAGAAAAAAATCCCCCACCGTCAGTGGATTTAACTAAATCATGATCTGAATGACAATAAAAGACAGGATTTTTGTGTCTGTGTTTGAAAATTTGTGAGGTTTGGTCTTCTTAAGAAGAATCATGATGAATCAAGAAGAGTTTAAGTGTTGTGAAGAGACAGAAGGATATTAAAAGTGTTATGAAAACACTCTAATAAATTAGTCCTATTACAATACTAGTCTGGATCATCTAGACTATAGATACATCAACTATACAGATGGCTTGTATATCAAGTGGGATATAGTTCTATCTATTGTTGTAGTCTGAACAGCCTTTTATTCATTGGATACCGGTAAAATTCAGTCTGAAGCCTAGAGTGAAAGTCTGTTTCTTTGTGTATGTAATCTTGAATATTTTGGGCTTACATTGATATTTCATAGTGGCTTTCAATCATCATCATTTATTTTGTGTATGCACATAACTAAATGACATCCTTCAATTATTTTTCATTTCATGAATCATTTGGGGCCTATTCTAAATTGTTATCCCATCATTTTTAACAAAATTTATATTTGTAACTGATTTAGTTACAAATCAATCACTTTCCATCTGTAGTTCATGAGAAGGGTTTTAACAACTTCAACAATTTATTATTGTAGAATATTGAATCAGGTGAAAACTTTCTATAGATTTCTCATTCTCATTTTGACCAGTATTCCCAATTAGAATAGAAGCAATTTTACTCTTGTAAGACAATACGGGTCAAAATGTGATTTGTATAAAAACTACCACAGGATACAAGCAGGCACTTGCTGTCACATGTTTGCTGTAACATGTTTGCTGTCAGAACAATTTTGTCAATGAACAGGATTTATTCTTCTAAGAATCTGCTTTACCTTAATCTGTAATAAAGTATTCAAAGATAAAGTGCAAAGATACCTGCATTCATATCTACAACGACCATTGTCTGACAGTAACCTTGTTTGCAGCTGGACAAAAATCTTCTTTAATTGTTACGTGGAAGTTACGTATGCGTTACAAAAAATAGTTCGTCAGATGTTAGTTATCTCTATTGAAGACTATCCTCGTCATAGATAGAAGTCTGGGTGTCAGAGACTAGTCAAATGTGAACGAAAATTAAGCTATTGCCACATGACCTAATATTTGAGAGGAGTCTGATTTATCCGCCAGCTGCATACAAGGTTATTGTCAGGCGTAGCAAGAATGACCGACTTGTTTTTACAATTGGATACCTGGTATAGCAAATATTAACTATACCATATAATTCTATTGTTTAATAGCTGATGTAAATAATTCATTATGAAACCAAAAAACTCATTATATTGTACCATATGTTAAATTAGATATATTGATATTTATTGTAATTTATGGTTTTTAGTCTCTCCACCATAAATAGTTTACTGTTAAGTTGTGGGCTGGGTCCATATATTGATGTTAGGTTAACAAAGTTACATTTGTGTTAAGAACAGAAATTTGTGGTAACTTACTTAAAATATAACTTACCAGTTTCATCTCAGTGACATGTCAAGTAAATTAATATTTTTATCAAAACCTTTAAGAATCATTTTTTGAAGCTTGACAATGGCATAGCTCATATCTTACATACATGTATTCATTATTTTGCAGTGAAAATAGAATTCAAGGGTATATTGAATTTGTGATATTTATTTTGTGAATGATTCATTACAATTATTAGATCAGTTGAAAAGAAATATAGATTTTTATTCATTTGCATATTGAATCAGTTGTCAATCATTGTAAGACCACACCCACATCTTTGTTTGTTGATCATGTTGTGAAATAAAGCTGCTTCCATTGAAACTTAGATTTTTCTTTTATCAGGGAGTCCACAGAGTAACATAATGAGAATCATGCAGTAGAGTTCCTATACAAGCAAACTAAGTAACATTTAGGCAACTTCTCAGCAAATTTTACAGATCCATCTGTTGGATCCACTGAATGTTAGAATTCAGTATACCGATGATATACGTATGAAATAAATTGTGAGTTCCAAAAGACGTCTAATTACGACTTTATAAAAGCACATCTGTTGTACAAATTATTCCATCGAATCGGGTTCAACAGATATGCTTTTGACTAAAAAAAATTATACACCACAAAATGTATGGTTAATTCAGGTAAATCAAACTCACAGTATCAGCTTTATAATTGTTTTTATTCTTTTTAATCATAAAAATACAATCTGATATACAAAACAATGAGAAAACAGTCATTTTAACATTTATAAAATTAAGGTGAACAAGCTGTAACAAAGGGAAGGAGAAACTCCCACCAAGATCAACAGTGTATGAAATAAAAGGAATGTAGATAATTTTACAGTATTGTATTTGTAAGATTTAAACAGTCTGCTAACCATAATCACTAATAGCCAGTCTGGTCAAAATTGTTATTAGTGTGAATAGCCATGTTTAAATTTTCAACTAGAGACAAAAATTGATTACTGGTATATCATTTTAAACCTATTAATTTTATGTAATTTATAGTATCTGCTTCGTAATAGTAGTAACATTTTCAGAATAACTTTACATTAGAAAAAAATCACAATGAGAATTATATGGTTGTGCCTGAAAAATTGCTCCTTCTATAGGCTTAGGTATCTTAGTCTCGTAACTCTTATAAGACCTAGTTACATTACCAGATTGAAGAGATCAAAATAAGTATAAAAATTTGCCTTAAATCTTGATGTCTTGAAAATTGCAGTAATGAATGATAATCAAATTGAGACAAATACAATCAATCTCACTGCAAAACAAGTTAAACAACACATGTCAATATAGAGAACAATTGGACAAATTTGAGACTAGTTTAATGTAAACAATAATCAAGCACTAAAAAATATGAAAATATTGTTCAAATTGAAGCACTTAACAAATCAGTTGCTGGAAATTTACACAATTGGCACTTTTTGGTATTAAAATATTTCTAACAAACTAAAATCAAAAATTTCAGTCCTTGTATGACAGTCCTGTTTTCTTTTTTTCTATTTGAAGCTTAAAATGGTTCATTCAGTTCATTGCAATCACAAAAAAATGTCATAGATACAGAATTGTATTGCCCTAAAAATTATAATTATTATTTTGAAAAAAAGTAACACAAAAATACGACATGGACAAATAACAGAGACTTTCAAGAATTTAAAAATTTGAAAGATGGTAAAAAGAAAGTATTCTTATTGTTTATATAAATCAGATTGACTTTAAAATATTTTATCAATAGATTATTTACAAAACACAATATACATGGAGTCAACAAAACAATGAAATGATGAAAAACGATCAATATGTGTAGTTTATGTCTGATCTAGTTCTTACTTTATAGATACATAATAATAATATTAATATTTGAAAACAACTGTCTACTTCAGTTAGTCTATTGAGCAATATCATTTCCACAAGAAAAGTTACAGTACATATCTGACACAAATAATAGTGTTTATGTACACAAATTTTGCAGTAGAAAATTATAAATTTCATTCTGAACATAAATGGAAACGTAACTATAAGATTTTGAGCAAGAGTTCGATTTTCCTTATGTTAGTCCACATCACATTTTCAACCACAAACGAAGTAAAATTCTTCCCAACATGTTTGACTATTTACTGAATACACAAATATTTGTGTTAAATATACAAATTTGAAATGTTTTAAATCACATTACTAAGAACATTTTCTATTCCCATTACTAATAATATTCATTCAAAACCGTGAGATATGTAACTATAAAGTAAGAATTAAATTTGATGGGGTGGGACAGATATATGACAGAAATATGGGAATTGATGGGGGTGGGGAGAAAATATCTCATCATTCACAGAACCTGCCGGAACAAAATATATCATACACTTAAGTATATTTAAATAAATTTGTACAAATTTAAAAGATTTTTCTTATAAGAAGTAAGCTGTCATATTCAAGAAAGAAACACAAAATGGAGTAGAAATTTGAAGTTTCAAAATTAATTTGTTGAGAAATCATCTGATTATATGACATAAAATTCTTCTTGTCTTTTCCACAATAAATTATATTCTCAAATCAAAAATATTGTACAAATTATAGACAAACACAAAGTTTATCAAAAATGGGAAAAAGGTGAATCACCATTTAAATTTCATTGGTAAAACAATAGAGAAAGTACAAATAAACCATTTTCAGATCACCATTCTTCTGTCACCATGTTAGGCCATTTTAGACAATTGATACATTTATGACAACACAAATTATAAAGTAAGCTGTTTTTGATTACCCTCTGAGAGACGGATAGCAACAGCTGATCTCACTCTACCCTGAAAAATTCTAATTCTTATTAAATATTTTCACCGCACATTTTATCATTCTCAATCTCCTTAGACAGATGAAATGAAAACTGAAGACTAGTTTTGATTTTTGAATTCTTTTAAAAATTCAACTTGAATTCATTCACAAATTAAAATCACTTTCCAGATGTCAAATAATATTGACAGTTCAGACACAATCACACTCCTCTTATAAGAAATAAAGGCAAGTTGACCTTTGAAAGAAAGAAATGAAATGAAATGACTCAATAAATGATAAATGACCTTGACATGACCTTCAAAACGTGATACTGCTGCCTGTTAAATAACATATAGCTACTTTTACCCAGTTTGTTTTTAATTCATTGAAGTAGCACCAACACTGCTATAACACCCAAAGACTTCAAGTCTTCTCGGCACTGTTTATCTGTTATATTTCACAGCTGAGTCCAGATCATCAAGTCTTTACATACACAGTATAATACACATGATTTAAGTCACAAAATCAAGGGCAATAACTATTAAACACCTCTTAAACAAAAACAATTTCTTTAACAATATGAGTTTTAACATGAGAGGCTTCGTCTCAATTTATCTGCGAACACAAATGAGATGGGGATGTGAAATAACGCGGCTATGAATAACCTTGAGGATGACCAGAGTTCAACAACTCACTGAAGGAACTTTCAAAACATCTCTTGATTTCAGCATAACTGACAATAATAACACTCTGTTCATCTCGAGACATCAATGTTACTTTCTCTGGAACACCAGCATCAACCTATAATATCATAAATATTCCAAATAAATATCTACTTCATTAGAATTATAGTTATAATTTAACAACACACACTTTCAGATCAGAGAAATTGTGCCCAAAAAAGAAACTTTGTATTGCATTAGTCTACATTATTTTGTAGAGGTAACACTATAACAGTTTGTAGGTTTGACTTGGATGATTTCAAGCAACATCTATTCTACCCTCGGATATATTACTCCCTGTTTGGTTATGATTTGAATTGTCTTTGGATGTGTTTCAACATATTATTCTGTCTTTCACTCTTTACAAACTACTATTTATATTGGAACAGTTATCTTAGTCAGAACACCTTTAGCAAAGCAGAGACACTTTATCTAGTACAATCATATTCTATAAATAATAAAGAATGTGAAATGTCTAAAGCTATTGGTACCAAATATTATACAAATAAATCATATTACATAGTTTTATTACCTTATTTAAACATTGTATAATGTGAGCCATATCTAACCATGGTGTACCATTCTCATCTACTTGATGGAATAGATAATCTCTAAATAACTTTAATATATATCTATCACCAGTTTCAGACCAGGCTTGATCTAAACTAAAACTACAAATAACAGCAACATTTCATTAATAGGATTATTAACTGAACAATTAGCAATATTAATCTTCATACATGATTTCTTTGCATGTGAATACTGTTTCATGCATCGTTTCATTTTCCATTAAAAATGAAAAACTTGACAATGATATCAAGAATTGTGGACCCTTAAATGAAACAGATAAGTCATACTTACTCTTGTCTTTCATTGATGGCACCAAATTTACATATCAATCGGAATAATCTACCATTCTCTACCTCCTGTAATTAACAATCAAAATATTAAAAACTAAACTAAACAACCTTTTCATTTTTTAAGCCAATGACCTTAACAGGCAGTGTGCAATGATGAAAAACTAGATTGAGAGTCTAATGTATAAATATAACTCAATACAAATAACATTATAATCATAGTGTAATAATGATAACCATGATTGTAATAAATTCTCATTGCGACACTTCTGGTGGATAACACAGACTCGAACCTATTTAGTCCTACACATAAATTTTTAATGTCTATTTGGAAATAATCAATATCTATGTTTGTATGATATTGGTTTTTCTTATTCTGGAATATTGAGTCAGAAAGGGTTTACAGTTACTTACTTTAGCAAGTTCATTTTGTAAAACATCACCACGTAACTGAGCAGCATCAAGCTGTGTAAAAAATCTCGCTCCAATCATTGGCATAACATCATTAATACTTCGTGGTCGATTGGGATTAGTCAATAAATACCTAGTGAGAATCATAAAATAACAATACATTAGACGCAGACATTTTGGGAAATGTGTACATAAGATATGATATTGAATCTTTATGGTACTTGCTAAGAAAAATATGCTTTATGCTTTAATGAAATTCATTTTTGTTTGAAACAGTGTCAAATTCCAAAAATTCCACTTTCAAACAGAAATATACAGCAATGGTATATTAACAATGAAAAAAAAATAAAAGAAAAGTAACGAACAAGATAAGATTTTTCAAATCCGGTGAATAGTTTCTGGAAACCAGGTCTAAAGCATTTTGTAGATTTTCTCTCTGTAAAGACATCACTGAATTACATGCCAAGGCCAACACTATATTTCCTAAAGCATAAAGATCCTTTTGCTGAAAAACATAAACAAAGAATAATTATCATCTGACAGCTTTGAAAGCACAATAGAAAATTTTTTATCTAGTAAAAGAACTACTTAACTTAAGTTCAAAGACTAAAGTATTTATTTTGAAAGCAATTTTCTAAATAAGTTGTTGCAAAATCATATAACTTTTGGTAACCAAATTTATCAATTTGTCCTTGGAGACATATTTGTGGATTCCTATCAAAACTCACTCAACTTATTGTGTTTTTTTCCATTTCTGCACTTAATTTGCTTACTTAATTTCATTGTTTTATGAATTCATGCATTTGTGGATAAGCTGGTCTATAAATAATATAATTATCTTTTCACTGTACTTTTAAGATGAACACACGAGTCCTATTTGAGTAGCAATATGGAATTAAGTAAATTAGTTCAAGACTTATTTCCTACCTGATAATGAGGCATCAATGCCAATGGGTTTCCTTGACTATTATCAAAATTCAATACATCACTTATACCCACACAATTTATACGTAATCTGTCAAAATAAACATTAATAATCAAATCAAATCAAATAATGTCTTTTTTTCTTGCAGCCTATCAAATTTTATACATCTTTTGATTACCATCTGTTAAACAAAAACAATTGAGTTTTACAACCTATTTTTCTGAGATATAGACAAAAAACCATAGAAATAGATGTCAATATTGATCAGTATTCTACAATAAGGTATTTTATTTAGAGTTTCAACATGGTTCAAATAGTCTGGTTATAATATAGATAAACTTTGCTCATGGCTACAAAAAACCTTCCACGATTGTCTTGGCAAATGAATAATGAAATAAATTTATCTTAATACGAAATAGAAAACTAACCTTGATTTACCATAAATCAATATTTTGGTTGGGTCAAGAGAACGACATGCTAAACCAGTAGCATGTATAGCTCTTAAAGCTGAACTCAGTTGTACAACATATGTCCATATCAAACTCTCAGGTAATAATCCATTATTAGCTGGCTGAGGTGTACCACCATTCATAGACACTAAAAATATATAACATTTATTTCAACTTATAATTAATATATTTATCCAGCTTTTATACACAAATACCAAATTAACATCATAGGCTACAAAGACTGTCCAGTTGGAAAGACCTGGTTTTCTAAAAATGAAGTTCACATAGAACATGTATTTTGCCATAACCCAATCTTATATCAAATGGAAAGACCTATTATGTTCTATAATATAATGTTAAAATCTAAGATTTCAGTTTCGCCAGTTTATTTTCAATAAAACACACGATTATTATAGCAAAAAGAGAGAATTAAAAGCAATACTTACCATTACCAGCACTATAAGGTCTAGAAGCAGATGGTGTTTCACCATTAAATGGACTACTATAACCATTAACTGGAGCAGGCATATTACTGAAATGTCTAGACATCAGTGTCTCACTAGCCGGGAAAAAATCATACACAAATACAATGGCTGAAAAAGTAGAGGTTTTAACATTATTGCCAGTAGGGGAATTAGTCCTAACCATTATATTAAAGTTCATTATGTATGGTAACAGAAATATTTGGAAAAATGTTGACTGTTCGATTGAGGGCAGAATGGAACCAATGGAAACTGTTCAAAACAACCCAAAGGCCACCAAATTGAATGATTTGAAACTTACAATTATCACCATAAGCTTTAGTTGTAAATACTTCTTTCAACTGAACAATATTAGGATGATACATTTTCTTCCACATATCAATTAATGGCATACATTTAGTATTAACTAATCTGAACCCTGGAAAAAGATTAAGTTAGCTTTTCATTTCATGTACTATGTAAATAAAGATCTCAAATTTACCCAGCTTTGTTCTAGTACTGTATTCTAGTCTTACAAGCTGATATGAAGTCCAACTCTAGAAAGACATTTTCCTTTAATTTCAGAAGATCTGGCCACTGAAAAAACCAGCATCAAAATATCAGATGTTCAATTTTATTGTATATTCTTACACTTATGATAAATTTTGAAACTAAGATTATCTCATTTAGACTATCTCATTTATAAACAATTGTGAATTTAAGCAAAAAATAACACCTACCATGTATCCTACGTAAACAATAAGTCATACCATCTTTAACATTAACAGCTTTAAAACATGATGTAGGATAACCAAATATATTAGATTTCTGCAGAGGGTTCGCTGGTGGAGGTTCCAGTGGAAACAAATTATGATAGTTATCAACTTCAGCTGGCAGCTCTACAAAATATATAATTATTCATCACTATTTTCAAACCTTACAAAGGAAACTGAATTTTGTGTAATTTATTTTATTTATCAATGACATGTGCTTTTTCTATTTATACCAATATTTCCTTCTTTCTTTCTGACATCTTTGGTTCCTTAGACCAGATTAAACCATCATTGTCATAAATGATATTTGTTTTACATGTGGCACAGGTATGATATTAATTTGATGTAATTGATAAATTTGTTCAGTTCTCATACAATGTTTGTAGTTTAAATTGTGTTTAAATTTGACCAAAAGAAGGAAGTTGTAATACCTGTGTTATGAGACTGATCAAGTTGAGCCATAGTTAAAGCATGTTCATTCAAAATTTGCTGAAAAACATAAGACTCGAACATTAGTTTATGATGTCAATTATTAACAACAGAAATGAAATAAATGGAATATTTCAGGCACTTTACTAGACTAATGAAGACGGGCAACACGATAGAGTGTACAATGAGGGGAATTTTGCCAAGACAGTGGCATTAGCCTACTCTTTTTCAATTTCCAACAGTCAAACTCATTAAACTACTGACAAGGAGACACTAGAGGTTTACAATTCAACTTGTCTTATTCATATTATAAAACTATGCTTACTAGTTTGATTTCATCTGCCATGAAAAATTGTGGCAAGTTAGCTTTCAATTTCATATGGGCTATATGAGGTGGTATGCTTGGATACATAGCAAAATTTGGTAAAACCTAAAAAAACAAATAGTATAACGTAGGCAATTTGGTCTTCATATAGAGAATGTTAATTACTATCTGGAAGTGACAGTAAACTAAACTTCTATGTTTTTAATGAATTGTTAGGGAAGAAGTTGTAAGATTTTAATTATTAAAAGTGATGTGGATAATCAGTTAAAATTCTACACCCCATCCATATCCTGTAAATTGACAAGATATTAACTAACAAAATATTTATGAAGAAAACAACTTACAACTCCTTGATGTTGAGGTGAGAAATCATCAGGTGAATAGAAATAAGTCGTACCACCAACATTTTCCTTTAAATAGATAGTAATTACATATTAATAACTGATTGTCTTTCAATTAACATTGATAATTGGCTAACAATTCTTTTCTAAAGCTACAAACACACAATTTCATTATTTTCCACGTCTGCCAGTATAACCAAATCAAATTTCATTGCAAAATAATAAAATTTGTGGCAAAGACATTTTTACTTACACAAAGAATTTGATTTTTGTTCTATATAGCTGTTTGACAAGAACTCATTCTAGAATTGCTGGTTATACTAGAACTAGCCTACTAGTATGAGCAAAACAAGTAATTATACAGAACATGAACAATATTCAAATTCAAAGAAACAAAAACAAAATTGGTAAGGCACTGTTTGTCACAAAAACATATAGACTAGAATGAATAATAAATATTACCTGAATAGTATTGGCTGATTTCTGAGGGATAGTAGTTTGACGGAGAGGAGTGACAGGAGATGCTGTACGACGTAACATTAGAGGAGAATTAGTTGGTGATATTCCAGGACTCGGGCTTGGACTAACATTAGATGAATAGATCACTGAAATAAAATAATCAATTAATATTTCAGGTTTAATTAATTAAAATTAGTATACAATATTGCCCTCAAAATTTATAGTCAGCATGCATATATTTCTTCCATCAACATGCTATCTCAATGATGGGTTATATAACCATAACTAATTATCATCACTCCTGATAATTTTATGGTTTTAACTCATTCTGATCTTTGTATTTGTATTAACAATGGCTTGCTTCTGCTATCCTTGATTTTCTTCAGGACAAATATATGTGAAGTACTTTTTTGTTATATTTTGTTTAATTTGTTATTAAACTTCATATAGACAATACTTACTATAAATGATATGATTTGATAAGTATATAAATATAGACAATACTTACTATGATTGATATGATTTGATAAGTATATAAATATAGACAATACTTACTATGATTGATATGATTTGATAATATAAATATAGACAATACTTACTTTGAATGATATGATTTGATAAGAATATAAATATAGACAATACTTACTATGAATGATATGATTTGATAAGTATATAAATATAGACAATACTTATTATGATTGATATGATTTGATAAGTATATAAATATAGACAATACTTACTATGATTGATATGATTTGATAAGAATATGAATATAGACAATACTTACTATGAATGATATGATTTAATAAATAACAATATTTACTATGAATGATATGATTTGATAAGCATACAAATGTAGACAATAAGACAATACTTACTATGATTGATATGATTTGATAAGAATATAAATATAGACAATACTTACTATGAATGATATGATTTGATAAGAATATAAATATAGACAATACCTACTATGAATGATATGATTTGATAAGAATATAAACATATACAATACCTACTATGAATGATATGATTTGATAAGTATATAAATATAGACAATACTTACTATGATTGATATGATTTGATAAGTATATAAATATAGACAATACTTACTATGATTTGATAAGAATATAAATATTGACAATACTTACTATGATTGATATGATTTGATAAGTATATAAATATAGACAATACTTACTATGATTGATATGATTTGATTATCAATAAATATAGACAATACTTACTATGATTGATATGATTTGATGTGGTTGGTGTGATAGTATTGGCAGTAGATATTATATTACTATATGTAGAGAATGATGGAGTACTAGCACTATGTGACAGTGAATTATTCGTACCAGATTTTGGAGAAAAATCATTAGGAACCTGAAATAGAGGAGACATATTTAAGACAGTTGTACAAAATTTCTTTCATGTTGTAGGGCCAAGCATGTCTTGAAATATATTGAAAACAATAGTTTAAAAAACATATAGAAAAAAGATAGCTTGCCATACACCGACTGGCAGATTTGATTTTGAATAGAAATATTTGGCAGTGAGAATCACCAGTATGAAATATTCAACCTTCATTCGTACACTTCTTTTCAACTTTTTGGACCTAAAAGTCAAACACGTTTTCAAGGACAAAAGCAAAAACTCATATTTAATATTTTTGTTCATCCTTGGGTGATAACAAACACTCACACCAAGTTTTGTCAAAATCTGTCAAAAATTCCACAGAGTTTACGAGCTAAAAATTGAACACGTTTTCAAGAACAATGTCAATAAATTTTAAAAAGGGGTTCATCCATGGGTGGTAATAGACAATTCAACCAAATTTCATCAAAATCTGTCAAGAAATGTGCTGTCTAGAGTGTTTACAAGCAAGTGTGAACCAACAGACGGACATGGGTGACGACAATATACACCCCCCATTTTATGTGGGCCTATAAAAATAACTTAAAATCAAATCACTTAAAAATTCAGAAATTATGAAATGGATTCTCTTACCTTATTTGGAATATTAGCAGCTGCTAAATTTAAAGCAGCAAAATCATTGGCTATACCTTGATCGTTGGCAGGTGTAGGCACAAAGGGTTTCGCGTTCTGGGAAAGGGATCCAAGCATACTGTTCCGAGATCTGGGTCTTGGACGCTAAAAAACAAACAAATGTTACAGGTATTAACAAGTACAAAACTTTCAAGATTTAAGTCAATACATCATACTTTGACTATTCCAGACACTTTTTAACCTCTTCTATCACGTAAACAAATATTAACAATTATAAGCTTACTTATATCTAAATTTGAAACTTACACCACTGGAAAATTGTTGGAATTCTTGAACCGAGTTCGGAGCTGAACAGAACGTGGCATTAAAATATTGATCACCGCTATTTGCTAAGCTATCTGTCATTCCTGAAATGATATTTAATTAAAGACATTAAAATTAATTACATAGCTTACAGAATATATTCACCTGTCATTTTTTAAATGTTATATAATAACTCATTTATCATTAGACCAGAGTAGTCCGTTATTCACTGTTTCTAGTAAAACATATCATCTTTCTCATTTTCTCAACTTGTAACATCTTCAAATGCAACTGTAGTTATCCTTCATTTAAATAGTCAATCAAGAAACTCATCCACATCAAATTTGGCGTTTTTGTTAGCATGATTGTAAGAAGCATGAAAAAGATAGCTTGCCAGGCAAGGTAACATACGCCCACTACTAAAAATGATTACAAAGTCTTAAGTGACTTAATGAATTTTCAAATAATCTTTAAAAAAAATATAAGTCAACGAAAGACCTCAAAACAGTTCATCAAATTATTATCAAACAAATTATCATAAACAAGGTCTTATCAATATATATATATATACAAGCATACCAAGTTTCATTAAGATCAGATGAAAACTGTAGTCCCTATAGTGTTCACAAAAACATTTGGACATATTTTTACTAAGCCAAGGCAATAACTCAAATTCTGTTCATTGAAAAATTGTCAACTCTGAACTTGACCACTACTTCTAGATGATCATACCAAATTTCATTCAGATCAGATGAAAACTGTAGTCTCTATTGTGTTCACTAACAAATTTTGACATGTTTTTACAAAGTCACTGGCAATAGCTCAAAAAAATAATACATCAAAAAATCTTCAAATTCAAACTTGACCAAGACCTCATCAATATAAATACTCACACCAAAAAGCATTAAAATCGGATAAAAACTGTAGTCTCCATTGTGTTCACAAAATCGTTTTACGCAGTTAAGGGCAATAGCTCAAAAATCGTTCATCGAAAGATCGGCAAATTCGAACTTGACCAAGATCTCATCAATATAAATGATCACACTAAATATCATTAAAATCAGATCAAAACTGTAGTGTCTATTGTGTTCACAAACAAATTTTGATACGTTTTTTAGGCAAGGGCAGTAACTCAAAAACCATTCATCGAAAAGTCGTCAAGATCTCATCAGTATAAAAACTCTACAGACGGACAAGGGCGACGACAATATACAACCATTTGGAATTTACACATTATGAGGTGGGCGCGTAAAACCAAAGATGGAATGAAGCTTGTAATTGCATGACATCGACCATTTTCTGAAACACCATCCAATTGATGTTAGATCCTGATCCTAAAAGCCATAAGGTAAGATATACATCATAACCTGAATCTATGAACTACCAAACATCTAACAGCAGAGAAGAAAAAAAAATCTTTTGATATCAAAAATCAATTGATTTTGTTTCATTAAAATCAATTAAAAACAAACTCACATAAGCTGGTCAGTAGCAACACAAACAAAATCAACAAGATTCCAAATAATATTGAATAACAATTGCCAATAACTTTTGAGCCAAAAATAAATAACCTCTCTTGTCACAGTTCAAGTCAATTATCTCTTAAAAACTGTTAACTAGAAATGAGTCCAGTTATAAGTATAACAAGTATTCAGTATAATCAACTGTTATAACAAGTTATAATAAGAAGTACTAACAGTGTACAATAACTGTGCCATCTGAGTAATCAATAACAACACCTACTGACAACATGTCATTCTAAACTCTTCCACTGACATCAGAGATGTAAGGAGCCTTGAGCTATTGGAAATTCAAACAAATCCACTAATTGGAAAAGAAACTGAGAAATAAAGCTTTAATCTTCCTTCCTTCTTATGTTTTCATTTTCAATATCAACTGCAATCCTTTGATAATTTATCTTAAAGCTTAATCAATCTTATTTTAAAGGAAATCAAAGTAGATTAAAGTTTGCTTTAATGGGTCGGACATCATATTTTTTCTTGATTAGTCTCTTGTGTCAGACACGTAAGCTTATAACTCAGAACAGGTTGAAAAAAGAAGGTATAGTCAGCACTATTAACTGGGACACTCTCAGATTAAAAAGGCTTATCATCGTTGGGTGACATAGAAAAAGCATCTTGTTGTACAGATGGAACAATAAACTGAGGGCCTGTGTGCTACAGACTGTGCATATTTGCACATAAATAATGTTAAGGAAGTGGTAACAATCTATACTTCCACAAGGCTTTTTGGTTGAATTGCAGGAGAACTGGAAGTTGCGTTAACCTTTACAAGTGATTATATAATAACTGATTTTCACACAAAGAAACAAAACCCAAGAACCAAAATTCATCAATCATTAAAAGGTTTTATGTCATTATACAATAAATAAAATCATCAACTATCTATGTAGCCCTACAAAATAGATCTTCCTGTACAGATTAAATTGATTATAAACCTACACCATATTTCTGTGATAGTGACATCATCTGTGAGATATCCCAACTCATTACATTCAATTTTTAAAGGGGCAGGTTCGCTCTTTTCAGAGGTTGATTTGAGTCTTTAATATATTCAAATAGTCTTCACAAATACTACAAAATCTCATAATTCCTTCAAAATTACCTCAAACAAGGAATTGCACTTTTTATTTTTACGTCTTTTTTTTATATATGGCAAAGTCTCAAGAAAAGACAAGTTCAGTCTAAACAAAATTAGACCAAACTTTCATACCGTTTTTATTAATTTTTTTTTTTAATATAGCCACTTTAGTTAGGGTCTAAAGACTAACCTCTTAAACAATCGTCAAAAAAAACGTGTGACTTAACCCTGTTTTAGCCTATCAAATTTCTGCCCTCTCCAGCGCTGGATTGGTTAAAGCAGATGCCATCAGATTAGGTCAAAACGTTATTGCGAAAGAATGTTTAAGATGCCAGTCTTTAGACCCCAACTGAACTGGCTATATCAAAACTAAAAGCTAATAAACCAAAGTTTGGTTCAATTTTAATCATAGACTGACATGGTTGTCTTTTTACGTTTCAAACGTGAATAATTCTGTACACACAAGGATTTGAAGGCTCAAATTTCGACAGTGAGCTGTGAACACTGTTACTGATCAGCTTAGCTAAAAAATTCCTTTTCCTGAGACTAAGGTACGATTGGTTAAACACATGGCCATGTCGCTTTAAAAATGTTCGATTTCAAATGATCATGTTCATGTTCAGTTATCCTTGAGATTGTGACCTTGATTGGGTATTACTATTACTAATCACGCCATTTAATACACATGTAGGTCAGTTATCTGAAGAGTTAAACTCTGATTAACAACATGTTTCAGGTTCTGTTAATATTTCTGATATATAAGTGACATAAATATTGCCCTTGGGACTATTAACATAAAAAAAAAATCAATCTAAATTTATTTATCATACTATTATAAGCTTATATATGTCTAAATTCATAGAGCATGTCAGTATTGTTTTAAATTTTTCACAAATTGTCTTTAATCACCAAGTCAAAATTCTGTTTGTTCCAAAAACAAAGTCCACAACCAAAACAAAACCAAAACAAAACTAGGTAACTCGTCCAAAATATCCTAATGCATTTTGTGAAAATCATAGTATGGTACAATAAGAAAGTCAATTGTTAACATGTAGCAAATGACTAGTAGGCACCAAAAACTCACTATCTGATTTTAGTCAAGGGTACATGTTATTTCTACAACAAACAACTAATAGGCCTACTACTCCCAGAATACCATATTTAAAGGGATTGTAAAGAGCTTTTCTAAGTATTTTATGTGTATCAGGGATACTGATTGAATCAATTTGCACTAGTCCCATTTTCAATCTGACGTCTGTGGTTCGTGCAATTCCACTAAAACTAAGTGTTTGATGACGTCACTAATGACTAAATATGCTTTATCACCTTCGCGATTCTTGATGTCATCAAATATTTAGTTTCAGTTAAATTGTACAAACCACAGTCTGATTGAAAATTTGAATGGTGCAAATTGATGCTATAAATGTCTCTGATACACATACAAAATCTAGAAAACTTCTTTACAATCCATTCAACTTAATACAAATAGTGTGTAGGATATCTATCAATAGATCAGTTTCTACTGTTACTGTTTACTGCATTTTAATGTGATCAGTTTTAGTCAATAGTTTTACTCATATTGCTTAAGTAACACTATTGATTAAAACAACTAATCACATTGAAATGCTTACACATATTCCACTTTCATGTAAAGATCCAATCATTATGACATTGTTAGTAAAGATTAAGTAGACCATTTTTAAAAATGCAGAAGCACAAGAAAAGATAATTAGGCCTATTAATTTTACTATTTCCTCGACAAGAAAAATGAAACATGACCAGACCCTATTGAAGAAAAAACCCAACAAACTCTACACATTTTACGTCATCATTATAAGCCAAGGAAAATGGTTTTTCTTAAAATTTCAAAAGATCTATTGCTTATCTATTAGCATTACATGTTAAAGGCCCTAACATGATTCTTAGTTTTTAGTTTATACATTTTTTTGTTAATTTTGGATTGTTAACCTTCAAATATAATTATATCATGCTTTATTATCAACAATATTGTTCATTAAATATTTAGATCTTGGGACTAAATTGATGACTGTCAATAAAGTCTAAGTAGGCCAAGAAGAATCAGACAAAAACAATCACAATGGAATAACATTAGATCTTCTGACACCATCGGAAACAACTTATACATTTCGTGGCAGTGACCTTAGAAAAGACAATATATCTAGGCCACACAATAATTACCTGGATTTTCCGGAACACCATTCGGTGTGCCAGAGAACGAGTTTGGCATCGAACCTGGATTTGGATGTCCATGTAAAAACTGACATTCGTCGCCGTAGGCACAGACACCCGAGTTCATAAAATATCGGCATAATGCGGCCTTCTTTCCGGGTGGAACCGCACTTGTCATTGTTAAAGGGAGGCGAAATTCACCTCTTCATTAATTTATTCTAAGAAAATAATTGTATTGGCATTTATCCTTTCAAAAGTATGTTTATCTTTCAACTAAGTTTCCCTTATTTTTGAACAGGTACTCCATTATTGATGCGCGCGCACAATTTCAGGGAACTCTGGGAGTAGAAATTTAGGTCAGTAGCAGTCGGCAACATTATAAATATTTGTGTACGAAATTTATCTCAAAAATTATACTTGGATTTTTTATTATCGCAACACTAAATATTCAATTGTGCACCCTGCTAGATAGCACAATCGATTTGCATTCAAAAGTTATATAGGCCTGTAAAGTTTTGGATATTGCGATTTTGTTCATATCGTATAATTATTTTGGAGTAGTGTAGACCACACCTAACGAATCCTACCTACCAACTTAAGGTAATAAAAAATACCAGAATTACATTCCGTAATTGTGTTTGGAATATTCCTTCATTCACAAATGACCGAAACATCTGCCTCTATTCCAGACTCTGGAATGAAATTAAATGAGTGGCGTTTGACGTCCTACTTTTCTGCACCATAGGCCTATGTGCAATGAAGACGGACAACGACATGCAGGTGCAAAGAAGGAGATTTTTTCCAGGACAGCAGCTGCGGCATAAGCCTGCTCTTTTGAACATTGTCAGCTGGTGTCTACTCCGGCCAATGACTTCCAAAATATCTATCAGGGGCTGGAATAGAAGGCAGGTGTTTCGGACTATGCTAGCTGTGATATCAATGAATCTAAGACTAAGGGCATCGCATCCCATGCTAGATTTTTTGAGGCTCCTCCAAGACCTTGAACGAAACGGATTACTTTTTTCATGAAGTGAAAATATAAGCACATCTCATTGTTCCATCACATGATTAGAATTTCATTGACTAATTCTCGAAAAGAAAATACAGACAACCTATCCTTTAAAGGGACATTCCGGTTTTTTGTAGGTCGAAATTTTTTTTGCTCAAATTTGTGAAAACTTTACACCAAAATCTAGAGAAATATGCCCTTTAACTTATCTATTTTTAGGTAAGCTAACTGATGAATATATACTCATATTGACCTTTTCGAGAACTTCAATTTATATTCATTCCAAGACGTAGGTCTAGTATCACTTTAAGGTATTTTGTTCAACATCGATCCTTTATGATTAAAAGATTTGATTATTTCAGACTATTCCTCTTTTCCAGATGTAGGCTACTGTAGGTTATGTCGTGATTAGATGATAGATTTCCACATTATCCTACCGCATTACGGTTCATTATGACCTAGACTTTATTGGACTTTTTTTCTTGTAGCAATTTGATTGGATTGTACGCCAGAGAATACAGCAAATCAATATACCCTCGACATATAGATTTACTAATTCCTACTCTTCTGCACCTAATTCAACTAATGAAGACAAGCAACTAAAAGATATTCCAGTTCGAAAAAATCCAGATGCCTTTGCAAGTTCAATAAACAATAGAGCCATAATGATTAGTAAAAAATAAAGCTGGTAGTAAATTTTTTGAAAAACGCACCCTTTCGGGTTTTTTTTTGGTGTTGTTTTTATTTTATATTCAAACAAAAGTCATTAAACATCCATTCCTCTACTGACTATTTTGGAAATCAATATTGACTTCACAATATTATGTAAAGATGAAAGTAGCATTTATGAAACTGGCATAGGCTTCCCATTTAAGATGTTTCTACAACCGGTGAACGTAATAAGAGTTATACTTTAGAGTTATATCTCGGTATAAAATGGTCATAGGTTTCGATTGAAAGGCTCAAAACATCTCGTATATTTTGTTTACTCAAACTGTGTTCTATATATGAGATGTCAACAAAAAGATTACTATAATCCGATGTTCATTTAAATTTTTCAAAAAATCAATAATAGAACAAAAATGATATAACTCGAGACTACTGCTAAATACTGTCTTCCCACATACGTCGGGAAAATTCTAATTTTTGTAAGAATTGTAATATAGTATGTAGGCCTAGTCGAGCATAGTTAAATTTATGCACACCGGGGAGTGATTCAAATCATAAACACGAACAATCCACTTTAACATGAGGTAGGATAAAAAGGTATGAACGCGATATCAGTGTGGTTTTATATCAATTTATAACTGAAAGTGGACTAGACTACTCTATATGTATTGAATTTGCTCCAAGTGTGCATACATAGGCCTAATAGGCCCTAACTGACAGTTTTAGAATGACTGACATATACATGAACACAAATAATCACTTGGAAAATGTTTTTTTTTTAGTGGCCATTCTCTAGCCAAAATTTGAAAATGTTTGGGTGAATCGACAATTGGTGTACAACCTATGACAAATCAATGGTATAGGCATACTCGAAAGAGGTAAAATGCCTAAATAGGAATAATTTTGGGTAAGAAAAGGGACAAATTAGGAAGGGGCAATATCACCAGTGTCAACATCTTTTAATTAGGCCCTATATAGCATCAATTTCCAGAGCTCAAAGAGCAGAAATGGGGCACGAATAGCCTAGATCTATATTTTCAAGAGAGGAATTAAATGGTATGGTACAATCCAATATATTTTTACTGTTGTGTATCATGAATAAAACTGTTAATATATGCTTTAATTAATGTTCAAAAAACATAATAATTGATGAAAAGAACATAAACATAATATAATTAAGAGCATAAAATATCAAGGAGACAAAACATTTATGCATAGAAAATTATAGGCGTGTTACAAAGAAACTAACTAGAATTAAAATATAACGTATAATACAGAAACCACATAGATCTAGAAACCATGTGAATGATGTCATTAGAGAAACAACATGCTATGAGAAGCTTAATTCGGCAAACAAGTCAAAAATGTTTTCTTATTAACATTATTATGTTTGTTTTTTTTAACATTATGTTCACATCTTAGAAAGGGCTAAATCTCCAATTTTCACGTTTTCTGTCTCAAGTCACTAACTAACAAAAACTCATAAAATTTAATTTCAATTAATTTAAAAATTTTCAAAATTAGTAATTAATTTTGAACAAAGTAACAAAGGGGTACAACATTACAATCAAACATTAACTCATGTAATTCATTGAATAACAAATCATGATAGGGTAGTTAAAATCATGAATCATTCTATTTTGGCAATGAAACTTGCAACATGGAAAATATTCAGAATAACACTAAAACATCTTTAACACCAATAATTTTCTTTAACATAAATAGGAATTCAATTCTTAAAAGATTCAAAAACAAATTATCATAAAACTATGCCTGATTATAAGATATTACTTCAATCTCATTTTCGCTTGTGACTCATATTCACATTTTGAAAATCATTGGAATAAAATTCTTTCAATTTGACATAATTCTCAAGACAGGATTTTCAAATTACCCTGATAAATAAGACTTTCAATATGAAAAAAGCGTTCTTTCATAATACAAGCAAGGTGTGAATAGAATATTGAGTAGTGTATAAATATGATTAATATAAATAATGACTAATATTCAATCAGATTCAAATATAACACTTAATTTTTTCTTTTCTTCAAAGAAAACGGAGAAAACAAAATATCTTGAGCTATATTTAAATCAGGCTGACTATTTTTGGAATTCTTTGTAAGGGATTTTAAGCTTTGAATAACTTGCTCCAAATAACTGTTATAAATCATTTCAAATAATCATCATTCATTATATACTGAGAGAGAGTTTAGTTTTCATTCATTCCATTTCTTCAATCTTTCTCTCCTCAATCCAGATCATCCTGAAAAGAAAAATGTTTAAGATTAAGAGACTTTTAACTCCTGTCCAATGACTCCTCAGTATAAGAAATCATACATCAACTAGATCAAGAATCAATCATTGATCAAAAGATTTATAAAATTAAAAAATGTACAAAAGTTCTGGTGCTATTTTCTCCTCTTTCCTACTGGACAAAAATCTTAAATCTAATCTAACAGAACATTTCTTTTAATTTTATAATCATTCTTTAATATAGTACTATTAACTTACTGTGCTGCTTGGGGGTCCACCTGGCATACCGCCAGACATACCACCAGGCATACCATCAGGCATACCACCTGGCATGTCTCCAGGCATTCCACCACTACCACCAAACTTGGCAGCCATCTTGTTTATAATCTTTTGAACTTTAGGATTATTTTGATATTTTGAAATGTTAGCAGGATTAGCTGAAACATCTTGGAAGGCTGCCATAACTTCTGGATCCTGCAAGATAAATTGATTAGGAACATTGTTTAATAGCATACAAATTTTCAAATCTAATGGATCAATATATATATCACTGGTTAAAGTTTTATGTTGTTCCATAAAGCTGTGTCTATATATCTACTTACAATTGCTAACTACCATTCAAATTAACATTTCTGTAAAATTAGAAACGGGTACAATCTACCTATCACTTTCCAAAAAAAAAACTCAAAAACCTTGTCAACATGTTTTTTGAAAAACTGTGGCAATATTTACTTGTCTTGAGATTTTTAACCTATACATCCTTTAACAATAAAATATATCTTACCTGGAATGCTGTCATTAATTCAGGGTCAGAGAATAAGTCACCTAAATTAGGCATTCCTGGCATACCACCCATACCTCCACCTGCTGAAAAACAAATACAGAACTTGACAGTTTACTTCAATACATTAAGGTCTTAAGGTCTGGTGTAAGTAATCTTTCCTTATTGATCACTTCTGTAGATTTGGTTGTAAAAACGAACAGGCTAAAAGGGAAATTAATACTACAATAGGTAAAAGACTAGATAGAATTTATAGGTCTTTTGGCATTCAGGATTAAAACAAATTGTAAGGTCTAGCTGAGGCTCTACTACTAAAATCTAGAAGATGTGTTACCTTGGAAACCTGGCATACCACCAGGGAAACCACCAGCACCGGGCATGTCCCCTCCAGAGCTTTGTTGCTGTAATAGGAATACATAAGTTTTAATCAATTCTGTATAGTATAGATAGATACAAACTTAAATGAATTTAAATTTATCAGAAAGAATAAAGAAAAATACAAATCATCAATGATATACGTAATCATAGTATCTTTCTAATTTGGGCTTGTATGTTGAGAGAATACTGAGTAGTATTATAACAGAATTTTACATGTCAATACCATCCTTTATGAGCTTATATTTTCATGAGAAAGGAAAGTGGGAGATATCAGTACATGTACCTGTTTTTGCTTTTCATATTCTTCTCTAGCTTTCTTTATTTTAGCTTTCCTTTCATTCAGTATTTTTTCTTCCCTCTTTCTTTCATATCTTCTGTTATGTTCCATTATTTTCATGGCCTACATGTAAATAGAGCTCTTTCAGTTATGGTAAATGTATTTGATTGTTGAGTTGACAGAAATTCTGTTCAACCCTAGGTTCCCAAACTTCTCTAAACACCCTTACTTTCTTTGTACCCTTATCCATTGTGATTTGCGAAATCGTAATGATATCCTTGATCAGAAAACATGTTAGTACAATTGAGTTATCAATAATATCAATTCAAATCACTGAAAACTGCAAATGAAATTTCCAAATAAGGAGAATACCGTACTTACATTAGGTTTGACTTCATTTAACATCATATTGGCATCATCATCATAATCTAATTTACATGCTGTAGTCAAATCATGGTAGGCTTCTTCCCATTTCCCTAACAATCTACAACAATATTTAAATAGGAAATAACTAGAAATGATGATGCAGTTTTTTAACTTTCATAAAATAAAGAAACATTTTTGGGATAGGGGTTAGGCAAAAAGGAAACAGCCTCTTCCACAATGCATTTTGGATATATGTGAATAAAATATTGTTAAAAAAAAAAAAAAGTATATGCCAAATCTGTGCTTCTCTCAAAGGGATTTAGAAAGGCAAGCAGTACAAAAACATTTATAAGGCGTCTGAAATTCTACAATGGATCTCTGCATTCTTTAGCACCCAGGTCATTAATAGGAATTTTATAAATGAGACTACAGGCCAATAGATCTCATCTTTAGATGATCTTAAGAATCCAGATACTGACTATTGTTTGGTAAATTCTTAACAGATGTAATCACTACAAATGAATTTGCTTCATGTTTATATCTTTCTACTCAAACTATTTCATAGGCAAAAGTCCAATGAAATTTCCATATTCAATGAAATCTTTTTAAACATTACCGGTTTGCTTTGCCTCTCCATTTATAAGGTGCAGCAGAATCTGGATTGATTTCTATAGCTCTATCACAATCATGTATTGCCTTTCTAGGTTTCTTGGACTTCAAATAAGCACTGTAAACCAAGAATAAAAACATACTGAATATACTATATAAAATCTTTATTTCAATAGCCTGAAACCATAGTTGAGAGAATAGATTGTATATACAAATCAAATTGTCTCTGCTTGGACATTCATGGATCAATGTTACATTCACAAAAGATTTTAAAAGCTGTAAGAATTACATACCTGGCTCTTTTAGCATACATTAATGCTGAATGTGGATTAAGTTTGATGGCTTCCGTAAAAGACTTGATAGCTTCTTCATAATTTCCTAAAATGATAAACAAAAAATTGTGATCATTCAATGACTTTGTAACGATGTGAAGTGTTTATTGTTTCAAAGCGCAGATAGAAAAACAAGTACTACCAAAACTTCAGTTGGTACACAGTATGAAATAGAGCAGTGATCGCACAGAAACTCTGAGAAATAATATGTTTCAGGTTCTTTTTAAATATTTTTAACTATAGAAAACATTCAAGATGTTAAATACTACTTTTGGATCCTCTTTTTTATGGGGTTAATGTTTTATTTCTTTCCTCTGAAATTGAATAAGCTGCAACTTACCTGAACTAAGAGCATCCATAGCATCATTACGTTTATCATTAGCTTGGTCAATAAGATCATCAGTTACTTCATGATCATCAGGTGCATACTCTGGTAAGCTACCATCACTATCTTCTATTACACCACTGTTATCTAGTTCTGTTAAAGAATTATTAAATATATTTCATTAACGATTTATTCAAAGTTAAGAAACTCATATCGATACAATAGTTTCAATTCAATTCCTTTCTGTTGGAAATACCACTAAGCTTGATAACTTTTTACTCAACAGGCTTTAATTGTAATGAAATATTGGAAGTTTTACATTTTCCTTTTAAGCTCCTGAATGAGCTTATAAAAGGTGAGTCATCGAGCAAAACATGACATAACAGTGTTCAACGCAAGTGATATTCTCTGACTTCCAACAGTTTTGGTTGAAAGGAGTGAGGTTGGCACTATGTGGATGAGCTGTAGCATAATCAGAAATACATTTACTTTTTACATAAAAAAAATAGTAATCTTCAGTTCTTCTCTTGGTCGACATGTGAAATTCTGGTGGCCTTGATTAGGTCATCTTTCCTTATTATTCCAGTTGACCCAGCTGTAAATGGGCACTGATAATCTAGAAAAGATCAATGCCGAAGGATTTGGCCACATATCTGCTGGTTTAAAAGATCCTTGTGAACCTGATGCCTTTTAAAAAAGAATGGTTTTTATCAAAGTAAACTAAGCAGATATTAAATAGTTTTACATACCAATATCACTCTCTACTTCTTCTTCTTCCTCTTCTTCTTCTACTTCAGGTTCTGCTTCAGCAGGTTTCTAGCAAATAAAATCACATAAGGTTATGAGTTCTGCATACATATGTAAGAACCTGTCTATTGTGTACAAGTCTAATGACACTGAAGATCTTTTCTCATGACAAGAATCAGCGCCAGGAATATTGGTTGGAGAAACTAAGCTGTTATGTAAGGTTATTACTTCTTTTTCCTTTACATAAATAATTCACAATGATTTATACTTACAGCCTCTTCTGGCTTAGGCTCTTCTTTGGGTCTACATGGAGGAATTTTACCACCATAGCTAAAATAAAAATTTAACATTATCATTTAGCACTGACAATCAGAAATCTTAAAAGTTAGATGCAACGCAAAGATGTACATGGCGCCTTGAAAACAAATTTGTATGCCTGTGACAGACAGAGCCAAACTTTTTCATCTCCTTGTTAATGACTAGATGTTTGAACTATATCAAACTTCCAATTTGCATCATTGACAAAATGAAAAGATAAAAAATCAGAAAAAGATAGCAAGCCTCCATATTACAGACCACATATTGTCACAATGAAAAAATGTGTACCTTTCAATGAAATCTTTAAAGAAAGCTAATGCAGGCATGTGCAAGACATTAGGATCAGTTTTACACATTGAAACGAACTGCTTTAAGAGATTGATTTGTGTTGAATCCATGTTGATTCTGTGGATCTTATCTGCAAGAAAAATAATTTTGTATCAAAAATACACCATTTTTAACAAAACATTTATATTATACAGTGGTGTAACCTATATTAGTGCATATAATGATTCAAAACCAAATTTTGTCATGATCAAAAATAGGAAAATTATTTTAATGTATTATATGTATGTATTAAATGTACTTCAGATATCATAAAAAATATTCAAAGTTTTCGATTTCCTTTATGTATCTCCCACTTTGACCCAAATTTCATGAGTATCCAACGGTTGCAAAATGCATCACTTATTTTGGCATAAAATGTTTGATCTATAAATAAGTCGAGAAAACATGTTATAGAATTATCATTTCTTAGCATTTATCTTTAATATCAATTCATTGTAACTAATGACAATTCTTTCAAAGAACAATGATTGAAAAATATGACTGTCAAAATAAGATAAGTAAAACGTAAAAATTGATTGAAACAACATAAGAATATTGCCAACATTGTGTTCCATTTTTTTAAATTTTTCTGTCGACATGGAATCCGCTAGTTTGTCACATGACTTTGTTCACTAGAATATATTCTAGCAGACGACACTTGGAATTCCGGGTACAGCTAGGATTATAAGGAAATTGGGCCGATAAAAAATTGTGATATTTGGTATATCTGCCATATTTTGTTTATGCTATAAATACATAATAAATTTGACATTGGTTTGAAACTATAAGAAAAGGTTTGCAGGTTGATGTTGTGGAGATAACCCATGTTTATCAAAACATGCAAATGCAGAGGTCACGCGAAGTTGAACATGCAAATTATTTATTATTTTTTGGAGATGCACGAAATTAAGTTCACACGCAATTAGGTTACGTGACTGTATGTCAATATTATAACTTAAACTTGCAGTAGAAAGTCTCTAAAAAGCAAATTTAATAAACCCTTTTCGGATTCATGTCTTTGAAATAACCATATTCATATTTAAATGAAACTCTGAACCTGATAGTTCTTTAAGTTTAAAAAACAGAACACAATTTTATGGTATACTACTCCTTAGTTTTATTACACACAACATTTCACAATCTACATTGTCATCATCAGGTGAAGTTTCTTTAAGTATCGGCATATCGGCATATGAATATACAGTCAAGTAATTTCGTGGAAACCTATTATTCGTGGATTTCCGGAAAGGATTAATAATTTACATGAGCGACCTTGCGCGAACTCCGCATTAGTTTGTTTTGATAAACAAGGGTTTTCTCTACAATGTCAGCTAGTAGAATGAATCCAGTAGTTTCAAGCAAGGTAAAATGCATAAATGTATACTTTAACAAATACAAAATGGCAGATTTCAGTTATTACCAAACGTCACCATTTTTTTATCGGCCGAATTTCCTTATAATCCCAAGTGATAATCGGAATTCCAGGTGTCATCTGCTAGAATGTAGTCCAACGAATGAAGTCACGTGATCAACTAGCGGATTCCGTGTCAGCAGAAAATTTCTATGGAACACAAAGTGGACCATATTCTTATGTTGTTTCAGTGACTTTTAGCAATAAATCACACTACGTATCTTATTTTGGCAGTCAGTATTTTTTTTAAATCGTGGTTCTTTGAAGGAATTGTCAGTAGTTATAATGAATTGATATCAAAGATAAATACCAAGAGAAGTTAATTATACCACCGGGTATCCATACAACGTGTTTTTCTCGACTTATTTATAGATCAAACATTGCACACGAAAATAGGTGACGCATTCTGCAGCCGTTGCCAAGTTGGTTGCTCATGAAATATGGGTCAAAGTGAAGGATTAATAAAGAAAATCGAAATAAACCAATTTTAATTATTTCGTAGAATATCTGACGAAACATTTAAGACATAAATAAAAAATTTTGTTTTTTTAACTTTGACGAAATTCGGTGTTGAATCCTTGTATCCACGAAAATAGGTTACAGTACTGTATCATTTTGTCAAAAGTTAAATGCTATAATGATATTGATAGGGCATGATTGATTGAATCTTGATCCCCATCTTTGTGCGAAAGCTCTAAAATGTTCCATAGATGTATAAGAGAAAATTATACATTTTTTCCATGAAAATGAAAATGGTGTGTTAAGACCATACAGTTCTATTCATAACTCTATGGTTAATGCAGGCTTGCTAAGAGAAGGGAGATAATTCAATTTTACAACAACCACGCGTTGTTTTAAACCCAAAGAATTTTTCATCAAATAATGCATGAATATGTTCATTTCTTTACAGAGATCCTCTAAAGATTGTCATTTTACAAATAGCAAGACTTTTATACCTGAAGCACGCTTGTCAACGTAGATAATTTATCTCAAAATAACCTATTCTGAAAACAATCGCCTCATAGAAAATTGAGAACGGCCTTGACCTAAATAAAATTTTTATCGCTTAAAACATTGACAAACACTGTTTTTATTTTTTATTATTCAAAAAGTTGACATTCATATTCCAAGCTTATTCATTCATAAATTCGAATATAATTTCATTTGTTGATATAATTTTTGTTTAGAAGAAGACTAAGTCTACTTATTTGACTCTATTTTGCTGTATTTTTCTTGATATAAGCGATATGAAATTATTCAAGGGCTGTAACTCTGTCCTACTCTTCTGATAAAAGTTTTTTGCTCAAGAAAAAAGTTACTTTGTTGTAATTTAATTTCAGACAGCCTTCAGCATCTTTCTGCATTTAATTTTTAAGTCTATTTTTACTCAAAGTTATAGAAGTATTAATTGATAATTAAAAGCTAAGCCAAGCTAGAGCCAGTGACATTGAGCCGGAGTCAACCATCAATCATGCATGGAGCTTAAACTGCTATTCCATTTTATGCGTGGTGTATTGAATTATAACTTCTACAGGGAATGCTGTCAATGATATGTAATTGACAACAGTCCACATTTTCATACTGGCTACAATGAAAAACGTTGAGAACTAGAACTGACTGTACTGGTTATGCTTGACATCAGAAAATAGAATTAAGCATTTTCTGGCTGCTTTGCTCTCAATAAAGTGTGGAAAAATTTACGATCACAATGGCAGATAGATCTTATGTTATGACATCCAACATCTGATGACTTAAATTATTGACTTTGTATATATTTATACTGTATTAGCTGACACCAATGCTATAATCAACTAATTTGATTTTTTTATTATAGAAACTGAAAGCATGGAGGGACTATGAAACGTACACAACAAAAATGTTGAAGAATATGCCTAGGTTAACAAGGCTCTTACTAAGATTGCCTAAAACAAACAATTACAACATACATCAACCAAAAATTTTAGTTTGCAGACATTTTGGTCAGCCAGTGGCATTAACTCATCCACATCTGTTAAATGATGGTGAAGTAACTCCTGGGATAACTAAACTAGAATATCTCACACGTAGAGTGAACTTGGTTGATAAAGCTATCAATCTGTATAAACAAGTTCAGGTCTCCAACCATATCTTTATCATACCTGGAGCAGTAAAATCTTATATGACGAATGATATTCCTTATCCGTTTCACCAACAGACAGACTTTTTATATTTATGTGGTTTCCAGGAACCAGGCAGTGTTCTTATTTTGGAATCTGCAAAAGGCAAAGCTAATAATCATACCTCAACTCTTTTTGTCCCTGAGAAAAATCCAGATAAAGAATTATGGGATGGACCTCGATCTGGAAAAGATGGTGCCTTGACTGTTACTGGTGTAGATAGCACACACAATATAAGTGATTTAGAGAAATATCTTTATGATTTTAGTAAATTTAATCCAGGATTTGTTTTGTGGTATAGGTTTGATAAGCCATCCAATGTTACTGTCCATAATGCTATTTGTCATGAATTCATGATAGAGCCAAAATATCGCAGTCTGGAAGATCCCACTCGTTTGTGCCAACAACTAAGATCTATTAAATCTCCAGCAGAAATTGACTTAATGCACAAATCTGCTGAAATTTCTTCAGAAGCCTTTATTGACGTCATGAAATTTTCCAAACCTGGGGTGAGATTTTGTGTTTTACTGGATGATTTATATTAATCATATATAGTAGACAAGGGATCATTTCAATCTGATGATATAAGTTTCCAATATAAAACCCTTATGAATGGTGGGTTTTAATTGGAGCTCAAATTTATATTGGTCATTATGTGCTCTCTAATTAGGAGCAAGAATTTGTGAACCAAAAGAGTATGTTGCATTCTTGTTTGTGCAGAAATAAATTTGTTTTCATTATTCAAGGGCATTAAAAAATTATCTTATGCTTTAAAAGACATTCCGATCCAAATTCCAAGTATATGATTGCTATTTTTGAATTCAAGAAGTAAATTGGTGTCAGTGATAATATCAATTTGATGTGACAATTGTAGATCTTTGATAACATTCCATTTTGATATATCCCTGCAGGTAAATGAATCAGCGTTGTATGCTAAGATGGATTTTGAATGTAGAATACGTGAAGCTGAGATATTGGCCTACCCACCAGTTGTAGCAGGAGGAAATAGAGCCAATATTATCCACTATATTAACAATGATCAGATTATTAATGATGAAGAATTAGTATTAATGGATGCTGGGTGTGAATATCATGGTTATGCTAGTGATATTACAAGAACTTGGCCAGTCTCAGGTAAACCATCTTGAGCTACCCTAGAAATGCATTTAGTCATGTTTTTATATCTCATATAGTCTCTTACATCTAGACTTCTCCCTCTCCTTTCTTCAGCTGTGTGCATTCCTCACAACCTTCCCCAATGTTGTTAAGTTTCCTTGAGTTGAACAGCAGCACTCTAGTCCCAAAGTTGATACAAATACTGCTGTGTGTATTAAAATGTCCTCTATCAATACTTTTCTTACCCATTTGTTAGATTTGGCTAATATGCTTATAGGAAAGAGTATTGAACAAGAAATTGGAATGGCGCAAGGAAATTTGCACTACAGTTTAACCTTTCATGAATCTTTGTTTCTCGAACATTTGAATCTTGTTTCAGGAAAATTTACTCTGGCCCAGAAACAACTATACAATGCTGTATTAAATATTCAACTATCATGTATTCAACTATGTACAGTACAGTTTTCATTAGATCAGATATATCATGCTATGTTAACATTAATTGGTGTACAGTTACAACACATTGGTCTGTTAGACTCACAGTTAAAATCAACTCAATTAATGAAGGTGAGAGTCTTTAAATCTGTACATACTTGAATTGATTCCAAGTTTTGAATATTCTATCATGCTATCATTGAAATTCCACTGCTGACTGATTACATGTCATTTATATTGCGTTTGGACACATTATTTTTTGTGAGGAAGTTGAGTTTGATTGGATTATTTACAATATCATGAAATTATTTTGACCAGTGAAAAGTATTGTTTCAAAGCCAGCAACTTATTCACTTTATTGACAGTGCCTCAGATTTTCATCACTAATAAGGGAGCCAGGCTATCTTTAATCTTACACATTCCAATGAATTCTTCTTACTGAGTGTATATTTTCTCAAAAATTATGGTGTCCTGTTTTGTTAAGCATACTTGAGGAATAACACTTGGGTGGTAAGTTTATTTTAGTTGAGATGACAAATTTGTTTACATTAATTGACTGTTGCATGGGAACAAATTACAGAAACTGTTTTTGTTGGTTTTCATTACGGGTTTTTAATTTTGTTTGCAGGCTGCCAAAGAATACTGTCCACATCATGTTAGTCATTATTTAGGTATGGATGTACATGATACAGGTGAAATATCTCGTAGTATTAATCTTCAACCTGGTATGATAGTTACAGTTGAACCAGGTAGACATTTTGCTTCTTCTATTCAGTTGCAGCATTAAACAGATGATCAATAATAGAATCTGATTACAATGTAGATTAGGATGTTTAATATTGTAGGGTTACTACTCTCATCTTTTTTTATGCCAATGGATTTAATTTTTTTTTTATTAAAAAGGTATATTTTAATAAAAATTTGTTCAAACTTAAGGGGCATCCTTTTTGGAAGTCAGTTTTGGTCTATTTAAGATATTTTGTTAAGATCTATGAATAATATACTTTGAAATGTTTGTTTTGTTTAAATGTGATATGAGGATGGTTGAAAATTTTTATTACAGGTATTTATATCAATAAAAAAAATAAAACAGTCCCATATGAATTTCGAGGTATTGGTATTAGAATAGAAGATGATGTTTTAGTCACTGATAGTAAACCTATAGTACTAACTGATGGCTGTCCTAAAACAGTAGATGATATAGAAAGTATTATGGCTAGTAATTAAGTATAAAATGATGTTTGTAAAACTTAAAGGGATTTTAAAGAGGTTTTTTAAATTTTTGTTTGATTTTGTCACCAATCATGAAGGGCCTTATTTGCATATTTACTGATTAGTGGTGTCATCAATCACTTAATTTTTGTGAAATCACAGGTAGCACAGACATCTGACTGGAAATTTGAATGTTGCAAATTGATGTTATCAGTGTCCTCAATACACTAAAAATTTACAAAGCAATCTTTACAATGCCTTTAAAGGGATGTAGTCATCTGATTACCTAGGTAACAAGCTACTTCCATTAATATCTGTATTTATTGAACTGCATGTCATATGAACTTGATATTGTTGAATGAAAATTGAACTCTATCAGATACAATGGTGCTTAGATGACTATTACTCCGCAATTGAAGTTTGTTGTGCTGTTTCTTATGACATAAACCAAAGAAAATTATATGAATGTGAAACATTAATATTATAACAATGTTACCAGGTTGCTTGTCTTTTACAGTCTATCCTCTTTTAATTGAATCTTATTGGCATAGTTCAAGTTCAATGTCATCAAATAAACTTTGTAACCATTGTTTCGGCAAATTAAACTTAAGGCAACCTTATGCTTCAGATTCAACGACAATTTGAAAGAAAAGCTGAATGATGCTGCCCTAGCAAATTTCACTCATGTTACTGGCAACTGTGGTGGTTAAAGCTCGGACCAATTTAAACAAATCTCAAACAAAAACTAAAAAAAAAATCTAGATCTGCATTTTAATCACATTGACAATTTGACAAAGATTCCTGTACCTCACTAATAAATGAAACAACTCTCTAGTCTGTGTGTATCAATGCAAGTTAATGGGTGGCCTTATTAATTTTTATAATGTTTATATTAATAAATTGATTTGTTATTGAAATGTTGGCTTCATCTGTGTTGTCGAAATTATTTCAGGGGTTATTTTCCACCAAATAGAAATGTTCAGATTCAGATAACTGGAACTATATATCAATATCACACCAAGCATCCATACTGGTGTTTGCCATTATTTAAGCTGCACTGCTTATCATGTATTGTCAACCACCATACCCCATCCTTCTCCCCCTTTCTATGTCCAAACATGTATGAAATAAAACTTTTATTATAAAGTACGCGAGAATAAATTGTAGGAATTTAATACAAGATTGTCATTATAACAAAAATCTTGAATCTTCACGGTAATAAAATGATATGATTGGAGAGAAATATTTCAACTAACTGTATGTCTGTATGATATGATAATGACAATCATCATATTAAAAATTCAAATATATGAGTATTAGAATAATTATCATTAATGGACAGGAGTATTTGAAGCCATGTCATAAACAAACAAGCAATTTTTAATGCTTAATGGATCCTAAATTTTCATTGAAAATATAAAATTTTTTGTATCCAAACAAGTTCCAAATACAATTCATGTAAACAAAACAATCGAAAAAAAAAAATATCTCTAATAGCACTTCAAAAAGTTTTGATTCGGAAAAAAAAACATCCTGGGTCCGATTTCACAACATTTGAACTATGAAACAATCAAGTTTCTAAGAAATAGAGTAATTTGATAAATAACAAATATTTTTTGTCCCTCAGTCCCTAGCTTCAGTGAGTCTTGATTTGTCTGACACAAGCTGAGTATTATTAACACACTGCACTTGTCAAAAACATTGTAAGTTTAACATAATTGTACTTATACAAAGCATACAACTCTATATCAAGACATCACTTTTACACCTAATAATACAGACCAATCAGATTTTTAGAAGTAAATTAGATAAAGAATCTTAACCTATGAACTTTCTAAGATGAGCTTTCTTTAACAATTCACACAGATATCTCTCTCTGGTCAGTTCTTGAGTTTTGGTCACCAATCTAATTTGACAGGGTAATCCCCTGATAAACATGCTGTACAATGTCCAATAGGCTGACCAGTAGTTGTAATACCTTCCTGTATAGCTTTCACTAAACCTTCTATAGTTAAATATTTCACACTATCAGCACCTACATCAGACAACATACAAGTTTAATGAAATCCTTTTTTATAATATCATTCATGCATTGATAAATAATGATAAAATTATGTGCAGCTTTGTGTTGTAAGGGTACAGCCTATAGCCATAGCATATATTGTTGAAAAGCCCACACTAAAGATAAACTTAGAGAGATGAGTAGCACAGTATGTAGGTACAACAGTATTGTATTATGACATCGTATGAATTATTGAAAAAGGGGTAGCCACAAATTGTGAGCTTGGTAGATGTGGTTAAGTCTAGTGACTATTGTATGGTCAATTCTAGAAATATCATCACCAGACGACAAGTGTTTTTAACACACGCATGCATTTATTGTTTGATTATAATATGCACAAACTTACATAAATGATCTGGTAAATCTTGTAAAGAGATTCTATTAGCTATTAATTCTTCTTTTGTAGGTATATTAATACCCATATAACATGGATATTTAATAGGTGGTGAGGCTACACGAACATGTACCTAAAATATATCAATTCTCAATATCAGATGACACAGGTGAGTTAATTTCAAGATCTGTTCAAGCAGATGTCATCTGTTGACAAAATGGTTCTGTATGTGATAACCCAATTCTTGTCCTCCGAAGTCTGTGGAATAATGTAAAGCAATATGTTAAAACCTCAAAAAGTCAAATGTTTATAGTCAGATGTATCGAGCTTCCTTTGTAGAACCACTGTACTTCAAGATGGTTTATTTCTACAATTTTGATAACAATAGTCAGGGAGTTGTCTTGGAGTAGTTACAAGTAAGTTTATCACAGATTCCAGATAGTCAGGAGAATTGTAATGCTACAGATTCTAATGAAGATGCTACTAAAAGTTTTTTGGTTACGCAATCAATGAATCAATTACCTCTTTAGCACCATATTTCTTCAATAATTTGATGAGAGCTTGCATGGTGTTTCCTCGTACAATAGAATCATCCACCAAAACAATCCTTTTACCAGCAAAATTATCAGTTAATGGTCCAAATTTCTTGGCAACACCCAACTGTCTCAATCTAGTGGTTGGTTGAATAAATGTACGTCCAATATAACGATTTTTACTGAATATTTCTGTATATGGTAAACCTAGCTAAAACAAATTATAACACAGCTGTACACTCCATAGAGACAAAGAAGGGGGGAAGGATCTACTGCCTATTTATCAATTTTTGTAAGGCATTCGATTTGTCCGTCAATAAGAATCTGTTTGAAACAGTGATAAAAAGTGGTATCCATGGAAAATTTATAAATGTACTTAGAGAAATGTACTCAAAATGTCGATCATGTGTTGTAACACCGTTTGGTTTAACTGAATTTTTTGAATGTTGTATAGGAACTAGGCAGGGGTGTATGCTAAGCCCTCTACTTTTTAGTTTGTACATAAACGAGTATGTAAATGAGCTAAATAAATCGATGACTGCAAGGGTATCTTTATCTCAGACTTGGCTGAAAATGTATTTTGTCTGATGTTTGCAGATGATATAGCAAATGTGGCAGATACAGTTTCACGACTGCAACAACAGCATTGTTAAGTTCTGTGACTAATTTAAGCTAAAAGTCAACTTATATAAAACAAAAGTGGTTGTTTTCCGCAATGGTGGGCCACTTTGACATTATGAAAAATGGACTTTTGATGGGGTGCCTCTTGAGACTGTTCCAGAATACCGGTATCTTGGCACTGTATTCACACCTAAACTATTATGGACTAAAACCAAACGAACTCTAGTAGCACAAACAGAAAAAGTCTTCACTATGCTTAAGGTCGTATGCTATAAAATTAAATCATTATCGTTTAAGTCAGCAAATGAAATCTTTGACAAAGCTCTAGTCTCCATAATTACGTATGGATCTGAGATTTGGGGTTTCGAGCCCTCTGACAAAATCGAATCTATTCAAATAATTACTTTAAGTACATCCCTAAAATGCCCAAAGACTCATGAATGTAATGCTGCTGTCCTAGGGGAATGTGACAGAAAACCTTTATATGTTATTTATATAACAAATTGAATTAAATATTGAAAGAACGCTTGGAATTAATGTAAAATAGATGAAAAGAAATAGGTCCAAATCAAATATTTTGTAAATAATAACATTTTGTTTATATACTGCAAATGAAAGAAATTGTCCATAAATTATTTTACAACTATTCACAAGTATAATCTATTACCAGATTGTAAATATTTATTCTTGATATATATATAATTGTTGATTTAACATGTACTTTGTGGCTTTTTGCCTTGTTTACAAATGTCTAATAAAATTATTATTATTATTATATTCAAAACATTGGTGCATAAAGTTTTTGGAAAGGTTACACTATGCCCAATCTGTCTTTAACAAGTGGTTGCCTAGCAAGACACACCCACTTCCCTGATAAATTTTCAGTATATCAAATGCAGTCACCAATCTGTTTCAAATCGTACCAAAAAAAACCATTTGTACAAGATATGTTGATTTAATCAAACACAAAAAATTTCATAAACTTTGGACATGAACTGCCAACAGATTTTGATGCATTTTTGCTAAGTCAGGGCAAGATTGACCAAGATCTGATTATGATAAATGATCACACCAAATTTCATTTGGATGAATGAGATTAAAACTTTAGTCTCTTTTGTGTTCACAAACAAATTTTGATGCATTTTTCCTAAGTCAAGGGCAATAACTCAACAACTGTTAATTGAAAGTTTGTCAAATTTGAACTTGACCAAGATCTTATTAATATAAATGATCACAAAATTTTTTATTCAAATTAAATAAAAACTGCAGCCTACATTGTGTTCACAAGCCAATTGTTGATGATCAGAGGCAACGACAATGTACAACCACATTATAATTTGGGTGATAACAAAAGCAACCAAAAGACCTTGTAGCCAAAAATGCAACAATAATTGCCCATTGAAATCAATGTAAAAGCAATAAAACTGTTGTTTTCTTGTTCTTCAAATCCAAGTATATTGAATTTAATTTTTTTTCAATTAGGTAAGTAAATGAGTTCAATAAGTTACCTTTCTAGCATATTCAACAGCTGATGGTGTAGCCGATTCTGGTACAGTACTAACTATATCTGCCTCAACAGGAGCTTCTATAGCAAGCTGTTCTCCACATCTCTGTCTTGCTGTATATACCATTTGACCTATGACCCACATATTTCTTGAATTAAGCACAAAGTTCAAGTTTTAACTCGGAAATTTTTCTACATGAGTTGCCAAGTATCATAATTAAAAATAGGTAGCAGTAAGAAATCATTCGTAACTGAACTGTATCTCATGTTTAGCAGCTGAATTATATAATAGTCAGCCCTACTTATTTACAGTAAACTTTGAGCTTCTTTCTTTATTTTTCTAATGAAATGAATATAATAATTTTAACATCCTTTTAAAAAGATACTTACTTTCAAAAACAGTATCAGCTCTAGCAAAATAAACATATTCAAATATACAGAATGCTGGAAGTTTACCATTAGGTCTCGATACAATACCACAAGATTTGATACCTTTCTTACTGATTTCTATTATCTCACCTAGTTTAAATAGAAAATGAAATAAGGGGTTTGACAAACACAAACAAAGTGTAAATACTTTCAAAAACAGTATCAGCTCTAGCAAAATAAACATATTCAAATATACAGAATGCTGGAAGTTTACCATTAGGTCTCTATACAATACCACAAGATTTGATACCTTTCTTACTGATTTCTATTATCTCACCTAGTTTAAATAGAAAATGAAATAAGGGGTTTGACAAACACAAACAAAGTGTAAATATGTCTTGAATACAAATGACCTTTTCAAAAAATCTAATACTGTAAGAAAAACCTGGCTCATACTGGAAACGATTATAATTTTTCCCCAAAGAAGGCATAATCTGCTGATAATACATAATGCCAACAAAATTTTTCTTCTCATGAGACATAATGCAAGACAAATACGATCTATCAAATACCTGAGAAGAAATAAAAATTCCATCCTACCTGGAAGAATATCTCTATAATATTTAGCACCTATAGCATGGAATGAACAGGATTCAGAGCTCACTACATAGGCATCAACATCTTTTTCATTACAATTATCCACACCTTAATCATCAAAAACATTGTCTATCATAGATTTATTTAAATTGTATCTCATTGCAGTATCAATATTCAAATCAGCTTTATAGTTGTATATCAATACAATAACCAAACACCAGTTTGCAAAGTCCTTTTAGGGTAAAGGGTACACTATACAGTTTATTAATACTTAAGTTTTTATAATGGATGAATAACTTTTAGAAATAAAAGTTAAACTTACTAATAAAGCTAGAAGGTGGTAGAATTTTACCAATACATAATGGTCTGTTTCCAAACGGATCTCTAACAGCATATACTACATCTTTATACATTATTAATAATGAATAAGACAACATGGCTACCTTCATCATAGCTTTTATTCTACAAAATATATCAGACATGCGTCATTAATGCAAGATTCAGACAGAGCCAAAATAAAAACTGGGCTATGACTTATTAACAGCATAATACAACAAGTTCAAAATGAAATAGTGAAAAGAACTTAGAGATTGATACAAAACGATTCCTAGCACAGCTGCAGGTAAAAACCATGTGACATGGCAATAAAGTGCAAACAAGAGTGTCCAATCCAACACAATCCTATCAAATAAACTCGTCAAACTTTTAAAATTAAAATTTGTCCTGTTATATAATCATTTGTTTGTGTTTTGGAACCATTTTAGCAAGAAATGTAACACAGCTTTAGCTATTTGAACATTGCACATTGTGTGTTCTCCTGTATTTCTTGAAAAAAGGTTTATCTTTATCAACTCTTTATCAATTTCAAAGATAGAAGGTTAAAGTTAAGTACCTGTTTATCCAGTTAGCGCCATCAGGTTCTCCACAAGACGGGGGATGTGTTAATAACTGTATCAATAATTCACTATCACTGTCAGTAGATAATCCTACTCCACTCTTTAATAACTGATACATTTAAATATATAAATCAATGTAATCATTATATATGTTATGTTTATTTTCAACAAACCTGTAAACCTCTGTTATACAACAATCCAATGAAATCTAATGCTACGTCCTGACAACTAGATGTGTGCCACATTTAGGGCGCTGATAAAGTTTTTTCAGAGGTTTTTTTGGTATAAATGCTGTTAATCAATAGTACACCACACCACACTGTCTTATCTCCTAAATAATGACACCTATCAAGAGTTTGTTTTAAAAAAAATTTCTAATATACATTACAAACATTTCTATGGCCTCCGATTATTCTTTATAATTCCTTGTGAATTCAAACAAAAATATTACCTGATGTCTTAATTCAGCTGCATTGACTATTTCACCATTATGTGCTATAGCTATTTTACCATGTATAGTATTTACAACAAATGGCTGTATATTTAACAACTCAGAACCTCCCATAGTAGAATATCTATTGTGAGCTACAAATATATAAATCTGAACTAAGTACAGTCAACCATATCATGTCTTGTGTCTTTAAAAATGGACATATAGGTGATCTGATAAATATGGAGCCAATCTTTACAGAAATTAAGCGAATCTCTTAATAAATCAAAAAACATTTCAAGGAATAAATCAGGTCAATCCAGGAATAGATCATGTTGATCCTGAAATAAATCTGATAAATCTAAGAATAAATCTGGTCACACAGGAATAAGTTTAGGAATAAATTGGGTCAATTCAGGAACGAAGGAAATCATAACAAAATCAGGGAAATCTCAAAATAACTCAAGCCAATCTAGTAATAAATCAGGTCCATCCAAGAATAAAACAGGTGAATACAGAAATAAGTCAGGTCAATCAAGGAATAAATCAGTCAATCGAAGAATCAGGTCAATACAGGAATAAATCAGGTCAATTCCAGAATAAATCAGACCAATATAGAAATACATCAGACCAATCAAGAAATAAATCAGGTCAATCCAGAAATATATCAGGTCAATACAGAAATAAATCATGTCAATCTAGTATAAATCAGGTCAAAAAATTTGTAGATCAGGTCCATTCAAATTCAAACAAACTGATATCTATGCTGGTTAAGAAAGTTATACCTATTCCCATATTTCCATTTAATTTGATCATATCTTCATTTCGGAAAATTTGTTCTACCAGTCCCATTCCTTTCTTTTGTTTAAACTGACCCTCTTCACCTGTAGTTGTGATTATACCAGCACTTTCTTGGCCTCTAAAATACAATTGTAAAAGGGCTAAAAAAATAATTTCCAAATCTTCAAGAGTTGTGACTATAAGTAACTAATTATGAGCTTTAAAGCAACTAAAGACAATAACTCAATTAGGTCAGGTCAAATATCTTCTGATTTACTGTTTTTTTTTTCGATATGGTTCATCCTTGAAAAAAAAATAATAATGATAAACAGTTTCACAAAGTTTTTTCTTAATCCATGAAAATGACCAAGTAAAGAAATATTGATAGTATTTGTTGTTGATGGCAATGATATTTGCCCTAAATTTGATACCTACATAAAGCTCTCTGAGGGAAAAGTTACAAACCGATGTTGAAGTCCAAGCAGTCCTAGAGTAAGAATATGAGGTAAATCCAACTGTGTAGGCCAAGGTTCTACTGCTACTGCACCAAATATACCACAATAATGTTTCATTCCACTCTCCTCTTGATTATCACAATCAGCCATATCTTAACTTAACTATAAATGAAAAAAAGAAAATCTAACAAAAATTGTTTTAAAAAAAGAAAACAAGTCATGTTGCAATCAAGCCACAACTCAGAGATTCTGACAAAATTTGAATTTCAAAACTATTATCAATGCCATGAATCCTCAGAATAATTAAAGCAGCTTAAAGCAAAGTAATATCCTATTTGGTGTTTAATATTTCTGCTTCCACAACAGATTAATCAAGTTCTGACTACACTATTTCAACTGGGTGATACAATAGGCCTAGTGATAGAGCTCTAGTATATCTTAAAAGGTTCAAGTGCGGCATTTGGTGGGTTAAATTCGACCTTGACTCTATGTAAATAGTCTTCTAGACTTCTAAAACTGTAAGAAAAATCAAATAATTCCTTCTAATAGACCCCAAACAAGAAATTCAACTTTTTATTTATTTATTTCGTTCACAACCTTATGTTCTTTCTAGAAAATTGGGGTAGCCTACCAGGGTATCCAAAATTTGAACGTCTTGTTAATATAGTCTCTGACGTCAAAATCTCTCTCGTCAATTCTGTGCGTGGACGAAGTGGGATAAGGTAATCATTGAGCCTACTTTATACATGACAAAATAGTTCAGGTATTCAAATATTCAAGTTTGTTAAATGGATGACTTGATGATATCACATTCAAATATTGATAGGCCTATGGCTAATTATGGATACACTCGGATTTGAAGGTTACAGTTAGCTGTGAACATCACATTGATGAGATTACAGGAACAATTCACATTTCTGAGATCAAGGAATCATGAAATGATTTACTCCCGGAAATCTCACTTCTGTCCTTCATTGGCTTCAATCTTATCTCTGACATGGAAAATGTAAGTTTATCACTTTTCAGTATGAAAATCCACCACTTCTTATCCTGTAATGAATGCCTTAATTTGATATCTTTTTGAAGCAGTAAATATAATTTATGTGTATTTTTACTTATAAGCTATCAGGATAGCAGAGGAGGAACAAGAAGGGTTCAAATGGTAATAATAATAATAATAATAGAGAAAAATAAATGATGTTGGACTGGATTCCTTTGCAAATCAAATGGAACAAATAATGGCAAACTACTGCAGATTTACTTACTAGTTGAAGAATGTACGCTTAAAATTCTCAAATAATAAATGTGATCGGGGGTTTCCTTATGAGATTGAAATTGAAAATTTGCTCTTGACCGAGAAAAATGTTGTCATATTTTGTCAATGGCCTTGTCCTTAAGGCAAAATTGACCTGGGTCAAAAGAGAACAGTGCAATATTCGTTCGCTAAATATGCTTTTGTCGTGCAGACAAGGCATTTGTCCAATCATAAAATACAATTTTATAATGTTAAATATAATCTCAAAATCATAACTATTATTTACCTACAAAATATCTTAAATGAAAAGAAATAAATATGGACTATACTGTTGCGGAATTTGATATTGTGTCATGAAGTGTTGACACGTGGTCTCCATATTTACCCGGCAAATCGCACGTGTTCTGCTACTCTGACTACTGATCAACATTGATCATCCTATTTAACTAATCTAAATACAATCATGGCTGATACAGGTTCATATTTTGTGTTTGTCTGATATTCGTTTATGAATTGTTGCAGTTGTCATTGTCTGTTTTGACCGTTATGAGTGACTGGTCTACTCTCTGAGACTACAAATGACAATGAATAACGATTTCTGAATTGAAATTTGAAGTTTGCCAATCATTTTCATATGAACTGAAATATCAACTACAAAATGCAACTGAGAGTTTTTGGTTGTCTTTGAGTTGTTATTATTATTATTCGTAAACACTAATTTATATAGGAACGTAGCCAGTAGGTCATTTTCACATGAATTTTCAAATCAATTCTAAGTGCACCTTTGTCTATGAATAACCCTTGCATTACAGTTGCCTTACATAAATAATGGAATGAATGAGTTTTTACTTTTTCCAAACAAAATATTTGTTAAAACTTGTGTTTTCATTGTAGAGATTAAATTAGGAGCAAAAATAATTGAAGGTAAAACTAAAGTGGTGTATGATATATTAGATCAACCTGGTCGTGTTTTACTTCAATCTAAAGATAGAATAACAGCTGGTGATGGTGCCAGATCACATGAACTAGAAGGCAAGGCAGCAATATCAACATCAACAGCATGTTCTGTTTTCAAACTTCTCACTGAAGCAGGTAAGATGGATATAAATGTGACTTTCTGATAGTGAAGCAAAGTTGACAATCACACATGCAGAAGAGCAATACATGATAATGATCTTATCCTCATAATTACCCTATGGCTTATGCCACAATTTTTTCTACCCAAATTTTTAAGCCAGATTAGACGATAGGAGATTGTTGACTAGTGAATATATAAGTGCCAATTTTTTTTTCAGGTATCAAAACCCATTTTATTGGTAAACATTCTGATACAGCATTGATAACCTACAAATGTGATATGATACCAATAGAATGGGTTACCAGACGAGTTGCTACTGGCTCTTTCATCAGACGTCATAAAGGTGTACCTGAAGGTTACAGATTCTCTCCTCCAAAATTAGAAACTTTTTTCAAGGTAATGTTAGATATTGAACTGTAAGAAAACATTATCAAGTGAGGTCCTTTAATGTTTATATCATAGCTTCTACTCAAATAATTTAATCTTTAGGGTATTTGATGCATTTTTATACGCCCACATCTCTCTATGTGGACGTATATTGTCGGCCCCCCTGTCCTTCCGTCCATCAACATTTGCTTGTAAACGCTCTAAAAACTAGATTTTTTGATGGAATCAAATGAAATTTGGTATGTGTATACATATTCATAAAACAAAGAACAAGTTCGAATATGCTATTACTCTCTTAGTTTTCAACCGATTTTGATGAAACTTAAAATGGATGTTTCGTTTTTACCATCCACATGCCGTGGTCCACTATCTTTTGTTTTTGAAGGGTTAGACTATTTTAAGCATAAGTTCTTACAGCTTTTTCTCCTTTTCTGTTTCACCATCAAGAACCATAATTCTGTTTACAGGATGATGAAAACCATGACCCACAATGGACCCATGAAGAATGTGTGTCTGCTAAGTTAAAGGCGGGAAATAGAACAATAGATGAAGATGATATTGATATTATGGGGAAAATGACAGTAGCAGTATTTGAAATATTAGAAAGAGCCTGGTCATCACTGGACTGTAGCTTAATTGATATGAAAATTGAATTTGGTGTTCGAACAGACAATGGTGAGAGTTTTATTGTAATTTTCTATTGAAAGTATAAAGAACATTTTAATTTTTGATCTGTCAATGATTTAGGATAGGATGTGCTACATAATAGGTGTCTGAACAGAATGGTAAGGAGTTTTGTCTTGGCTGCCAGAGATGTTTGTGTTTATGAAGAACTTTCCACTTTTTGATCAGTCAATGATTAAGGATAGGATTGTGTTTTGCTAGTAGTGTCTGACTACAAGTTTAAGGTCTACCTCTCTGTCATTCTAGGAGAATTAGTAGTAGCTGATATTATAGACAGTGATTCATGGAGATTATGGCCAGCTGGTGATAGAAGGTTAATGAAAGATAAAGAGGTTTATAGACAATTAAAAGAAGTGACATCAGAAGGCTTAGAAACTGTCAAGAGAAATTTTCAGTGGGTGGCTGAAAGAGTAGAGGTATACTTTGAATGTGGTTCTATATATCTAGAAATGCAGAGGGTTACCCTTATGTTATAGATTCCTGAAGTGGCCAAGAACTTTTTTTTCACATATTTGGTATCCCAGAATAGTTTTATTTCACTTCTATAAACTTACTTATCAACCCAATGTTGCTGTTTAGTTGTTGTAGTTTGATTAGTTTATCAAGTATCTTAGAAGTTTCTGACGTATGAGTGAATAACATAACAATTACCCCAGATGGTGGTAATTAGTAAATTCAATGGTAATTGTGGACAAAATGGATTTATGCAAAGACCTGCTTTCTATATTGAGTAGCATCATCTACACTGGTCAATTGATGCCACTCTTTTCTGTTTTACAATCAATATGATTTTCAACATAGAAACTGGTAGTCAAACCAACTGGTAGAGCTGTAGTATTTATGGGTTCACCCTCAGATAAAGAGTATTGTGAGAAGATAAGAGAAGCATGTCAAACCTATGGTGTACCATGTCAGCTACGTGTTTCCTCAGCTCATAAAGGCAGTAAAGATACTTTACAAATACTCAGTGAATATGAAGGTATATTGTTTTTTAGAATTGTACCAATACTTTTTAATAAAATGACTTGGATTTGTGAAAAGCTCTTTCAATTATTGAATACCTTTCAAAAATTAGTTAATTACAGTAGACTACATGTATTCATATTTGAATAAAATGTTAATCTGATCAAGATTTTCTATTTGTTCTTGTCTGTAAGTTAATACACTTGCCATTTTAGATCTGACAAAGTTGATTTCAACTAATAATGTTGCACAACAATTTTTCATCTACAGTGTGCCATCTACAGAATATAAATAATAAAACCTTTAGATCTGTATTTTAATCAGATATGGACTATTTTGACTAGAAGAAACCTGAAGTAGTGATAAACTGCTGGATGGACAATTATTCTTGTCTGAAGATTTGTTAAAAAATAGTCATGTTTGTGCTAATTATTATTATTGATATTTAAGGTGAAGGTATACCAACAGTATTTATTGCTGTAGCTGGTAGAAGTAATGGATTAGGACCAGTATTATCTGGCAATGCTACATGGCCTGTTATAAACTGTCCACCAGTCAAAGCCGACTGGGCAGCTCAAGATGTCTGGTCTTCTTTACGACTTCCATCAGGTATTTACATAATCTATTAAAAAAATAATATCCGCTGTAAAGATGAGCCGTTGTTTGCCTATCTAGAATTTTTTTTAAATTCAAGCTGTAAAGGCTTCTGTGTATGTCCCAATACATTTGTGATCTATACAATGATCATTTTAGTAAAGTGGTTATCTGACTGAAACATAATATGAAATAATATTGAAATAATATACAAAATTGTCAAAGACCATGGATGAGCCTTTGATTCAAATCTTATTTTTTTAAGGATTAGGTTGTGCTACAGTTATATCACCTGAAGGTGCTGGTCTGAATGCTGCTCAGATTCTAGGTTTATATGATCATGTGATCTGGAGTAGATTACGGGCTCGACAAGTCAATACAAGAATTGGTTTAATAGAAGCTGACAAAAAGACAAGAGACGTAATCTGAGCATTTCTAATTGAATTCCCACAATCTTAAATAAAATCTATCCTTTCTAACAAATACTCAACATGTATGAATGTTATTGTATTCATAATAATTTGTGAAATTTCTCTCTATTCAGTCAGCCATAAGCTTTAAAATTTCCAACATGTTTATGATGTCTTGCAAAATGTAGCTTGTTGCACAACATGGCCTACTGAGAATCAATTTGTTTTTGAAAATCCCCTTGGCTATCCTGTTAAGGTGACTCAAATGGTTTGAGTATGAACTTATACACAGTTGATAACTCTTCAAACTCTGCTGAAATATCTGACGAACTCCATGAACTAACTTCATTATCAACAATACAATTGAGTCAGATATCTTACAAGTTCTACCATCATAACCTAAAAGAATATGACCACATGATTTACATTTTCTTAAATGAATATCTATCACTACATTTTGAATTCCATTAAAATACATACTAATGTTTTGTTTGAATTATTTTTTGTCAATTTGTTACTGTATAATATAAACTTTAATTTTTAGATATAACTTCTTTTTTTTTTTTTTCAATTTTAGTTATTTATCCATTATATTTAGATTGGTGATCAAATGAGTTTTTTTAGTGGAGAGCTAAAATCAGTTCATTTCTGTGTTGTCAATTTCAGTAACTTGAAGAATTGTTATCCATAAAATGTATATTCTGTTATTTCTAATTCATTATTACAAGCTTAATCTGGACTATTGTGGATGCCTTCATATGAATTAGAAAAAATACTTTAATATTTTATTTTTTTCCTATAACATAGATAAAAGCTACAACAAATACATAAATAAACATACAGGTAAATATAAAATAAAGGCGCAATGATAAAAGACAATTATCAAAGTCAATACAAACACATACAATTTAAATTATTATGATAATTGATTTTAACCAACAAGACTTACATACATATGTTCGTGACTTCATTTTGACCTGCTCAAAAGTGCCCTGAAGTGTAATGACACTGTCTTATTAACAAGAAACACATGTAAATGTGTAAGTTATACAGTTTTTATAGATATTTATAACTCTTAAAACTCTTAATACACATATCTTATGACCACATAATTGCAATTTTTAGACCCTGATATTAAAGTAATAGATAATTATCATTATTGGAATTAAAACAATATAATTAAAACAATGGGTACCCATCATAAATAACTTAATTCACCTACATATTCTAAAGAATCTCTATGAAATATGAAGGCACTATATACAATAGTAATAAATACATGAAGCCATTGACAGATATACCCGGTACACAAGAAACATTTTACTACAAAAGATTGAATGAATGTTAAATTCTTGTAAAAAAGTGAAGCATGACTGAAGCTAGCTATATAACGCATAAAAGTCTTGCCAAGTTGTTTGATTTTACAACAATTAATAAACTATCAAAGAGCTTCCTATTTCTTTTACCAGACCTGTTATTTCCTTATCTTAATAAAACAGCTGAAATTGGAACTCTAATAATAATAATAATGACGATATTTATATTGCGCAGCAATTAAATATTCGTGGAATTTCCCAAGGCGCACAAGTGGTAAAGCGAATATTTAGACATCTACACCTCTTTAGCTCTAGTAGGCAGTTCTTATAGCTGTCTTGTCTATGTACATTTGAAAACAATGCATTGTTTAGGTCTGCACACAACACCACAAGGCAGACGTTAAGCAGAATGAATGACTATATGGTAATTAGGTAAAATATGATAATTAAAATATTTCATCTTCATCTTCAGAATGACTGTCACCTCTAGCATGTAATGTTAAAGTGGCCCCACCACGACCTTGAAAATATCTTGATCCTTTATCTAATGCTGTTGACTAGAATTAAAATTGAAATCATTGATTAATATATTGATTTTAATGAGACAAATTGCAATCTAAGTTCACCCCACATATTTCAACAAAATAAATGTTCTCAATGAACAGAAACAGATATACCCGATCCTGACGGGGTCATTCTTTAGCTGATAGTCACCGATTTGCCTTCGGTTACCCTTATGTACAATAGCCTTAAAAATAACTCCTAACTTCGTAAAAATCCTAGTTCACTATCTTATAACCTAATTTTTTTGTCATAAGAATTTGGTCAAGAGCTTCCACTGGACTTGTTTAGGTAATACATATGACAGATGGAATATTATAAGCAGAATGCTGTGATACACAAATACATATAGGAACGTTTGGATGAATAGTACCAAAACAGATATATTTATAAATTTAATCAACACATACAGCAATAAGTCTAATACCAGCTGTATCAGATTTTATCTTTTTATCCTGGTCAAAATGACTGTTTAATTTCTTGGTAATATTATCATGTAAGTCTTCATCTCTTGCCGTATCCGACTGAAAAATACAATCATAGGCTATACTGAAAAATTTCATTATTTGTGAGAGCTCAAATTACGTGAATCAAACAATTTGTGAATTTTTCTCCTTAGAAATATACAAGCATACTTTCAATACATATATATATATATACCTTACACTTGAATAGACAAATCTGTGAAATTAGTCTCTTATGTTCTATGGAATAAAAGGACCCTATCAACGTACCACTCTGACCGATTTACCTTGGTTGGAGATGTAAGCAAGGTTTTTATTTCCACTTTTCATGAACCAACACCAACCCCGTTATCAACCAGATATGACCTTCACAGAATAATATATAATGATCATATCCCCAGAAAAAGCCCTTGCCCAAGCCAAGCATAGAATTGCTACTGATTGCCATGGAAACAATCAATATGTTATCTGAGAAATGGTGCTGCACAAACAATCTTGAACACATTGATTGGTAATTGAGAAAAGTGCTACAAGATGATACTTACTGCTACCCAAGGATGTTGTAAAACTTGTTCAGCTGTATAACGATGTTCTGGATCAATTACTAACATATTAGATATTAATTCCTGAAAATATCAATTTAAATACATTTCATATAACCTCATATGACTGTTCTAAGCTGAAAATTTAATGGTGAACTATGCAGAAAGTCAAACTGATAAGCTTTAGATGGTTAGGTTCACAAATTTTAAAAGGTCCGTGAAACATAGACAGTTGACTGTTTGAGTTTAGTATATTCATGTACATCATATTCCCCTGTAAGCTGTAATTCTGATTTTAATTGAAAGTTAAGGTTATTACATACCTTAGCTGAGTCGGAGACATCATCCCAATATGGTTGTATAAATTCAAATTTTCCCTCTAAAATTTGATCAAATAGTTCTTCTTGAATGTCATTTTTGCTGAAAAAATCAGAATATTACAAAACATTTTCTTCAATATTAGCTCATAAAGCAAAACAATTGTAGAACTTTGGAAGTAATCATAACGATTTCCTGCGTTTTTATTTATTGCTCACGTGTTATGTTACACTACTATGCACATGGTGTTGTACTGCTCACATGGTGTTGTACTGCTCAAATGGTGTTGTACTGCTCACATGGTGTTGTCTATGCACATGGTGTTATATCATTAGTACAAGAAGATGATATAATTGAATCAGGTGTTAAAGATTTATTATTGATTTACCAATATGTTTTATAATCTTTCTTACCTGACAAAAGGAGGAAATCCACATAATAAGATATAAGTAATAACCCCAGCTGACCAAATATCTATCTTAACACCATATCTATAATAAATGGTAATATATCTCAAATATCGTTTATACTGTATAACATTACAATAAAAATAATACTGGAATTTCCTGGAATGGTGATATGGAATGTCAATGAACCATCTACATGGTCAAAAACTACGTGCCTTCAAGCTTTGATATAGTAATTTTCGATTTAAGTTAAGGGAATAATTGAACTAACTCTGTACAACTTACCCTGATTCAGCAAGTACTTCTGGAGCTACGTAAGTAGGTGTACCACAAACAGTATATAAAACATCATTTACTTCTGTTGCTAAACCAAAATCTCCTAGTTTTAATGATTTACTTTCGTCTCCATGATCACACACCTGTCGATGAAAAATAAATTATAATTTTTTCACATTATGTTGCCTGCGTTATGCCTCGTCACGACAAAGTATGCATTATTAAAGTCGACAAGAGATTTTCCACGAGTAAGAGGGTAATCGCATTATACATGCTTGCACACTATATTCGCAAATATATGGTATTTTGTGTTGTATATATCTTAGAAGTCAAAATGAAAGGAATTAATCTCAATAAATCATTTTTAATTGTCAAAAATAATCATTAAGCAGACAGTGGGTCTAACTTAATTTACTTGCATCCCTGAAAAAAGATACCTTTAAGGACCAGTATGTGAAAAGAGCAACTGTTGACTCCAGCACCACGAGAACACATATAAGATCACACTACGAAATTAAGTAAATTCGATATAATCTTACTTACCAAGAGGTTTTCAGGTTTGATGTCTCTATGTACGATGTTTAATGAATGGAGATATTTGAGAGCACCAGCTAAATTATATATCATACCACTAGCATCTTGTTCTGTATATTTAGTAGAGTTTGATATAGCATCAAATAGATCTCCTCCCTAGAAGTAAACATAAACAACACATGATGAAAACACTTGGGTCTATTCCATAGGGTCATTGCTCTGTTTGTCAAATCAAACCAAGAAAGTGTTTAGATTTCCAATGATTGCTCTAAATTGAGTTCTTTAGAAGTAGTAGCAATCATAATCTTGGCTTGGTACAATAGATCAAAGTCAAACAGCACGGCCATTTTGCTGGGGGTACAATTTAAATATAGGGACAGGCTGACTTCATGGGGGACAACTGCTGAGGCTGAATTCAAATTATGGATACTCGGTGGTGGTGCCATAGTCACAAGCCTCTCATTGGCGCCGCCAATGCCATTTTGGGTGAGATCATTGCTGACAAAAGTATCATTTCACTAACTCACCTTGACTAACTCCATAACCAAATAAACATTTTCTTTTGTTTCAAATTCTTCTACTAATAGAATAATGTTTGGATGTTTGACCTTTCTCAAAATAGCCACTTCATTTTGTAACATCTCCTCTTCCTGGAAAGATTAGAAATTAGTGAATTAACACAATGACATTACTTCATCTTACTAGCCCACAAACATCATATAAACGTCGTCTACACAGATCTTACTACAAACATCATATACACAGATCTTACTATACACAGATCTTACTACAAACATCATGCACAGATCTTATTACAAACATCGTATACACAGATCTTACTACAAACATCATATAAACAGATCTTAAACACAGATCTTACACAATCTCCGTAAACGTCGTCTACACAGATCTTACTACAAACATTATATACACAGATCTTACTACAAACATCATATACACAGATCTTACTACAAACATCATATACACAGATCTTACTACAAACATCGTATACACAGATTTTACTACTAACAGCTTATACACATATCTTACTACAAACATCATATACATAGATCTTACTATTAAACAAACAGATCTTACTACAAACATCATATACACACATCTTACTACAAACATCATATACACAGATCTTACTACATACGTCTCATATACAGATCTTACACGCAGATCTTACAACAAACATAGTATACACAGATTTTACTACTAACAGCTTATACACATATCTTACTAAAAACATCATATACACAGATCTTACAATTAAACAAACAGATCTTACTACAAATATCAAATACACAGATCTTACTACAAACATCATATACATAGATCTTACTACAAACATCATATACACAGATCTTACTACAAACGTCTCATATACAGATCTTGCACGCAAATCTTACAACAAACATCGCATACACAGATTTTACTACTAACAGCTTATACACATATCTTACTACAAACATCATATACACAGATCTTACTATTAAACAAACAGATCTTACTACAAACATCATATACACAGATGCTACTACAAACATCATATAAACAGATCGTACCGCGAACATCATATCCACAAATCTTACTACAAACATCATATACACAGATCTTACCATTAAACAAACAGATCTTACTACAAACATAATATAAACAGATCGTACCACAAACATCATATACATAGATCTTACTACAAACATCATATACACAAATATTACTGCAAACATCATATACGCAGATCTTACCTTAAACATCATATACGCAGATCTTACTACAAACATCATATACGCAGATCTTACCACTAACATCATATACGCAGATCTTACCACTAACATCATATACATAGATCTTGCCACAAACATCATATACACAGATGTTACTACAAACATCATATACACAGATGTTACTACAAACATCATATACACAGATCTTACTACAAACATCATACACAGATCTTACTACAAACATCATATACGCAGATCTTACCACAAACATCATATACGCAGATCTTACCACAAACATCATATACGCAGATCGTACTTCAAACGTCTCATATACAGATCATGTCATACACACAGATCTTACTACAAACATCGTATACACAGATTTTACTACAAACATCATATACGCAGATCTTACTACAAACATCATAAACGCAGATCTTGCTACAAACATCATATACACTGATCTTACCACAAACATCATATATACACTGATCTTATCACAAACATTATATTCACAGATCTTACTACAAACATCATACACACAGATCTTACTACAAGCATCATACACAGATCTTACTACAAACATCACATACGCAGATCTTACCACAAACATCATATACGCAGATCTTACCACAAACATCATATACGCAGATCGTACTTCAAACGTCTCATATACAGATCATGTCATACACACAGATCTTACTACAAACATCGTATACACAGATTTTACTACAAACATCATATACGCAGATCTTACTACAAACATCATATACGCAGATTTTGCTACAAACATCATATACACTGATCTTACCACAAACATCATATATACACTGATCTTATCACAAACATTATATACACAGATCTTACTTCAAACATCATATACGCAGATCCTACTACAAACATCATTATACGCACGATTCTATCGGGAACGGAAATGTGCGGGTAAACGAGGCTTCGCTGTATTTACCGACCTTACTACAAACATCATATTCATAGATCTTACTACAAACATCATATATTTGGATCGCACCATAGACATAATATACACAGATCTTACTATAAACATAATATTTGCAAATCTTACTACAAACGTCTCATCTACAGATCATGCACACATATCTTAGTACAAACATCATATACGCAGATCTTACTACAAATATCACATAATAGATAACGTCCGTGTGCTTGGCAAGTACAATTACTTATTACTCACCTTTCCTTGGCATTTGTTCTTTTCAATGACTTTCAATGCAAATCTTCTATTATTGAATCTGTAATATTAAATATGTGAAATCATTATAAAAAATGAGTTAAAAATGTTCGAGCTGACATTTATGTTCTTCATACACTTTTGCGCAGCATTACCATTATAAAATGTTGTTTGAAGAAAATATCACTTACCTATCAGTACATTCTTTGACGTGAGCAAAATTTCCTTCCCCAATAATCATACCAATATCGTATCTTTCTGTTAGTTCATCTGGTAGTCTAGCTTTGCCTGAAAAATAAGATATCTGAGATTGCCCGAATCTTTAACCTAGATTTTTGCCCGAAAAAACTTACTTTCGGGGCTTCAAGGGGCGGCTGCCCTCCCCACCCTTTGGCTCCGCCACTGTCGAGAGCCATCATCCAACCAATTTAGAAATTTATCCTCGCATATAACAAAAGGTATGAGAGAAAAGTATGGACTATGGAATGCTCTTCCTTCGTATGTGGTAATTAGACTATGCGTTTACAGTTGAAGTAGTCGATTCAGTTGCCATTAAACTGAAAAAAGGCTAGCACAACGAGGATATAGGATATGGAGAGAAAAGCAAGGAGTATTTCAGATCTAGACGAGGATATTGATTATGACAGGCTAATAAATATCATGTTACTCAATATTCAATCAATAGAAATACTGTGTTACAGATACATAAAGATTATAGTGTGTGTAATAGAAAACAGACCGCTATGAATAAACATGAGTAATTTCATGCTCGGATATGATTCTAGTCTCTGGTTTTTATTTTTTGATACAGGGAAGCCATATCTATCAAACAAAATTATCAGAAATCATATTAGGTATCACTGAAATGATAAAAACGATAATTAATAAGTTACTAACCTGCTGATTTTCTGGTAAGTCTTGGAGAATTAGGAAGACTGGAACTACCATTAGCTGTGCCATTTCTGTATTTTGGCTATAAGGTAATTACATATTATTAACTGTACATGCAATGGTATTTCTGAAAAAGGGGTACCAAGACAATAATAACTCCAGTCTCCATAATGCATACTTTAATGCCCCGAAATCAATTATTGACCACATTGTCGTCTGAATCCTGATTCGCAATGGTGACGAATTTCTATCTTGGCATTTCAAAGATAAGGTTTACTAATAAATAACTCACTGCTGAAACTGTTCTGAGTTTACGTGGTGATTTTGGTGACGAATGACGTGAGGTGTTTGGTGATCCAAGGCCAGCTAAAAATTAAAAAGTGTTACAATATATATTTCATTTCTACATAAGTCATTGTTAATATCTACATAACTATAAAACGACTGTGAATTTAACAAAGATAGAGATCGTTAAAAAAATGTCCATGTGATGGTAGTGAAATGGTCTTGAAACCGCATGTGATAACTAACATTACTTTCACAACTATTCAAAGCAACTAAAGTTATCTGATGGGGTGTCAATGGAAACACATTCGGGCTTCGATAAAAGTGTAATGTAGATGCTGCAAAATTTTTAGAATTTTGTGAATGGTCTTACCTTCATGAAGACTGCGAGATGAAGATGATTTTCGAGGTGATTTTGGAGATCTGAGAGTGATTCTTTCTCTTGATTGACTTAAACTGGATTTATAACCACTCACCAATCTTACCTCTACAGTGGAAAATATTGAAAAAATTAATATATTACACATTAAAGTAAAATACTGTTAAAACACGACTCAGCTCATAGAGATTACAATTGGCAATTACGAAATTTTGTTATCTATCATTTAAATGAATAAAGTATAGGATACTATAATAATGATCAATAAAACATTATTGAATATTATCAACCCATATCAATGGAATAAGCAGGTGTTTCGGACTGCTGGAATCGTAAATAGAATCAATGCATCTGATAAAGCACTGGATTAAAAAATACATCAAATAAGAAAATGAACTGATGATTCAAGAAGGTTCTTTTTATGTCTTCCTGTCAGTTACAATGAATTAAGAAACATGTCTTGAGGCGATGTCAGAGAAACTCTTCTATACAACTGAAAACTGTTCTTTATGTTATTTACTATATATAACTAATGTCTTTAACCTTGTTTGTAATCAAGAAAACATGGAAGAAAATCGAAAAGATATTAACTTCGTCTTTGATATTTGACCTGAGTGTCGACATTGAATTGATTAGGTCATGGTTTAACTCAATATAACATTACTATATATCAATCTTTAGGTCTGTTGATTTTAAAAACATCAAAAACATTTCATGATCTCAGGTAAACATCTGCCGCTCTTCCAGCCTTGCGATAGATATTTTGACAGTTATCGGCTAAAGTAGAGTCAGAAAAACTAAACCCTGTTTTATGGGATTTTCCACCCTAATTTTAAATTACCTTTATAAATGTTGATTAGGGCATCACCGTAACTTTCGTTTTTTAGCATAATGAAACTGCCCACGAAGTTTTGAATAACCGACGAGAAATCAGTTTCGTTAAAAAAAAACTTTGATGGAACCGTAGACGTGACATTAATGGTGCATGGAGATTATAAGGCAAGACTGAACTACAAAAAAAATCCATCCGTGTTTGGCGGGTCCGATTTAAATAAACAGGTTTTAAACGCCCGCACCTTCGGAAATGCGGAAAATCACCATTAACCAGGGCCTATTTTTTCTGTCTCTCCAACTCTCAAATTAGCTATTAGAGGCTGAAATAGAGGCAGATGTTTCAGTCTAGGTAACGACAAGCAAAGATTTACCAATTTACTATCTGGTAATGACAAGATTTGCAAATTATTTAATATTTCTAAATCGTTCCTTTTAATTACAATTTGTAATTTTGTATTCCAATAAATACGTTTCAACCCAATCTGCCTCTGTTAGCTTGCTTGACACGATATTCTGTACCCTACCTACCAGTTTATTGGTTTACTGCTCAGCAACCAATGCCATACTGTCAGTATGTCAGTGACACATTTCCATTATAAATGCGTCTGAATGAGCAAATTGTAGTTTGTTAATTTCAACGTGCAGATGCAACAAAATACATCACATCTCGATTGGTTTCGAATTCTAAATCAATGGAGATGTATTTTAATCATTAAATACTAAATTCAGACTCATGACCATCTGTTCTGATGTGATTATGCCAAGAATTAGCAGGAGATTAAGGAATTATACACATAATTATGACATAATTCGAGTATTATTATTAGATAAAGTGAGATTATTTTTGTAATGCCATGTCATTTATGGAAATATTGCATTATTCTAGAATATTATAGAATATATCTGATTGTTTTATCTCTTTGTTCGTGAACACAGAGTCAAATTTCTGAAAAGAGATACGATAGATTCAATTGCCTTTAAAGCATGATTTCTCTTGAGAGACTAGCAGACTATATGACAATCTTGAGATATACAAGAACCAAACGGCTAGCTTACTCTACTCGTGAATTGAAATCATTTTTTTCAAAACAATCATTTAAGAGCCTGTTCAAATAATCCTTGGTAGAAATGCAATTAGTATAATTAATATACATAGGCCAAATGAAATATTCAGATGTTTCAATCTATTTAGATTGCGTGTTATCTGTATGATTTGATGCTGGGTTATTTCCGACTGGAGGAAGGATTACGTCATCAAACAATGCCAACTGGCATCATGTAATGACAGATGTCACAATGACACGGATAATTGCATACAAATGGAACTGGGGCGAAGCTGTGTACAGATGCAATTATCTTAGTAAACGGATGTTGGTGACAATAAATAAATGATCGTAGAAAACTTTTTAAATATACCTTAGAGAAATGCTACCATTTAAATATCGGGTGACGGAAAAAAATTGTATCTTTTGGGATCACCAACATGGTATAGCAGGCTATGGGTCTCTTAATAAGCAGTCAACTTAAAAAATACTAGTAATCTGTATTTTGCTTATTTAATCATAAATAAATCATTGTTATAAAAGATGCGTGGGATTCATCTTTAAAAAGATATCCGAAAAATCATCTGACCCGTCACTTCATTTAGTGAACTCATTCCTTATGTTATCCAAATCCCATTTAAAACAGAAAAGCATTAATAAATTACATATAACGTATTATATATTACTTATTCTTATATAGATTATTATGATTTAATATTCTCTCTCTGCTTTAACAACCTGTAGCAACAAGCCTTCTCCTGAGAAATCAAAATCACAAAACAATTCTTTCTACAGACATTGTGTAGAATCAAGACCGTTTTAAATTCATAATAAAACACTATAGTTCATGTGTATGTTTTTATAACAGCCCCAGGAGATACTTTCTAATTTGTCTAGTTTGCAGCGACTTTTTATATCCCATGTAGAAAATGTCATTAAATGCCATTAAAAGCTCAGTGCTCTCGGTGAAGAGATCAGTGGAGTAAAATAAACTAATTTTCCGATGGTTGGAGTTGAATTATAGACCTATTAGTATCGATCTTTTACCATGTTAAAAAACAAATATTAAATAAGCCAATTTCTAACCAGATAGGTTTCCATTTCCTGAATACACCAGACTATATAGATTTTATTTGGTTAGTTTTCATTCCCAATATATTTATCCCAAACATGCGTGTCCGCTTTACATAAACCAGGGCTATTAAGATTATTTCTCCAAGTGCACAATAATAAAAGTGTTTTTGTAAATGTTACCATTGTAGTCTTACAGGTCAGTTTGATTTTCCCGTTGAGATGGAGACAACTTTGTTTTTACTGCATTTACTTTTCCAAAATAGTATACATTAAATTTATTGTATTGCCATCTTTCCATTCCGACTCGGGTACAAAGACTAAGTACGACTGGTAATCACGAAGAATGAATGTAGTTCGTACTAACCTTTATGATCTAAATCAAAATCGTCAGCTGACAATTTCTCAGCACCATAAGCAATAAATATAGTGTCATCTTGGAAGAAATCGGACAAACAGGTGACCTGAAATATATACATGTACATCATTCCATAAAAGACAATCTACAAGAGAAGTGACCTTGAATGCAATGAATGTGTCATTTTTATCAAGCAAATGAAATCCTCAGTAGTTTTCATTTCGTATAAAATCGATTAACCTTAAGAAAATTCTGAAATTCCATCATCAAAAACTAAACAAAGTTCATTTCAACTAATGGTATTTGCTTTTTTGTAAGGATGCACATGGCCAATGACTAAGTGACTTGTTTATATAATTCAAAGAAATGTGTTAACGTTTTAGTTGATCTAATAGAATGTTCTAAGAACCAACTCTTAACAGTCTAATCTGTATAGAGACATGCAACTCCTTGACGTCTGTTTGTCATCTACTCGATCATCCATTCTAAAGTCTACTTTATCATACTGTAGGATTTGTTACCATAGAAACAAGACAAGGTATCATATAACCTGTCATTGTTCTTATATACGACAGTCTGAATAAACACGATAATGTATGTAATAAGTTTACATTAAAGGCACCTAATTTATTACAAAAAATTTGTAACTACTGGTTATAGGTGTTGTGGTTTGTAATTGTATAATACAACATGGTGCTCATTAGGCTACTTACAACTTTTTTTAGCATCGGTTTCTGGAAGGTTAAGTTTAAGGGTCCTTAAGAGAAGGTACTTTTGTACTAATTTGACTCAACAGTCAAGCTTTTATCATGCATGCAATATGTAGTATTGCCCCCAATTTGGCTCCGCCATTGTATACAGAATGTCAAATAGAACATAATTAGAAAGGAACAAAACATACCTGTCTGCCATCAATAGTAAAAATTCTTTTCACTGTTCCTGAATCTAACTTAATAGCATTTGTGATATCATCCAGCACTTGTGAGAAAGAATGGGCAGTCTTTCTATTCAATAAAATACGAACTGCTTTTCGTGGTTTTGAACCATTCCGTATAACTGTCACTAATTTGGGTTTGATAAATGCTTTGTCTTCGTCATTCAGATCACTCGGTAACATCGAGGTCGGGTCTTGATTCTCACGTGCTTTGACATTCCAATTCCAATTTTGGCTGCCAGTTCTATTGTATTTGACGTCCTTAAAAGCAGCAGTGGAAGCGCAAATATAACTTTCACCCTCTTCTATTTGGTCCAAAGAGGTGATGACTTTCGAGGTATCCGCACTAAAAATGTACCTCACTCCATTTGGAAGAATATTTTTGTCACAAAGTGGACTGAGTGTCAACTCTGCCAAGAGAGATTCAAATGTTCTAAAGCGTTCTGGCGATACAGCGTAAAGTAGACCTTGGAAGAAACGGTCTCCATTTCTATAGAATCGTACTTTCTTGGCACGTTTATTTTCTGACACTCGCAGAATGCTTTGTCGGAGGAAGTTGTTACTGTTGCTAGGACTAACATTCCGGAAGAGTTTGGTTCCTCGTTGTCCATTGCGTGATCGATCATCAAAATGTTCATCCCATGCTGCTGTTTCTGCCATTCTGAAAAGAAGATATAATCTACTTATGAATATGTGGCCAACCATTAGAAATAAGCCAGGGCATTTTAAAATCTTAAAAATCGGAATCAAAGAACATTCTATATTCTGTGGAGAGTACACTTTAATAAGGATGTTTTTCTAGGCATACCTGATAAAAACTGTCTGTTTCCAAGAGTTTATGATATCCGACTGAAGAATGGAAAGTTAAGCTTTTATAGATAAATAGGAAATGTGAGTCATCGGCGTCTAGCACATACGATTTCTCAATCCCATTACCACACAGCCTATCTCTACTATTATTATTCAATGACAGTTCCATATTCCGTCGTTCATTCTGAAAAATCGATGATTCAGCTTACTTCATTATTAGCTTATAGTGAATCACATTCTCATATTCAATTGAGAAATGTAGAAATTTAGAATTAAATCTAAAAGAGGCCAGCTCAAATTATATTAAGCATTTCTTTTGTTCTGAACTAAATTTATTTGTGGAATATATCGTTATATGTTTCAAATGATTTCTTTGAATTTTATATAATCATTCCAAATTATCAGAAACGGAAGTAATATGTCTTCAGATAATGAGATATTATAAGAGCAGTAACTTTTGGTGTCTCGAATTACTAACTAGTCAAGAGCAAGTTATCATGATTGTCTATCTATGGGTTGCAGAAACCATAGAACTGGAAACTAATTATCATGATATAATATATTGTGGCAGTCGAGAGTCAAACACTGTAGGAAAAAATTGCTGTCGTTGTTAAAAAAAAAAGAACACATGGGATCAATAGTTCCAAAATTGAGCAATGTTTGGTGTTTTAAAGGGGCAGTCTGATTCTTTAAGTAGGTTGGAAAGTAGATGCTGAAATTATTCAAAACGATAGACCAAACTCTAGTGTGTTGTTTAAATTATCTGAAAGTTTTGATAAAAAATATCTTGCCATTTATTTTTCGAACTCATGTTGATCAAGTCAATAGGTCTACATAGCATATTTTATAATATATATTCACGTATAATTTACAACGATTTTAATGAATTGTTTGTACCGCCGCTTTAACTTTAAAATAACCACGATAAAATTTATTCTGCATGTCGACATTAATTTAAATTATCTCTAATTAAAATGTCGAGAGCTATTGACAATCTAATAATCAACAGTAGTAATTAGTCAATGAATTGATTTAGAATATTCTTTACAAATACAATCAGATAGAAATGAATTCGGATGAATAAAAGCCAATATAATGAATTGTCTAACAAGAGCTTTGTTTTTAGTCTTGAATAAAATCAATATCAGGAATTGTGGCATCATGTTTTACTGATTAGATAATACATTGTCTGGCACTATCTGTGACAGCATGTCACGTTCTGCTGTGAGTGTTTGTTCAAGAAATGTGATTTAATGCATGTCCAAACAGTTCGCAGTAATGAATGCATGGCCATTAAGAAATTGAATATTGCAAATTCAGAAAGTGGAGATTCTATTGGGTCTCATGAATCAAGATGCTTTTCCTATGACAGGTTTATTTCAATGCAAATCCTTCATCGATTATATTTTGATCATTTTTCTTAAAGGAACACAATCGTAGAGATAAGCTCTCTCAGAAGATAGGGCTGATTTCTACAGCTATGATATTGAATGGTTAAATCCTACGTCCGTTTTCTCTACATTTCATCTTTGACGTTTCATGGAAGTAAAATTTTAATCTGAAAAGTAATGGGTCTGCCTACAGGTGACTGAAATATAACCTTGAAAGCAAATATTTATACGAGTATATCCTCGTATTCGTTTATTCGATCTTCGAGGCAAAAACTGTGGTATGAATCACATCAGACCTGTTTATTTCAAACTCTAAGGGTCAGATTACTCGAGGTTCTTATGGGTATTTAAGTGCTAATGTTAATAAATTTCGTGTAAAAGGGTATAATTACTAGATGATATCGTATTAAGGGATTATCGGTTGATTATCCGTGTTAATCTGATATTACTTATATATACAATGTATTATAATGTAAATAACTATAGTGATTCAGATCAGATATCTTCGAATGGAGTTATGGTTATGCAATCTTTTACGTGCCTTCCTTTAAGTTTTAAGAGGACATTTCAAAATGTCTTTCAAATATTTTTTCTTTTTTTGTAAAATCTATGCAGCCTTCCGAAAAAGTCGGATATGAAAAGATTGCCAACATATAAATTTGTATTGTCTGTGCTGTGAACATCTTTTCAATCTCTAGCTATTAAAATAACTCATAATAAATTATTATGCTATAACACACGTTACGTAACATTGACCATTGATCCTGAGCTAAAATATATTTTAGAGTTCAAGATGTCTATGTTCAAATTGACACCCATCCGTTTTATCATACAAGATAACTCCTTCTAACATATTTTAAACCTCGTCTACAGACTCGACAAATAAAATTACCGAACTCTTCAGAAAACATAACTTAAGTTCTAAATTTCTTTTTCTCGATAAAACATATTGCAATCTGTCATTTAGACAATGACACGGTTTTTCATTTTAAATAATTTTGGACTGTATCTTTCTTTACAAAATTGATTGTTTGCAAATTTTGCTGAGCAAATTAAATGATCTCGACTTACCTGCCAAAAAATGTCGTCTTGCCCTTATCACAATAATCACGTTTGACCAGCTACTACGGTGTATTCCCTAGTAACACAAATCTCGGATCGTCTGCAACTTTAATTCCGAAGCTCTACCAGACACAAACACCAATCGATATAACGCACGATTTTCATAAATTATTCCATTCTGTGGAGAGAAAGTTAGCCAAGTTTAAAACTGACTAGATAGCGTTGACAACACATACACAAACTAAATAAAAACTATACATAATAACTTTCTATTATAGAAATCACCTCTATTGATAATAATGTAAGCCTTTTATTTAACAATCATAAATTATAATAGATATAAAAAACACCATTCTTTACACGGATTAACGTTATTGGACTAGTCGATTGCTACTCAAGGGTTGATAGGATAGAGACGCGCAAGTCTTATATTCATTAATAAGGCTTAATCAACATAACGAACTATCCATCAAATTCAACTAAATGCAAACTTTTGTTGCGTTGCACATCAGAAAGTTTAGATGGAAAGCTTTACTTTCTTTTTCAACATTATAAGCGGCCTAACGTGAAAGCTATACCAACAAAGCTTTACGCAGACTATCGAATGTATAAGGAATATTTATAAATATTTTCACAAGAAATAATGAAAACGGTGTCCATCAAACAGTGAGCCACATATATTTCAAGTGTAATAAGGGGAACTTTAAATTGGAAATACCTACACAGAATGGTATCAAATGTTACGACTTATCTGTTCATCCTTCGAGTTACCTACTGTGCAGATTTGACCATGGCAGTTGCTCCTCACTTTTTGTATCAAAAAGTCGCTGTTATTTTTTTTTTTGAAGAACTCTTATGGCAAAAATGTGTGAAATTTGTTTTCATCAAGAAGGGACACTTTTCAAGTGTAGTAAACCCTATTTGTTTTCATCTGATTTATGTATTTCTTTTAAAAAAATTGGGAATGGAATAGATAGTCTAAATCTCTAATGCTGGTCTCAAACTATGGTGAATATGCTAACAAAGGTACTTACGAATGGAATATTTGACAGTGTCATGTAAGTGTTAGTAACAAATTCGGAATGTTCAAAAGTCATTCTCCACCTCCTTACGAACACTGGTCAATTTTGGAAGCTCTTCCTTAATTTCAGCAAATGTTGTGAAGATGGTCATTTGCCCTAGGTTTTCATAAGCATTATTTATTTCGTTCACTAGCTTCTTTTTGAAATTTGGGATATCCGAAAGTTTAACATCTTGTCTCTGACACCAAGACATCTTCCGTCACATCTGTGGGTAGGAGAAATGGGACAAGATGATTGAGTCTACTGTATATACATGTCATTATAAGATATTCGAAATAAAATGTCTCTTAAAATGAGGACTTATTGAAATAGATAATTATGGATTTAAGCTGTGAGCATTATTACTGATTAGTTTAACTAAGCCTGGAAATGAAGCATTTGTCCCTTTAAATATTGAGGTAAATATAGCAAGATTTCAAAATAAAATATTTAATATTTCTGTACAAGCTAATATGTTCATAATTTACATTAATCAAACAAAACAAATATGAATAGCGGATTCAAAAGAGGTCTTAAAAAATAAAGGCCTCATTTGAATTACATGACAAGACGATACACTTATTCACACCAAATAAGCACTCATACACAAAGGATATGAATTTTCAAATTTTACCAAAAATGCACCAACATATCTATTCAATTTGACTTAATTTCAGCATTAATACGGGTGAATAACAATGTTTATTGTTCAATCAAGGGTGATAACTCTGTAAACAAATTAACCAAACTACTTTTCTCAAACAGTAACATGTGACGTTCCAAATTCAGATAAAGTAGCAACTTATTTATTTTCAACAGTTTGCAACGAAAGAATGTTATCAACGATGAATAAGAAAAGCCACGGATCTTACATGTGGTGGTCATCTATGTTTGTTATCTGATTCTAGTAAATGGGTTGCCACATTGTTTTGTATGATAGTCTTTCTTCATACAGCCATTCATATTGCAGTTTATTAAACTCTGATTATCTCAATTCACAATAAAACATGGCTATTGAACAACATGTTCCTTTGTACATTATCTACCATGAAAAGAAGTATCTAACACACTAACACATATATCTTGGAAAACTAATTATGTTTTGTACAGTTATTGTTACCATGGTGATATCAAGATGGAATAATGTGGTGTTAGACAGAAAAACTATCCAAGATAATTAAAACATCAGACCAACATTAATGTCTTCAATAAGGATTTTTTTAGAAGAGCACTTCAAGGTTTTTTTTCTTCTCCATATTAAAAAAGATTTTCACTAAACTAAAGATGATATACTATCATGTCTCTTCCTTTTTGGCTTCTGATTTTTTCTCTTTATTGTCTAATGTTTGTTTTACATCCATCTCAATTCTTTCTTTAGCTCTCACAACCTGAACAGAAATAAGGTATACCATTTTATTAATTGCCATGGCAATAGAATCAGCTGGCTTTTTTTATTTTCAATTAACACAGCACTAAATATTTCAAAACTATCAGGAGACAAAGGCAAGATTATAAGTTCCTTTTTTTTTTATTTTAGAAAGTAAAGTTTATGGAGCAGGAAGTTACATTTTCTCCACTGTTCCAGTTAACAAGCAGTAATCTCTTCACATAGTTTCCCTTCAGCACATAAATTGCCCACAATAATCTATAATAGGTAATCAAAGCAAGACTATACTTCTATGATGCAAAAATACACTATGAAATTCAAAATCTTGGGATGTCTTTAATTTTGTATTTACAAGGATTCTCCATTAAAATATTTTGATTATTGACTGCCATCAATAATCGATCTCAATTTGGTAATCGCTATCCGGCCCTACTATTTTAAAGAAAGGCTTCTTTTGCATATCATTTTCAGCATGAAATAAAATCTATTAACAGCTACCTTGGATTGTAAATAAAATGAACCACCCTTAGTTTTATCATTTACATCAAAAAGATGTTGATATTTTTCATTGATTGTTTTAACATCACCCAAATCTGATACATTCAATATTTGTTTGGCTTCCTGAAGAATAAAAAAATAATACAGGTATTTTTAAAAATCATCAACTAACAAAGTTAGTACGTTCCCCTAGAATGTAATTGTCCACACAATTTCTTAATACAATATGCAATGTAATCATTTATGTTTCTTAGTTCAAGATACTACAAACTAACAGAATCAAAACTGATGCCAAATCTTGTACATTTGGCAGTATAAAACATTGTTTGAACAATACAATAACATATACATATTGCGCCAACATTATTTACATATTCATATCCAAGAGATTAAGAAACAACAGTTTACAAAGGGATTGTAAAGAGGTTTTCTTAATTTTTGTATATGTATCGCAGAATGGAATTGGAATGGTCAAATTGATGCTATAAGTGTCTTCGATGCACATAAAATTTTAAGAAAACCTCTTTACTATCCCTTTAAGGGCACTCATCAGTTTTTTCGAGTATTCATATATATATGAACTGTTTAGTCTGTTCATGTTTTATACCTGCAGTGTCATACCCAATGATGTATCAGCAGCTGCCTTCCTAGCCCCCTGTTTACCCCCTCCAGCTCTCTGGGCTGCCTGTTGACTAGCTGTGTATTCTTGTTTTAATGCTCTGACAAAGGCACGGCCAACAACTTGTGTTCCTGCCACAATAACTTGGATGAGGTATTTAGCCTGGAAAGATAAATGAAAATGAATGAACAAATGGGTACGGTATAATTTTATTATCTGATGATCAGGATTTTCTTTTCCTTTTAAAGGAAATTGTTCTTCAGATAATTTCTTGCTTATCTCCCAGTCCTATATTCCTACTACTACTACTATCTGACTACCTTGAGCTCTGAATTGAATTTTTTCTCTCATTTCATAAATATTTCAAACTCTAAACTTTATGTCATTTGTATGGTTTTATAAGAGTAACTCTCTTATAGAAGCACTGGCCTAGGTCACAAGTAGGGACTGTGAATTACAGCATTGGAATACATCAATTTGATAGAAAATTACCTTCTTCTGGAGAGATTTACAAGATAAACAAATAATTCAGAAATGCAAAGTGATTGTTTCAGGTAGTTAATGAAAGGGGATCTAATCTACCTTGGACAAGAACATTACTCAGATTTTTATTCCTTTTGTAAGCAGTCACCAAACGTTTAGTATCGGTGTTTGGGAATTCGGCCTGAAGTTCTTTATAAAAGCGTTTGACAATCACAGAGGCATTTTTAGCTGTAGAATTGTAGGTTGCAACGAAAGGTATAATTTGATTGTCATGCTGTATATTTAGTCTTAGAATGTCTTTTGGTCCATAGAAATATAAGGTTCAGTGATTTTACATCTGAATGAATTTAGCCGAATGAATCCATTTTTTTATCGACCACATTTCCTCATAATCCCAAGCTGTAATCTTATGTTGTTTCAATGATTTTTAGCCATAAATCAATTTTACGTTTTACTAATTTTGTCAGTCAATATATTTTATTTAAAGCATTTACTTTTCAAGGAATTGCCATGACAATTAAATACTAACAAATGTTAATTATACCACTGGGTATCCATATAAAGTGTTTTTCTCGACTTATTTACAGATGAAGGCACTGTTGCCCCAATTTTAATTAGTTTATAGAATCTGAGGAAACATCTATTCTAAGACATAAAAAAATGAAGTCCTGCCTTTCTGGAATTACAGTCAAGTAACCTAATTTCGTGGAAACCTATTATTTGTGGATTTCCGGAAAGGATTAATAATTTACATGAGCGACCTTGCGCGAACTCCGCATTAGTTTGTTTTGATAAACATGGGTTTTCTCTACAATATCAGCTAGTAGAATGAATCCAATAGTTTCAAGAAAGGTAAAATGTATTAATGTATACTTTGACAAATACAACATGGCTGATTTCAGTTATTACCAAACGTCACCATTTTTTATCGGCCGAATTTCCTTATAATAATCCCAAGCGGTAATCGGAATTCCAAGTGTCGTCTGCTACAATGTAGTACAACGAATGAAGTCACATGATCAACTAGCAGATTCCGTGTCAGCAGAAAATTTCTATGGAACACAAAGTGGACCATATTCTTATGTTATTTCAGTGACTTTTAGCAATAAATCACGCTACGTATCTTATTTTGTCAGTCAATATTTTTTTTAAAATCGTGGTTCTTTGAAGGAATTGTCACTAGTTATAATGAATTGATATTAAAGATAAATACTAAGAGAAGTTAATTATACCACCCGGTATCCATACAACGTGTTTTTCTAGACTTATTTATAGATCAAACATTGTACACGAAAATAGGTGACGCATTCTGCCGCCGTTACCGAGTTGGTTGCTCATGAAATAGTGAAGGGAAATCGAAACAAACCAATTTTCATTATTTTGTAGAATATCTGAGGAAACATCTAAGACATACAAAAAATTTTGTTTTTTTAACTTTGACGAAATTCGGTGTTGAATCCTTATATCCACGAAAATAGGTTACACCACTGTAATTCATAAATCGAAATTGCATCAGTCAGGAAAGTCGACTGATCTGTGAATGTGAGATATTCGACAATTTCAAAATAAGGATACAGGCCTATAAAGAGGAAGAAAATGCGAAAATTACCATTCGACAGTTGAATGAAAAAAAAATAAAAACTGTTGATTTACAAATTCTCACATGTCCTCAATCTCAAAACGAAAGTTATCCGGAAGTAAATTTAACCGCTCCGAGATCATGACCTTGACTTTCAAGATTTTTTTTTCATCATAATTTAAGTTCTTTAAAAAAAATTAATACTTTTCTAAGAATATAAGTACATAATAAACTGTATGAGAATGTAGCCCTTTTATTTTTCTAATTATTTCCAAAGTGTACTTTTGTAGACACTGCCGACTTGGTCCAATGATGATACAACAACTTCCGGTGTAAACGTGGGCCGGTTTTACTATTTCACCCTCACAAATTATTTTTCTTCCCAAGATTTATTTAGCGAAAATGGCAAAAAATAGTTTGCGTGATAGAGTAGATGGCAATGAACTTGACCTTAGTCTAAGTAACTTGTCTGTGGTTCCAGTGAAAGAAATAGTAAGTTATAATAACATAAAAGGTGTCCGGTCAAGTCGTCGACACGCCAACTCGTCGACAAACATGATCAAGTCGTCGACAGATCATATTTTATATATATGCAGATCATACGACAAATATTGAATTGAATTGAAATTGACAAATATAGAGTCCATTGATTGCCAAAGTGAATAATCATCTCATTAACCAAGTGAATAGTTTTAATTGAGATTAGCGTTAGTCAGATTAAACCGATTAATCCAATATATGGCTTCCGAAAACGCGTATTATAAAAAGGCAGTATCAACCTTAGCAGGGCAGAATATAGGAAATTGATTAAAGACGGTACTGATTTCCCATGGCAATGTATGTTTTATTAGATAATACCTTTACCTCAAGCTTCAAATGACGACGAAATATGCGACATACCTTTTGTTCGACCATCCTAACTGGTCGCCCACACAATCACCAATCACAGCCTGGTTTGACAGATGGGTTGAAATGCAAAAAAGAAGGGAAAACGGCCGGGGTTAATAATATCTTTAAATCTGGAAATGAAATAGCCGAAGATATCATTTCAGAATGTATTAAGGAAGGCAGACCCGTAATAGGTTGCAGTCAGAACCCAACAGGCCCAAATTCCTTCAATAAGAACTCTCTTCACCAACGAAACGTTAATGAGTCGATTTATAAAATTCTGTCGACGAGTTGACTTATGAAATTCTGCCGACGAGTTGAATTCCGTTGACCACTTGACCGATAAAATTCTGTCGACGAGTTGGCGTGTCGACGACTTGACTGGTATTCACATATAATAGGACCGGTCTGGGGACAGCGTAACTTTTTTTGGAGACAAGAAGCCTACTTTCATTTTCCTTTCAATAGGCTAGTGAAATACGTTTAAAAGAAGAGACAAGTTCGCCATTCGTTTGACCAATTTTATTTTAGTCTCAGAAATGGGAATTCTTTAGCTAAGCTAATCAGTAAAAAAAGTGTTCATAGCTCACCATCCAAATTTGAGCCGTCAAATCAATGGATATCCTGAATTGGGCTGTTTAAAGGTTAAATTTTAGCTTTCAATGCTTGTACTTCAGTAAAGTAGCTAGATATACCAGCTGCAATAGAACTTATCAGGATTTCCAGGTTCCTAACTACGACTAACCTCAAGTAAATTCATGACCAACTATGGGTTTCGCAAAATGAGGGTATTCAACAGCTTGTTCACCGCTTCCACGTTTGTAATGATATGCATGTTGAGGAACATTTTTAATACGGAAAAAATAAAAAAACAATTAGAAATCCATCTATTTACATTAATGTTTTTTTCATCTCGCTAAAACATTACTGGCGGTCTGTAGGTTGCCCACCCCTGGGTTAAAGGGACCTTCCACTTTTTTTTTTGTAGGACGAAAATTTGAGAAAACTTTACTCTAAAATCAAGAGAAATGTGTTTTAAAAAAAAATCATTTTTTTACGCCAAAACTATCAGTTGTTGGATGTGATCCTGTCTTAGATTTGCACAGTTGTTTCCCTACCCTCCTTCAGCAGTTTCCATGCTTTTTAAAGTACAGAATCCCTTTCCAATTAGTAATCTATTTTACCTATATAATTAGATTCGAATTCGTAAAATCCAGATTTAACTGTTTTTGGAAGATATTACCCTGAAGATATTAGATTTAAGACAGACACATCTTAATTTGACAAGTATAACTTAAAGTGACAGATGCAGCATTTTGGGAGTTAATTTTAGTATTGAATATATATAAATTGATTTTCAGAAGTACTAGAAATGTACGAAAATGGCATAATTCCTACTAGGAATTTCACACTAGGAATTTTACTCACTATTTCTATATATGTCTTTCAACATATCACAGAGTATCTTAAAATGACCAGTCGCATTTTAACATTAAAACGCGGATAATTATGGACACACATAGATTTAAAGGTTCAAATTTGGACATTGAGCTGTGAACAATATTACTGATTGGCTTGGCTAAGGGACTAATTAGTATGATTGTTAAAAAAAATGATGCGTCTGTCCCTTTAACGGTCCTTGATCAATGTTATATTAAAGCATGTGTAAAATTTTTATTGAAATGGAATTTATGTTTTGTTTTCAGGCAGCTTTGAAGAAGGCAAACCACTTAGACTTATCTTGTAATCAGTTGAAAGCTTTAAATGTAAGTAGTGTCAAAATTTGATATTAACTCCAATTTCTAAACAGTATTTTACTAAAAAATCCCAAATCTTAGTAACTTTAATTAAACTAGTATGCCTCATACTCTCTAGGATGTTAATCTAAATATGCTTTACTTTAGTGTGGAAAGAAATGGAATATTTTATCAACAATATATTAATTTATTTTTAGGACATATTTTCCACATCTTTAACACATCTGGTAAAAATTGATTTAAGTAAAAATCAGCTCACATCATTACCACATAATTTTGGAAGTTTAAAAAACCTTCAACATTTAGATGTCCTTGGTAACCAATTAACAACATTACCAGTCAGTTTCTGTCAGCTAATAAAGTTAAAATGGTTAGACTTAAAAGACAACCCCATTGAAGAACCATTAAAGACTGTGGCAGGAAATTGTTTAAATGATGCAGAATGCAAGAAATGTGCTCAAAAGGTGAGGAAGTGTAAATGTTTTATGTTGTCGGGTGTGTAAATTGTTGGAAATGTTGCAAAATGACACACGTTATATGAAATAATATGCATACTTAATGAAATAAAAGAAATCAAGATGTTATTTATTTTCAGGTGGTCAGGTTTTTAACTGGTGTTAATTCACAATTATTAAAAAAGCAAGAAGAAGAAGAAGAGAAACAACGAGGTATATAAATATCAAATCAGGAAATTCCAGCAAAAAAGTGTCTAGTTGTTCGGATGGGACCATAAACTAATGCTCTGTGTTTATTCCTTGACAGTTAAAAAACAGAAAATGCTTCAGTCCTTGCATGACATTTTGTTAGCCCAATCAGGTGTAGAAAAGTAGGATGTAGAACTCCATTCACTTCAAAATGACTAACAATTTTAAAAAACTAAGTAAAATGTATTTTTTTTCAGAGCTGGAGAAGGCTCAAAAAGCAGAAATAGCTCGAGAAAAAAAGAAACAAAAAGCTGAAAAACAAGCTCAAATGGAGGAAGCAAAGAAAAAGAAGCAAGCTTTGAAAAAAGCAGAGAAAAATCAGGCTAAAACTGAAGAAGAAGAAGAAACAACAGAAGAAGGTAATATCTTCTAAGGAATATTTTTTTCCAATTTCAGATTAATCATTTGAGTTTGAGTTTTCTACTTTTTGTCAGAAAAGGTCTTTTACAAACATTTTGTCCATAATAATTCTCTGAAAGGGGTAGGGAGCTTGCAGTGTAAATTAGGGGTTCCAAAACACTGAGAAGAAATACAAAAATGAAGTAAGATTTCCTTATATATTTGTATTGGATATCACACATGTTTAAAACCTTTTGCATTCCACAATCAGATATATTTATTTTGTACTACAATACTCTGTTTTTATTTAGATGAAGTAAAACCAATGAAAAATGGTATAAAGAAACATGAAGTGGTTGACAACATTTCAGGTTAGTAGGCTTGTTCAAATTATTTGGGCACAGAAGAAATGGGTCTTATGGGTTTCAATACTAGATGATGAGATTTTAAAAACTATTATCTTTTATCAAATTAAATGAATAAAGGTTAAAAAGTGAGTTTTCAAACACATTTTGGCTTGTCTGTCTGTTACTTGTTCATTAGAAAACTACATTAAAGGTATCAAGCTATCTCAACTTGAGTTTTCAGAGACGCTGTTCCTTTGAAATGAATACTGAATTTGTGAATTTTCAAAATTGCTCATCTATAAAATAGCGATCTCACATATCTGAAATTATTTGAAACTTCATTTTCTTTCAACCATGTACCAATCCTGTCTGCCTGAATTTTTTTGCTCTATCATTCAAGTATTCTAATTCAATAACATTGTTTTTCCTTTACAGAAGGTGGCGTGTTATTTAATTTTTGTGGAATGTTGATGGCTCTGTTAGTTTTACTCCTTGCAGCTTGTATTGGTTTACAATACTTCTGTAACACTCACAGTGATGATAAATATTGTAAAATATACTATAAACCGGCAGAACAACATGTATTACAACATTATGATACAGTACAAAAGAAGGTGTTAGATTTGTACAAAAAGACTGTTGCATCATTCAAATAAACTACACAAACTCATGGACATTGAAGATATTAAAAGTGATGATTATACATCTATGCATAGTGATTTCCATTTTCTGTTAAATACAAATTTAACGTTTTTACCAAAGGTGCTAGTCATAAATTTTAGGCAAGTCAAGGAATGCTGGGCTGACTTATATTTGTCTGTTCTTCTTCAGACACATAAGATTCTGGGAGAGAGTTTGAGATAAAGGGAAATTTGTCATAAATATATTCATTTGTTGTTCAATAGTCATATAAATATTCATCTATTCATCTGGAAACATGGGAACTTCATCTAGAGAAGTATGGAAATTCATCTCTTATTCTTAAGATATATGGAAATTTATTAATATTTTCCGGAGGCATAACTTTATCTTGTCTTTTAACCAGAATACGAGTGAAAATTTAATATGGAAATTTAGCTCTATCTGGAAACATTATATATATGTTTTTTTTCAAAATAATGGAGTGTGAATATATATGTCAGATTGGCAGTTAATTCATATTCCTTAAAAAAAAATATGTTAATAAGTTTTTGAAGTCTTTACCTTTAAGCTGCCTTATCTTATGACTAAATCTGTTTTGTAGTGATTATCTGATTACTAAATGTTTCTCAATTATACTATATTATGTACATTATCAAGATATTGTTACCGGTTATTGTTATTTTAATTTGTAAATAAAAGTTTCATCTCAGTAAAGTGAAATAATAATATTAAATATCTATTAGACTCAATTGTATGTCAAGTCAATATTGTAAGCTATACATGACTAGCTCTCATATGGATTTTCTTTCTTCAGTTTTAAGAGCCAAGGAAGTCAACAAAATGTAAAATCAAGCAACAATTTTTTATGCATAGTCAATGAACAAAAGCAGTCTTTGTTTTCGGGTACAATCAGTATTTAATTGGCATGTATAGTTTACTGTAGCAGAACAACTATATTTGTGCACATCTGGGTCAGAATTAAACATAAATCAAGTGGACTTGTGTCCTCAATCTGAAAAGAAAACACTGTTTATGATATGAATCATCCCTTGATGTAGATTAATACCTTAACAGGACTGAGAGTAATCCATCATGTACAATCATCATCAATTTCCATTCAGAAAATAGAATACAAAAATGGACCAGGTGGCCTTCTGATTTTTATTTCATATATTTAAGATTTACAGAAACTTTTTACTTTATCACATTTCCATTATCACAATAAAATATTTTCCCCCCACAACAAAACAAAATAAACTTTAACTCATGCAAATAACAATATAATATTCCATAATACAACATGTATTTGTACTTCAATAATGCTTGTTGACTTCATGCTTACACAAAGGTTAGGCAATATATAGTGAAGCAAAGATATTTGAGAATATGAACAGTCTGTTTTATTTCCATAATAAATATTTATACAACCCCATAACAAATACTGCTAGACATTTGCAAACATCTCACACTTTGGCTATCAGCATCATTCTAACTATATATACCATTTTAATTAGTTTTTATATTAAATCAGGAATATAATAAGACATGCTGGTGATACAAACCATTGACATGAAAAACTAAACGAACATATCTACCCGAGATATTCAATATGCAAAAATTTATCAAAAAATTTGATTAAGATACATTTATAACAGTATAAGCTATTGACTTTTACCTTGACTATTGAAGTGAAAATGAGCATAAACATATAACTCACTATCTAAAGCATATCACTGAAATGTACGACACGTAAGGAGAAACAGTTTGGGATTAGGATTGTCACATGGAAGATGGAAATAGCAACAAATACAAGCAATGGTGGAGAAAATAATAACTGACTCATTCTTTCAATCATACAGTTGACTATTTAGATATTTTGATTTTTTCTATGATAGACATACAAACATTTCCAAGATAGCCCCTGGCCTTATTCTTGAAAATTTAACTAAGGTGTTCCTGTGATATGATGGGGCACTTGCTTTAAATTTAAAATGTAGTTGTAACAAGTTATCAAATGACTATGATTCTTCAAATCTTGATATTAATTGACTCTCCAAACACTTATTTTTGTATTTAATTTTTTTGCATTGGCTTTAGGCGCTTCAGAAACCATAGCGATCACAATTAGTTCAATTTTGAAGAAACTGGCCTTTTTGATTTCCAAATGTAAATAATTACAGCTTTCTAGACACTCATATCAAATATAAGTGAATGGATGACAATGTGAATCTTTCAATAAACCATGGGATAATCATTGTCATTGGCCTTAAAAGTATTATTCCCACTGATCAATTCCTGACAAAGTTTAAACACAAAACTTAATTTAGATATTTTCCTCAATAACTAATACAAAAACCATGAATGAATAAACATACCAAAAGAACATTATGAGCAATGTGAACTCTCTTGAAAAGGATGCTGAGAAGTAAAGCGTTGTCATAAATTTCTAAATCAAACTAAACTTCTTTTGTTCCATTTATTTTGTTCTGTTAATCAATACACGTGTAGACAAAATAACAGAACAATAAAATGCCTAATATAAGAGAAATAGTTACAAGAACAGTTTTACCATGTTTACTACACCATGATGGTTCTATAACTTCTTCATATTCTTTACGTTGCCGTCTTTTTCTACCTTTTGTCTTTCTCTCAAATGCTTCAAGTTCTTCTCTTTCCTTTCTCTCCCGTTCTTCTTTTTTTAATCTTTCTGCTTCATCCTCCTTCAATATATCACAAGACATTGTAAGATCAATCCTACCTTAGTCTCAGAAACAGGATTTTTTAGCTAAGCTAATCAGTAATTTAAATAGTGTTCTGCCTTCCATCTATGTGTGTCCAGAATTATCTGGATTTGAAAGTTAAAACAAAGACTCATCTTTTCTTGATACTTCTCCATATTCAGAAGAGGCATATAGAAATAGAAAAATAAATTCCTAGTTCAAGGTATATTTAAAGGGATTATGTGATTTTCGTGCAGTTCTAGCACTTATATTTACATATATTCAGGACCCAAATCATCCTAGAAATTAGCGAACCATGCCCTTTAACATAATTAGCCAAAAGAAATCAAAGATGATAATGACTTTTTGGGACTGAAGATTCAGCACATGTTGAAGAGAGGAGAGATTTCAAGGGATTGTAGAGTTTCATCTTATCTATGATAAGGTTTAAGTATAGATTAAGCTATAGATTAACAAAGAAACATAACACTACAGTGTACAATGAGATTTTATTAGCATGAGGCTATTCTTTTCACATTTCAAACAAGGGATTTCTATTGAGTACAGCCTGAAGTACACAGCCTAGGTTTATTGTCTCATCCAAAGAACTATATGTTTCTCCTCTGTAAGCTCTCCTATTTGCATCACTGACAGGGAGAAACTAGGTTGTAAATTCAATGGCACTATCTTGACCAATGATGGAAATAAAACTTCCCAGATAGAAAGAAAGGATGCTTCCATTTAATCATCAACAAATTCAAATAAGTGATATAGTATTTCACCTTAGCTTTTTTCTCAGCTTTAATTCTTTCACATTCAGCTTCACAATCTATATATTTCTTTTTACCATGGTGGTCAAAACAAATAGCTTGTCTACTTAATCGTTTACATCGACATGTTACTTTGATAAGTTGTTGACATTTAACTTCAGGACAGGTTCCATTATGACATGGTGATAAACAGCGGTGACCACAGGCCATCTATAAATACAAATAATCTTGTTAAAATAAACATATCACAGCTACATCACTGAACTTTTAATAGCCTGAGATTAGATCTCTCATCGAATTATCGAATTTTTCTTTTATGGAACATATGATTTCACAAACATTTGCATCAAATAAGTTCTATATTAAAACAACTTTTTCATGATTCTTCTTCATGTTAGCCTGTTTAACGTATATAACTGACAGCGGGAAAGAAAATCTAAAAGCAACATGTTGACCTATGCTAAAAGCTATACTACTAGACAAATATTAACATCTAAATATGAATCAACTTACATCTTTAGGACATCTAGCGCCACAAGATTTGAGAGTAGCTTTAGTTTCTGGTGTAGCAGACGCCCATTCTAAACATGGTATTTGTTTTATTATAGAATTACAGTGACACCTGGTTTTAACAGTAAACTGACACGGAGGACAGTCACCAGCATGACAAGGTAGAGGACAGGAATGATTACAACCTGGTGGTCGTTCTTTCATACATAGTTCATCACATGATTGACAGTTTGTTCCAGCCTGTAATGTGATAACAATAATGAACTAGAGCCACTTGTGGCACAGAGTGGGACTTTGCAAATGTAGCAATTTGCTAAAGACCCCGAAAAAAATCAACCATCGGCGATAATTAGGTCAAGCGCAAGAACAGTCTAAAGTTGAGAAATTTTCATTTTTTAGAAGATTCTAATACCGGAAGTAGACGTCAGACCTCACAAATAAAAGTATCAGCAGATAGCCAAGGTCAATGACCTTTGATCTTGTAAAGGAAAAGGTCTAAAAAAGGCAAGATCAAGAGATATACGCCATTAAATTTTCAAATTGCTAAAGACTATAAAACCGAAGTTGACATAGGACAGCAAATATAAGAGTATAAATAGATAGCCAATGACGTTTGATCCTACAAAGGTCAAGGTCAACAAAGGTCAAGGTCAAAAATTGAAAATTTTGAATTTCCAAAACCTGTTCCTTTTTTTTGAACTATGAAGCGGAAACAACCGAAATTCTAAGACAAAGTGGCTCAAAATATGAGGTAATTGTGTGCAAAGTTCCATTTTGAACAAATGTATACTTTGCGAGTTATGCCCCTGGCCAAAAATGTCAATAGTGAGTAATTTAACCCGGAAGTGCCACGCCCACCTCAATTTTTTTTGAATAGGTTAATTAATATTCAAAATGTTACGTTATGTTCCAAATGTCAAGTTCCTACATAATAGAGGTCAAAAGATATAGGTCAACAAAAGTCAACAAAGGTCAAAATCAAAAAAATGAAAATATCCAAATGTTAAAACCCGTTCCTTTTTTGAAACTATAAAGCTGAAACAACTGAGCTGTTAATACATACTGGCCAAAAGGATGAGGTAATTGTGTGCAAAGTCTCTTTTTGAACAAACGCATCCTATGCAAGTTATGCCCCAGCCCCAAAATGTAAACAATTAGTAATTCAACCCGGATGTGCCATGCCCACGTCAAATTTTTTGTACTCACTTTATAAATATTGATAATAACATATACATGCGTTATTTTTAAGGCTTTACATCTATTGGTTAATGCGATATACAATCATCAAGGTCAAAAACAGTCAAAATCTAAAATTGAAAATTTTGAAAATCCTAAAACCCGTTCCTTTTTTTGAACTAAAAAGCTGAAACATCTGAGATTTTTATATAATTCAGCTTAAGTAATGAGGTAAGCGTGTGCAAAAGCATTTTCCAAAAAATTGTAATCTATATATTTTTTTTCTAGACAACAAAATGTAAACAAAATGAAAATTTAACCCGGATGTGCCACGCCCACGTCAACTTTTTTTGGGTGGATACATTTATATGGGGTATGTTTAATTATGTTCCAAGTTTGAAGCCTCTATATTTAATGGTTCGTGAGATAGGGTTATATTAATGTCAAAAAATTCACAAAATCAGTTAAAGGTTTCCAAAAATTAAAAAATATAAAAAAATCAAATTTTGCATTACAATCCATTGTGATATATCGTTCGAAAAAGTTCGTAAAGACCATTCAGAATCTGCAAAAATGAACTCTCTAGGTCAATTAGGTCACCTGTACGAGCAGTCCAAAGTTGCTATTTTGGCTGTTTTCGGACAGCTATAAAACCGGAAGTAGGTGTTGGAGGTCAAATATCAAAGTATCATCTGGTAGCCAAGGTCAATGACTTTTGACCTACTTAAGGTCAAGGTCATCAAAGGTCAATGTCACGAGATATACACCATCAAATATTGAAAAAATTCAATTGCAAATTGCAAAAAAGCAAAATCGAAATTCAAAAATCGGCTTCCTGCCATCTCTCTTAATTTTTATGTTCTTTCATTTGACACCAAAACTTTGAAATTCGGTTTAGCCAAATTGGCTGAATAAAAATCGAAGAGTTTCAGGGAAATCAAAATGGCGGCCAAAGTATCATTTCCGGTCTGGATTTTATATTCTTCGTTTTTTTGTATTAGCATTTACTTACGACCTGCATAAATTCCGTTGACCTATTTCACCGGAAGTAGATTGTACTTTCAATTGATTCCACCTTCAAAACCGGAAGTGACGTCAAAACTCTGACTGTATCATATCATTGACTTTATTGATGTCTCTTTGCATTTTAAATTTCAGATCAATCGATGCAAAATCAAAAAAGTTGCAAAAAAATTGTAAATTCAATCGTAAAAAGTTTGCGACAAATTTTCGAATTTCGTAATTTTTCAAGTGCTATCTGATCAGAAATTACAGCCAGATTTTAAAAATGAAAACCCGAAGAAAATCGATGCAAAAATGCGCCTTCTAGAGCCAATTTACGAGTTTTTGACAATAGGATTGATGTTACACCTCTCTGCACCAAGAAGGTGAAAACAGAGAAGTGTGAGTAGTAAAACAACCAGATTAGCCAACGCGATGACTGACACACAGAGAATGAGAAATAATTGACAATATGATAACAAACTGGATCACAATAAAATAGTGTGGAGTCTAAAAACAAAGTGATATCTCAAACATTCTTTTCCATGTTACTCAACATTTAAATTATACCACAATATCAACTCTGATAAAACCACATGAAGAATATAATTAATGGTGGCATTGTAATAAGATTTTCTCCACGGCATTGTGGACAATTTTGTAGACGAATATTCTACATAGAAACAATAGAAGTGTACATTTCACATCAAGAACTTGACAATGACTGAGCCACAGAGAGTGACTTAAAATGAGATATATAAAAATATATACTAACTGACAGACTATCTTTAGGTGAGAGTACATTATGACAAGTTAATGTACAGGTATGGTTAGTACAATCTAATAATCTACCACACGGTTGATGACAGCTATATACTCCAAGTTTACTACACTCTACTTGACTTATCTACAATATAAACATTTATACACAAAACATTATACATTTAACATGATAAACAACTATTCTATATGGATCCTAAAAATTCCACAAGAACAAACCTCAGATACTCCTCTAAACATCTTGTCAGTAACTTTGGTGCTTTGCGGCTAATTTTTAGTCATGACAAACAAATACAAATAGTCAATTTAACAACCCTATAATAGTTTCTCAAAAAATTCAATAATAAATTTGGGCAAAATTGTGTTGTTTCTCAGAAATGCTATTTTCAGTTTCTTTTCTTAAGGCCCTTAGGTTACTGAGCTCAAATATATCCAGTAAGTATCTCAATTGCAATAGTGATTAAACGAATTTGACAAAATATCATGTATTTAAAACGTTTACCTCATGGTTTCCAAGACAGGACTGTGGTAATAACACTTTACAGGATGCACAAGGTTTCTGAACTATTTCTACAACTTCTCTAGGTTTAGGATCCCAAGGTCCAATTCTTGCAGTCTACAACATTATCAATTATCATTAATGTTTCTTATAATACCAGACCTAGCACAATACAGAAATTGTTGTTTCACTTGATCCAACTGGTAATGGTACAAAACTAAAAAGAAAGATATCCAACCAACAACTTCTTCACAGAAAGAAAACAATTGATGTGAAAAAGCACTCCTCTAAGCTAAAACTGCCAATCATTTAAACTAATTCAGTACTCTGACCTTTTCTATGGTTTTCACCTTGACCTCATCATGACAAGATAAAGGACATGCATGTTGACAATGTGGTAGTTTTAATCCACAAATTTGACGGCATGGTGGACATTCATTAAAATGACATCTATGTTTACTTTGAACTTCATGATGACAAGTTGGTGGTTTTCTAAAAGAAATAAAATTGATGAATAAATGTAGTTAATTGTGGCCATGTACCCAAAATTCAGGTTCAGAGTCTTGTTATTGCAGGAAATCAACTGTCTATTACTGATCTATCAAAGGTACCAAAGTCAAATAAACTACAATCTTTACTAAATTTCTTAAAATAAATAGGAGAGAACATCTGTACTTTTACATTGCGCTAATATTTTTCTTCACTTACAAGGGATTTAAATCCATTACACATCTTTCTCTAGCAATTGATAATCCAGTTATCTTTCTACATCTATAATTGTAATACCTTACCTACATAACTGGTGACATTTAGGTTTCCTGGTTTTTTTTTCTTTTCCACATGGTACTGTTATTTTAGTGCATTTACAATAACAGAAAACATGAACAGCTAGTGGACATGGATAACATGGACCTAATGATAAAATTACATGTTAAAACATGGTATAGAGGTTTTTCTAAGCTATTTTTGTTTATCAGTAACATTGATAGCATCGATTAGCAGTATTCAAATTTTCAGTCACAAACTTCCACTAGATTCCACTGCATGAAGTCACTATCACCAAAGTACCATGAAATTCATCATTAAAGAAATAGGAAAGAGGTTTTCTGAATTTATATATCTATTAGAGATATTGACTTAAAGCCGGTACGAAGAACTAAACTTACCACTATGACAAGGACTGGCACATTTATGATTTTTACAACCTAATGGTTTACCACAAATCTGATCACATGGTGGACAATTACCTTTACAGCACTGTAAAATATATCATTCATTAACAAATTCAAAAAAAGATAGTGGACCACAGCCATATACGCCCACCACGGCATGAGAATGGTAAATATTAAAGATTTTGGGGCAAGGGCAATAACTCTGCTTCTTACGGTTGAAAATAGCTCAAATTCGAACTTGATCTTCGTTTTAGGAATATGTCTACACATACCAAATTTCATTTGATTCCATCAAAAAATCTAGTTTTTAGAGCATTTACAAGCAAATGATGTTGATAGAAGCACTTACTGTATAGAGGTTAAAGGGCGATAACTCCTCAAAACTGACGTAAGAGGCCTAAATCTTGAAAAAGCATTAAATTTAATCAGAAGTAAGCTAAACTTTCTTAAACCTTTTGGTGGGGCGACAATATACGTCCACATAGAGAGAGGCGTATAAAAACATACCAAAAATGATGAGGATGAACATTGTAACAGAAACATAATATGAACTCTTGTTAAAGGCATAAAAAAATAGATATTGATGGTGCAATTCAAATTACACTTAATATAATCTTATAATCAAAGTTCCATTATAAAAATACTATTTTATCTGCTGATATCTGCATCAAATTTTATTTAAATACATAAGGCAGATATCCATCTAGATCAAACTATGCAGAAAAAGCAATTGTGGCAACCTGAGAGCTAAGTTAAATGCATTATGCTAGAGAAACACTTACCATATCTGAATATTTAGCACTTGGAATTCTTTCTTCAATTGAACCTACCTTTTTCCTACATTGATGTCGTCCACAATTTTTCTGTTTATTACATTTAGAATCACAGTTAAATTCTTTACTACATAACGTTTCTTTTTGTTTCCTACCACATCGGCATCTCTTAACAGTTATATGTTGACACTAAAATATATAGATATTTTCTCTCATTACAGATTTAAGACTCTGTGATCATTCATACAGACTGAAGTCTTGGATAGTCAAGACTCTAAATCACAAATCCTTTATAAACTTGTTGGTCGGTCTTGCCTCTTTTCCAGTGACATCAAAGTCTGATTTTTATGGTAAGCACTAGTGTTTGGGTTTGATGTTTTTCTTACTGCTACTTGAGGCATTTCTCTTTACAGATTAAATGAATTCATATTACTTGATTTCGAGAGTTATTTTATCAACATTTGCTTAACCAGCAACTAGAGTCTAACCTCAGCTATCTGTGACACTTTTCAGTCCAAAAATGACAGCAACAATGAGGAAACAATTCAATTTCATTATCAATACTCTTCAATGCAAGCAAAACTGACAATATCAAGTACATTTTGTAATTACAACTGAACAAGTCAGACGTCAAATTTTCATTCTGAAAGGCGATATGGGAAATAGAAACTGAGGTCCATTAGATAGTAATACTAATAGTTAAGAGGTTGCAATAGCCACAAGTAATAGCCATCTTGATATAACAAAAGAAACTTACAGGTGTACAAGGTCCAGTGTGACATCTCTCAAGACATTTATGTTGACCACAAGCCAGTAATTTTTCACAAGTATCACCACATGGAGGTATATCTTCTGTACAAGGTAATTCAAATTCTGAAATACATTTTTCTCTAGTTTCAAAATATTGTCATAATCATGATCATTTTCTGAACACCACAGGCTACTCCTGACTTTATCACCATATCAGGACTGTTTAGTTGGCTATGCTATAAGGGAATTCATAAGATGGAATCACAAATACTTTTTTACCATTTCTCAAATCCACCTGTTCACCAGGCAATTGTATCTATAGTTCATAGTTTTTTACCTTAAAAAGAATGGCCCATAATCGAATGACAGTGCAGAAATCAAATCAAACGTCATGTACTTACGTGTTTTGCCACAAGGACATGATCTGAGACCTAATCTAGGACAATTACCACAATCACCACTGTGGCAAATCTTTTCACAAACATGGTTTTTACAGTTCAAAACTTTATTACACACCTGAAATCAGATTCAATATTGACATGTATTAATATTCATTCTCTACCTAATTGTGATTGAGTTATAAACTAGATAGCTATTGAAAAATAGACAACTCATATGAGACACAGAGAGCTGATATTATACTGTTGATCCGATACAAACTTATTCATTAAGACAAATTACAATTCAACTAAATCTTTAAAGATAGTGGACCACAGCCATATAAACCCACCGCGGCATGCGGATGGAAAATATTAAAGATCTTGGGGAAAGGGCAATAACTCTGCTTCTCACAGTCGAAAATAGCTCAAATTCAAACTTGATCTTCGTTTTATGAATATGTCTACACATACCAAATTTCATTTGATTCCATCAAAAAATCTAGTTTTTAGAGCGTTTACAAGCAGATGATGTTGATAGAAGCACTAACTGTATAGAGGTTAAAGGGCGATAACTCCTCAAAACTGACGTAAGAGGCCTAAATCTTGAAAAAGCCTTAAATTTATTCAGAAGTAAACTAAACTTTCTTAAACCTTTCGATTTAGATCCAATAACATCCATTTTAAGTTTCATCAAAATTGGTTGAAAACTAAGAGAGTAATAGCATATTCAAGATTTTGGGGCAAGGGCAATAACTCTGCTTCTAACATTATATATACACATATCGAATTTCATTTGATTCCATCAAAAAATCTAGTTTGTAGAGCGTTTACAAGCAAATGTTGACGGACGGACAGACAGGGGTGCTGACAAAATAAGTCCACAGAGAGATGTGGATTAAACCCTGGGCCTTCAATAACAAACTTTTGTAGCTTCCCAAATAAAATTCAAAAAGTAACTTACCTCTTTACATTTCCAATCTGGACTAGAACAAGGTCTTATTTCACTATGTCTACCACACCGACAAAACTGTTCACTGGTTTTAGTACATGGTGCACATTCACCTACATGTGAAATAAAATAATGTAAAATAAGGAAATATTCCAAACCACTATTTCTCTGTAATTTTTCCTTAGATATTATAATCCTTGTGTAAAGATATGAGAAACCTTTGTAAGGGATAGCAAGTGAACACCTACTGAAGTAATTACTGCAATGAAGCTTAATCTAAAGCTAGCAGTCTGAATAATGCCTTCCAAGTGAAAACAGTCGGTTGATGTTAAACAAAAAAACAGTAACTTTTAAGATACTAATTTTTGAAGGGTCATATATTTGATTTTGAAGTTTGTTTTATGAAGACTACTTACCCTCATGACATATTTGTTGACAAGAATGTTGATTACAAGATAATAATTTACCACATTTAGAACTACACGCCCAATATCTATTGCTACATCTTTTCATCTGAGGTGATTGTTTACCACAATAACATGTTGATTTGATTGTCTTAGGACATGATGGACAAGGACCTTAAACAAAGACAGAAAATTAGAACTGCTTTTCACTTATTCAAGCCAGTTTTCTCTCGTCAGACATAATAAAATGTCTTTCTAGAAAGGGCAGCAATATTGTGTGCTGTTCTTCTTGTGCCACACTACTAGCAAATGTACAATCACGTGAACTTATTGCTGATAAACACTAAACAATAATATCTAATTCCATCTCAATTCTTTAATTCACTAGGTGATAGTACTTGATTGAATTTTAATTGTAGGTGAACTTGATGTCAGATTTGTATTATGAAAAGCACAAAACAATATAATAATCTCTGCTAGTTCTTTATATGTATAAGCTACATGTTGTATTAATCTATTATGAAAAAATATTCAATTACATAATATAAGTTAATACACTATTATTATGCTGGACAAAACTCTAACAATATTTGATCACAGAATCCTTACCTGGATGACAGAGTAGAAGACAAGTGTGGCCACAGTCTGGTTTTAGTCTTCGATTACATGTCTGACCACAAGAATGTGGTACTAACCAGGGATCAAATGGTGGATCCGCTACTTTACCACAAAAACAATAATATTTACTTGGACAATCTTTCTGTTCATATTCATGACGGCATTTTGGACTGCAATGTAACATATTTGTTAATATTAGTATCCATAGTAGTGTAAGATCTATCAGTCTTTAATCTAATTTTACTTAGGATTCCTTTATAGGATAAAGCAAAATAAAATTACACACTTATAACATAATACATACCAATACCATGGAATGTTAGCTGTAGGTACATCATTATCTGATTTATAATTAAACTGATATGCTCCTTCTTTCACCCATTTCTGTATACAGGTTATATGAAACATTCCAGAACATCCACGACAACACCAAATCTGTCAAAAAATTATGAGAAATTAAATGAAATGAATATTTCATGCAATATTTAGCATGTATTTGGGCGTAGCAGAATTTATCCAGGACAGCAGTATTAGCCTACACTTTCATGATTTCCGACTGAGACCTTAAACATGCAAAGTCTGTAGCACAAGAAGCCTAAGTTAACAGTCCTATTCAAACAACTAAACGCTTTTTCTGTGTCACTGACAGAAATCTGAATTGACTTTTATGATAGCTAGCAAGCATCTAACTCACTTATCCACATCTGCTCCCAGGAATTACTCGAAAATTTTGAAATCTTGAAGTTTTTAGAAGATATGAGTGTGTATGTACTGTTAAAGATGGGTTTCCTTAATTTTGAGTGTCAAATTAAGAAAACTATTTGATTAATTGCTGTTTCTAATGAATATTATCATGAATTCTTAATCATACCATAATGTTCTTACTGCATATAATTAAGAGTTATAACCAATCATAAATGTATGTACAGTCTGGATAAACAAAAAAAGACTTTTTGACCTTTCTTGATCGGTCACTCATTGGAATTCTGCTGGTAATTCTCTTCTAATTTAGCTAATTATGAATTAATTATTAACTGTATGTCAGATAAACTGGTATTTTTTCAAGTCATTAGAACACCTCTACTTTCTATTCATATAAGTATTAGCATGTTCATTTTCATAAATGAAAATAAGGGAACCCATCTTTAAGTGTCATTCAATCTAGATTACAACTCATGAAAATTTAACTATCATAATTTTAGTGATGGACCAGTTTACTGAAAAGAAAAAATAATTTTTTAGTAAAGTTCTATCAAACTAGATCAAAATAATATTCAAGAAGTCAAAAACTTACAGCTTCTTCTTTCCTAATAGTTTCAATACAAACTAGACAAGCTGAGGTAGCAGAACGGAATGAATGAATCAAATCATCTTGAGCTTTATGCTTCCACTCTTTCTCTCCATTATCTACAAACATTTTAATTCAAATTGCAGAAATATTTAAACAGAACTTGAAGCATGTTGTTACTCAGAGTTTTATCTAACGAATTAAAAAAACATTGGAACTTTGAACATTTACATGTTTGAAATCTTACAAAATAACAATATGAAAAATTTCAGAAACACAACAGATAGGTAACCTTTGATATTCTCCACATACATACCATTAGAATTAGAATATGATTTGAATATAGATTCTATAATATTATCTTTTAATTCTTCTTCTTCTCCTTCATCTTCATCATCAGATAGTTCTACTTGTTTCAAATATTTACTAGCTGATGCTCTATGTTTATTACTGATGGCTTCAAATCGTTCTTGTGCATCATTATTACTATTACAATTTTCTAAAATGAAAATAAATAGAAAGAATTGATAGGGAGTTTGATCTCCAGGTTTGGAACCAAGTGTTTGACTATCTAAACAGAAAATGCATTTTTAAACATCAAAGTCGAATATGGGATGTCTCCTAAATATCTTCATCAAGCTATGTTTCAATATTTATAAATAACATGTGGATTGGATATTATAGAAACTTGTGCTAATAATTTGAAAATTTATTATCCAGGGCTAGGGATATATCAATCTGACTAAAAATTGACCTATGTATAAATCAGTTTCAAAATATTATTATTTTGGCATTATACACCCAAATATACAGTATATATCATAAATACCATACAGCATTGTAATAGTCAACAGACCAACATCAACTTATGGGCTATCATAAAAAAAAATGTATGAGATGAGAAAAGTTACCATGAAAATTAGAATTGTTTGCACAGGACGATGAATTTTGTAATCCACCAGGCATGGATGTTGCGGGTTTTGGTTTTGGTTTTGATAAAACATCTTCAGCTATGTGACCTCTACCTCTTGCCCTACCCCTTCCTCTTCCTTTCAAATATGCTGGAGTAGAATCCATCACTCCTTATTATCTATAATTTCATTCATATAATAAGGATAAATAAATAAATTTGTTGATTTCCAATCATTAAGATTAGAAAATTGAAGATCTTTTCTCAAAGTCAAACCCAATTTGATCTCATTTGATAATTAATAGGTACTGGTTTCCAGACTTCTTGACTAGCCTCTTTAAGTCAGCTGAAACTCTATCAGCTAGGAAAGCAAATAGATCTAGGCCTCTTCTATTACTGTCTGACTACATTGAGCTCTGAATTGAATTTTTTCTCTCATTTCATCAATATTCAAATTAAATTTTCAGTCATATGTCATTTGTCTTATTTGTGAATTATGGACAACCGGAAATATGAGGTTCAGTGATTTTACATATAAAATTGAAACACTGCCCTCCCAGAAAATTCACATGTAAATGACCCACTTTTCAGACTGAAAATTCCCCTCTGCAAAATCTTTTTTAACAATTAATATTTTTTTCAGTGGTTAACATTTTCATCAACCCAAAGAAAATCTTAGACTCTCACTAATATTTTGTAGTTGGTATTTCAATTCATAGGAAAATGATTGTCAAAATTCAATTCAGAAAACAGTTTAGGGCCTACCGGTAGTCAGAGAGTAAGTCTTATCTAATATCTAGCCTACTCTGCAGTTTGCCTCTTGCACTTTAAAGCTGGAAGTGGTGTGGTGTGTGGTGTGTTTTGTGGTGTATTTTGTGATGTGGCAAGCTCTGTCACTGTCAGTGACTCGTGAGCGATAGATGCAGTGCCAGCAGGGAGTAGACTATATCACAGCATGGCAGTAAATCTATTGATATCTTATGTTACGCTTATCAACAAGTTTCCAAAATAATGCCAGTAATCTTTCGATTACAATACCGTAAATGCGGGATAGTTACCTTTTAGCAAACAGACATTATTTCTTCACATTATTATTTTTCTTCTACTGCCATTTTACTGGGTTGAGTTCGTTTTAGATGAATCCTATATAAACCTTCCAGATTTTATACATTTAATTATTGATGAGAATTTGTAGAAGCGTTAAAAAAGATGCAACTATATTTCAAAACATCATTGGGCTAAGTCATTTTTTATCTTCAAAGCTTTTCATGGTCACAATTCAGAATTTGATTCAGGTAGAGATAATAAAACGAAGATACTAAGTTTCCATTTAAAGTTGAAGGTCATTGCATAAAAGTAAAAGTATACACAGACTAACTGTCTTGTAAACTATTGAAGTAATTACATTATAATAAACGTGACAATTTGAATATTGCTTCTATTTTTATGCAATGGCGCAAGCTGAAAGTGCTAAAACACTGAAGGTAAATATGGCGATTAAATATAAGCTTATAAAACCGAGGAAAAATATGCAATCTGTCTGTCTGTGCTCTGTGTATGTGAACAGTGACAGGAATTAGGATACCCTTTTTTGGCTTTGGGTTTTTGATGCCCTTGAGAGAAATATTTGTAATTTATTGCAAAATAGTTTGAGGTTGTTTCATTGTCATGTTTTTGCTCATTTCTCAACCGTTTCATGTTTTTTTGGGTTGTTTTCTGGGCCTAGTAGTTTCTGGTGGTTTCCTTGTTGGTTTTTGTTTTAGAAAGTACTGGTAGGCCTACTTAATTTACAAAAGGATTTTCTTTTGAAAATTTTAGATTGAATTGACTAAAGAAGATAAAGTTCTTATTAAGGAATGTTATAAAGAATCACTTTATTATCGAAGTGAGTATCTTTGATGAAATTTGTCTTCAACTTTTCAGTAGTTATGTCTTATTTCTGTATAACAATGTTCAATTTCTATGTCTAATTAAAAAATCACACAAAATGTGTCAATATGAATATTATTCATAATGAATAAATTATTAAAAAGCTAATAGCTATGTGATTTGCATCAATTTTTAATTTTATGTTGTATAAGCTTTAATTTTAAAGGTATTGTAAAGAGGTTTTATGAATTTTTTATGTGTATTGCCTTACTCCCATTTTCAATCATACGTCTGTGGTTCCTGCAATGCCACTAAAACTAAGTGCCAGATGACATCATTAATCACTAAGGGCCTTATGAGGATAAAGCATATTTTGCAATTAGTGACATCATCAAACACTTATTTTTCGTGGAATTCCAGGAACGTCAGACGCCCGACTGTAAAGTGTTACACATTAAAACATTTAGAAAACCTCCTTACAATCCCTTCAAGTTCAAATCCATGTGTTGTTTTTTTAGGTCTTCCTTTGGTGACAATTAATTCTGTTGGTACTTATGCATTGCATAAGAGAGGTATGATGAATATTTGTACATGGATCATTTTTGATACAATTTGTGTATTTTCTTCTGTATCCTTGATTAAAATTTTGAATTATTTTACATGTTTGAGTGTTTATTAAAGCAAACAAGTTTTGTTATATTCTGAATTCTTAAAAAAATATACCATCTTCATTCTGTGACACATAGTACCAATAAAATATAAGCTTATATTTCTCTTATATTTTCAGGACTTATTAAACGGCCCTTTTTAACTTATTCATGTAAGTTTTTCAAATCTTTTATTTTAAATGTAGATGATTTTTATATTTTATTCCAACTTTTTATGACCTTAGAATTAAATCATGCACTGGTCAGTGTCACATTGGAGTGGGGAATCTGATTTTTAGACCTACCTATATTAGAACATGGAAACATGCTAATAAGTTTTCCACTATCCTATATCAAGAAATTGTTAACTTTAGCAGTTAGAAGTCAGAAATGAGTAATTGTAACTCATTTAACATAAATAAGTTGTGTTATTTTACCTTTACCTATCTGATTTTCCCCAGTTCAACATTGTGTGAATTAAATATATATCAGAGTAATCAGAATTATAATTTTAGTTGGAGCCATTATAGGAATTTTTGTTGGAGTGGCATCTTATGGTCCAGCATGTAGAAAAAAGTTTGCAGCTAAAGTTCCTACTTCTGACTTCAGTCGATTGTACACTGGTAAAATCAGGTAAGATAAAAACAACTCGTCTATCCTGTACAAAGATAACAATTCCTGTATTGTTTATTGGTAATCAACAACTTTTAATTGTCATAACTTCTGCTGGTTGAACATTTAACAATTTTACTCATCATTAATGATCAGAGTGTATTTTTAACCTGTGTGTTTAGCAAATGTTTAGGCTAACTATTTATTACACTGATATGTATTACAGTCCTCAAGATCTAGTAGAAGAACAACGTCAATCTAGAAGAGTACACCAAGATAGACAAGATGAAGAACCAGTATCATATTTAAAAGAATTAGGACATGGAGAAGGTAGCTCAGTGAACCAGTTCTAGATTGTACATACATGTAACTCTGTAAAAAATATTCAAATAGAGCTATATATATTAATTGTTGAATATATAAATATAACTTACAATTCACAGATACTAGTAAATAAACAACAATATAAATATTACAGACCATCCTGTATTTACAATATTCAACTTGCCTGTTTAGTAGAAATGACTTTTTTCTTGATTTAGCCCAATTAACAAATGAAGAAATTGTTGAAGGCGGGAATAAAAAAATTACTTATGAAGAAACAAAAAACCGTGCCCAGTTGCAGCCTCAACAACCACCACCTAGATATCAGTCACAGGATGACCAGTGGAATAATGAAGATGGACCAAGATCACCTCAAACACCAAAGAGCTTTATAGATAAAAGAGATGGTAATACATGTATTTTAAAAATAAAAAAATTTCAGATTTTCATAAAAATTACATTTCCATGCATGACTTACTATTGGTGAAGCACATCAGTTCACTTTTCATGACTCTTAATGATCTTATGACAAGTAACAAACTTGGGCTGAATATCTTCAAATTCTCAATAAAATCTTACATTTTCAGCTAAAAGAAACAAATATGGTGATGTTATGGATTAAGATTCATTATAATTGAACATTTGTGAAAGAAGATCCCCACTACTAACTATGGGCTATCAACATGTCCTAATATTGGAGACGAAAGTTTGTACGGTTTGAATTTTGATTCAGGAATGAGCCAGTTGTGAAAAACATGATGTATGTTAATTCTATGAATGAAAATAGTTGTGTATTTAAATAGATCAACTATTAGAAGAATGTAATGTGTATGAGATTTTAAATTAAAGTATTTGTATTGAAAGTCCTTTATTCAAACCTGATCAAAATATCCAAGAATTCTTATTGCCAATATTCAACTCTGGTATATCATGAAGCAACCCACGGGAGTTCTAATAAGTAAAACTCATGTAATATAATTATATTGCAATAAGCATGCTTTGATACTAAATTTCTTAGATGTGCACTCAGGGGCATATCTAGAAAATGCCTGGGAGGTGATGGGGGGGAAATGAGGTGTCTCTCAGAGGCCCTCACAATCCAATGGATTCCAGATGGTCTGAGTTGAATTTTGAGGATTTACAGGGCTTTATTTTAACTTCAAAATTTCACATTTCACAGGCCCCTACCCCTAAATACCCCACTGAATATATTTCAAGTCCCCCAAATAAAATGTACTTCTTCATGAACCCAAAGAATTTGACAAAGTTCTGTACCAAAGTACATAAAGTAAAAGTCTGAAGATAATTTATGATTTTATTTCAATGATCTACTTTATGATACGAAATGATTATGTACAATGAGTAGTAAAGAATATGCCAACAAATTGAGGAGACAGATTTCTACCAATTCAAAAAGAGAAATATTCAGAACATTCACATATTATGAGTTCATACAATAGCAAAATATTTATTGCCTGTTAAAATAATGCCCAATGCTAATGCATTTTTTTGTATTTTAATGCTACACAGTTATAGATGGGTTAAATATTTAGGTTGTTTAAGAGACATTATGAAAATGTTAAAGGGACATAAGGTCCTCCAGTTATACAAAATGTTATTAGGCAATCCAATTGAAAAATGCAATTTTGGATTAAAGGAATTTAACATCGAGCTTTAGGGTTATACACAAGTAACACAACTATGAAGGATAACATAGTAGAGATTTGTCAACTTATTGATGAAGATGATGCTGTTGACCTCTGCTTCATAATATAACATCAACACTATACAATGTATAGTGATTCAGCATCTCTCTATAATTGGAACTATTCTGTGCCATATTTTGGAGTCCACAACACATAATTTAATACATCTGACGTACTAAACTTAGGCAGCTTTTACCACTGTACACAATATATTGATCTACTATATATGTACACCACTGATAAAAGCACTTAATTCACAGTAAAAATAATAACAATAGTTAGTCACTTCATCGTTTGGATTTCTTCGATTTACTTTTTGAGTCTGGTGTTCCATCAGCCTTTCGTTTTGCTGCTGCTCCCTGTCATAATAAATAATATTCTATTAGTTTTAAACCTTAGAAATCTATACACAAGTTTATTCACACAATTTACACAGTACAGCAATTCTCAGCAGTATTAGTGAAGCTGAAACCACCTCAGTACTAAATGTGTATTCTAGGATAAGGAATAAGCATGATGACATTTTTCCAATGATTCAAGTGATAGAGATATTGTATCCAGAATCTAGTCCATAGCTTTAGAGCCTTTAGGAATAATGCTCACATTTAGTTATGCTATTAAAACTACATCTTGGTATAAATCTCTCAAATAGGGATGAAATGGGTTGAGAATATTCATAAGAAAATTCCATAAATGGATATTCACCTTAGGAGTTCCAGGTTTTGATCCTTTCTTTCGTTTTTCTGCCTTTTCTTTTTCTTCTAATTCCAGATTTTCTCTTTCTATTAGTGTGATTAATGTGTTACATCTCCTTTGTAATTCCTTAAAACAAATTTCAAACAACATATAATAAATCAAATACAATGCGGCTTCAATCTATATCTGTAAACAGACAATTACAGAAAATCTAAAATTGTATAATCTAAGGTACTTGATCTCATCAACCCAATTTACAAAATTTTTTGAAGCATAGCTTATCATTGGATGACCAAAATGTTTTATGGCATGGGATGTTTCAACTCATTTCCTTTACAGTGTATAAGCATACAAAGCACTGGCTAATATACCTTTCACAACTTAAGTTGTGCTTAATTTAATTACAAAACACTTACCATAGCTGTTCTTGATTTAATAAACCAATCAAATCTAAACTGTGGAGCTTGACGTACTGCCTGTCTTAATTCATCGTAAACATTTTCTTTATCAAAACCTAACTTATGTAACATACACACTAAAAATCTATCTTCCTCTTCTGTATAATTTTTACCTTTGTTTGTACCATACTGTATACGTAACTGATGGAATGGAGCTCTGTATCTAGCCATCTGAAAATAAATGGAATGTATTGTATCAATACATACAATAAGTATACAAGTATCAAGGAAGCACATTTTGTTTTGTTTTCATGTTTATTTAAAATATATCATATTTCCTTTAACAGAATTTTTCTCTATGCTTTAAATCTTACCAAAACAATATCAGTTCATTGAATCTAGCAGTTGGTCTACTGAGGTGTAGAGAACAGAGTTGCTGAAACAACCAGACAGATTAGTGTTAATTCATATATTAACTCATAATTTACAAATAGAAGACTACTTATGTATGTACTTGTTACTATAAATATATATAAGTTACCTTGACATCTAGAGCACGTTTTATACCAATACGTCTCTGTATTCTAGCTTCACCACGATCAATCTGAGCCATAATCTTCTCAATATCTTGTAATTCATTGCAACGTTCCCAAAACACAGTTGAATATTGGATCACCTGCGAAAGAAGTTTTAAATTAGACAAATGTCCTGTCCTGAATGATCGGTTTTAACATCAATTTAAATTCGTGAAAACTTATACTGATACAATAATGAACAGATACAAAAAAGTGAATTTTTTCAAAGAAGGAACTCTAAGGATGAGAGTCATATAAGACTTCAGTATCAGTTTTTCTTTACCTCTTCTGGTGTCTTTCCTTCCACTTCCCTGGCTATACTATCAATGTCATCTCGACCATATTTCTCATTAGCTTTTATAAACTGTTGAAAATCACGCTTGGACCAGTTAGTAAAACCCTAGGTAGAAAAAAACATAAGTGAATTATTATCTGTTGAAGGAATCATCTTGATTGAATCACCCTTAAGTTAGTGAACTGAACTCAAAATACACTGCAGCTCCACCAAATAATCAAATTACATATTTCTACTACATTTTCTTTTATTTTTATGTACATACTCCATTAGTTCCTGGTTTCAACAGTTCTTCCTTTTCAGCTAACTCTTCTTCATTCAGTGGTTCAGCGTCATCAATTCTTTGTTGTTCTTCCATCTGTATTTTACCAGCATCACTACCCAATTCTGGGTTCCTTGGTACTCGATACCCAATAGAATTACGGTAATAGTAAATTTCTTTATCTAGTAATTCGAATAACCTTGGTGGAAAAAACTGGAAATCTTGTACATTTGGTTGCTTAGGGGGTCGTGGAGCCTAAATAAAGATAGAAATAAAGCATTACTAAGAGATATTCTTTCTGTCAAAGGTGGAGGGAAAAAAAATCAGACCTAAGAAAATCCAGTTCTCCCTTCCATGATTTCAATTGCTTCCAGTCTCCTTTGCTTCTAGTATTATTACAAGTCAGCAACTTGAACATAAGTAGGTTCTCCAAAAATACAATAATTCAGTAAATTTCATACCAAACAAGCTAGAAAAATTCAACATTCAAACTCGATCCAATACGCTCAAAAAATTACCTTTGGTGCTTTTGGTTCATTTACTCTGAGGGCCTCACGGAAATATGCATCAACAGCATAGTTAGCCTTTCTTTCTCTTTTGGGTGGTTCAATCCAACCAATACCACCTATTTTTTGTTTTTCACGATAATCAGAGCCTTCAAAATTATAAATACTATTATCTGTAGCCTCCATTGTAAAATTCCGTAAAGACGACTCGCCTAAACTGTCTAATTTTGATTTCAACTCAGCTGTCTGAAATTACAAAACAATTTTTGATAAATACCAACAGGAACATACCAAATAAAATACTAATTGTTTCCAACCTGAAACATTATTCCAATTTCGGAATACCAGATTAAGTCAACTTAAAAGTAAAAAGACACATATACCATGAGCTACAAATTTTTAAAGTTGGCATGATTTATGTACAATAATTTGACCAATTGTTTGTGCTGGCCCCTGTATCTATAAGTCTGAGAGTAATTCAATTCCTACCTTCTGTTCTCCTTTCTCTAAGATCTGATCAATGTCAGCATCAGTTATTTCACTATCTTTACTAGCAAATACATGACTAGCACCATGTCTAATCATAGTTAGCACTTCATCTTTACCTAATTTATTAGCAGCTTGATCAACTAAACGTCCTGAAAAAAAAATAATAATAATGATTATTTCCCACAAAAATTATTACACACCAGGGTTAAGTTTCACAATAAAAACTTGTTGTAGGAATCTGTTGTAGGCGCGAAATGAATAGTAAGATCTTGGTTAAGCTTTCGAAACTATTTTCAGATGTCATACCATTTTTTAGTTTTAAGTTTCAATAAATATCATTGGTTTCACACTATACCCCTGACTAATCAAATTTACTGACAAAATGATAATGTTTGAGTTATAGACAGCCTAGCAATTTAATTTGGTATATCCATACCTTGCTGTATGACAATACTGTCTAGTTTTAATTTCAATTCAGCTTTTTCTACAATTCTTTCTTCTACAGTATTCTCAGTTATAAATCTTAACACTTTGACTTGTTTCTTCTGACCAATACGATGAGCACGATCCTATTAATTAGTTAAGAAAAAAATTTGACACTGTAAAGTAATTGAATACAAGAAATATCATTTCAAACTATGACAGACAATGCTAAGCAGTGTATAAGTATGAAAATCTGGCACAAAAAAGTGGTTTTTGTTAATTGGCTTGACATGCTTTCAAAGAGAATCTATCTGAAGAGACTAGAACCATATCTTACCATAGCCTGTAAATCAGCTTGTGGATTCCAATCAGAATCAAAGATGATAACAATATCAGCTGTAGCTAAATTAATACCTAGACCACCAGCCCTCGTACTTAACATAAATATAAACTTTTTACTTCCTGGTGAATTAAAGTCATTGATAGAATTCTACAACAAATAAAAATACATTAGTGTAGAAACATAATAACAAGAATGCCACGTAATAAGATATTGCCTCATTTGGGTAGAACTGAGAAAAAGATAATGACAACGTTTTGATTGTGTCTATTGAAGATCTATAAAGATATTCTGATCAATTAGAGTTTGCTATGCTGTTAATTGGATCACTGAATACTAATCAGTGAATAAGAAAAAATTAAATGAAATGAATGAAGGGTACAATGAGGAAAATTTTGCCATTACAGCGGCATTAGCCTGCTCTTTTTCGATTTCCAACTGTCAAAGAATTTTTAACGTGCACAGCCTGTAGCATACAGGGCCTTGGTTCATTGTTCTATTGTTTCAAATCGGGTTCAAAAATCTGAAAGGTAATATCTTGACTTGATTGAACCCTGGTCATTCCTCCTTAATGTTAGCGAGCAAGCGTGTAACTCATTGAGCCACTGCCACTCCAATTACTGCAGCATGTTGAAAAGAGTCATAATGCTTACCTGTCGATCTTCGTGTGGTGTTTGACCATCCAATCTACAATAATCATATCCTCTCCAGAAACAATAATCTTCCAGAATATCTAACATACGGGTCATCTGACTAAAGATTAATACTCTAGAATCTAGAAAAAATCAACAGAAACAATAATCTTCTAGAATATCTAACATACGAGTCATCTGACTAAAGATTATCACTCTAGAATCTAGAAAATATCAACAGAAACAATAATCTTCTAGAATATCTAACATACGGGTCATCTTACTAAAGATTAACACTCTGGAATCTAGAATATATCAACAGAAATCAATAATCTTCTAGAATATCTAACATACGGGTCATCTTACTAAAGATTAACACTCTGGAATCTAGAAAATATCAACAGAAACAATAATCTTTTAGAATATCTAACATACGGGTCATCTGACTAAAGATTAATACTCTAGAATCTAGAAAAAATCAACAGAAACAATAATCTTCTAGAATATCTAACATACGAGTCATCTGACTAAAGATTATCACTCTAGAATCTAGAAAATATCAACAGAAACAATAATCTTCTAGAATATCTAACATACGGGTCATCTTACTAAAGATTAACACTCTGGAATCTAGAATATATCAACAGAAATCAATAATCTTCTAGAATATCTAACATACGGGTCATCTTACTAAAGATTAACACTCTAGAATCTAGTATATATCAACAGAAACAATAATCTTTTAGAATATCTAACATACGGGTCATCTTACTAAAGATTAACACTCTGGAATCTAGAATATATCAACAGAAACAATAATCTTCTAGAATGTCTAACATACGGGTCATCTGACTAAAGATTAACACTCTAGAATCTAGAAAATATCAACAGAAATCAATAATCTTCTAGAATATCTAACATACGGGTCATCTGATTAAAGATTAACACTCTGGATCTAGAATATATCAACAGAAACAATAATCTTCTAGAATATCTAACATACGGGTCATCTGATTAAAGATTAACACTCTGGATCTAGAATATATCAACAGAAACAATAATCTTCTAGAATATCTAACATACGGGTCATCTGACTAAAGATTAACACTCTGGAATCTAGAATATATCAACAGAAACAATCTTCTAGAATGTCTAACATACGGGTCATCTGACTAAAGATTAACACTCTAGAATCTAGAAAATATCAACAGAAATCAATAATCTTCTAGAATATCTAACATACGGGTCATCTTACTAAAGATTAACACTCTGGAATCTAGAATATATCAACAGAAACAATAATCTTCTAGAATATCTAACATACGGGTCATCTGGCTAAAGATTAACACTCTAGAATCTAGAATATATCAACAGAAACAATAATCTTCTAGAATATCTAACATACGGGTCATCTTACTAAAGATTAACACTCTGGAATCTAGAATATATCAACAGAAACAATAATCTTCTAGAATGTCTAACATACAGGTCATCTGATTAAATATTTCCATGAAAGAGACTTATTCATATTTTGTACATTCAAAGAGTCATAATTCTTAAATAAGGCTAAAGCAGACCAAGAATAACTAAGAACTAACCTTGTGCTTGTAGCTTAGGTAAGAGTTTATCTAATATGACCATTTTACCAGAATTTTCAAATAAATGTTTATCTGTTGTATATGGAGGACCTAAAATACAAAATGAATCAATTTAAAAAAAACCCACACAAAGAATTTTCACATTTGTACTGTACATTCTTACTAAAATATCTATAATCAATTAGTGTTAATTATTCTTTATTAAAAGATTTGGAAATTTTTTATTAATGACTTTGAAATACCTGGTTCAGCACCATCAAATAAATAGGGATGATTACAACATTTTCTCAACTGCATAAGAATATTCAACAATCTCATTTTATCTAATTTACCAGCCCCATTAACTATATCTATATCTTTCATTAAAATCTTTGTGTACCTAAAAATATTGAGAACAAATTTATAAGGAAACTTTTCTGAAAACAGCACATATCTGATTTGCACTTCCTTTTTAGGAAATTATGATTTATTTATCAATATCACTCACATTACATTCTAAGTGAATGCTTTACAAAAAATCTTTCATGTTAAGAGAGAATTTTCTTGCTCTTAATCCATTAATCATTGAGTGTGAATAAAATAAAAAAACATCATATTCCCTGAACTCAAAGTCACATGACAATGCTTTTAAAAAGAAGTGAAGTCATTTGGTAAACTGACTGCTCAGGAATATATCATGAAATTTTAGGACAATAGAGCAGCTACTATTTGTCAAGATGGTGAGGTTTGTTTACATACCATTCTCTCTGTAAAGCTGACAATCCTACAAACACCTTTACTTCTTTCTTTGGTAGTAGAGATTTCTCTACTTCTGATTTAATACGTCTCAACAAAAATGGCCTTAATACCTACAATCATAATAACAACAAAATGTACACTCAATTTATAGAATTTTTTTAATAATCAGATTAATTACAAAACGAATAACCAATCATATGTTGTATTGTAGAGTTGTGAATTCAAATCCAGCTATAGAGGGTATTTTGGGTTTTACTGGATTCCAAATTGAAGGATGAGATAAGCTACTTACAGCATGTAATCTTTCTACTAACTGTTGATCTCCCAAACAATTATTAGTATTAAACCATGAATCAAAGTCCTACAAAATATAAATCATTAGTCAATACCATATAAAGCATCGAGTTATTTATTACTGATTGCAAATTTTCCTTCTCTCAATTTGTATTTATTGTTCAGTACCTTTTTAAGTAAGTAAATGATACAGAAAAAGAGTTTGTAAATGATACAGAAAAAGAGTTTGAAAATGATACAGAATAAGAGTTTGAAAATGATACAGAATAAGAGTTTGAAAATGATACAGAATAAGAGTTTGAAAATGATACAGAATAAGAGTTTGAAAATGATACAGAAAAAGAGTTTGTAAATGATACAGAATAAGAGTTTGTAAAAGATACAGAATAAGAGTTTGTAAATGATAAAGAATACGGGTTTGTAAATGATACTGAATAAGAGTTTGTAAATGATACAGAATAAGAGTTTGTAAAAGATACAAGAGACTACTAACCTCAGCTGAATTAAAAACATCAGGTAATAAGAAGTTTAATAATGCCCACAGTTCATGAAGATTATTTTGTAATGGTGTACCAGTTAATAATAATCTATTAGTGGATTTAAATTCTCGTACAATTTCAGACAACTACAATAAAAAAATTACAGCATAATCTCTCTGCTTTATTGTACACATCAGATTGTCATGGTATTGTACTATGGCAACAGATAATGATGGCAAACATATACATATTGAATAGTACATATATATCATTGCTTGTTAGAAATATTAAAACAGAACTTGAATCATGTTATTACTTAGGGTGTCATTCCATGCGATCTTCAGACAACTGTCTTATATTCAGCTTGTGTCAGGTTAAAAATAGGTCAGTTGTCTGAAGATCGCATGTTTTTTTTGGTTCTGTTTTAATATTTCTATATCACTTTACAATTAATGTATTGAGAACTATTTAATTAGTGACGGTATTTCTTTAATGTATTATTGCCAGTTATACATTATTATTTATTCTTAATGTAAATTTCGAATGACATTGGAGCAGAAGCTTCAAAGAGAAGTTTTACATCCTACTTTTAACCAATTAAAATTCAATAGACAATTACGATTTCAGATTTTTAAAAAAATTTACCTTTGACTTTTCGTTTTTGATTCTATGAGCTTCATCAATAATAAGGTATCTCCAATTGAATTTTTTAAACACTGATTTTTCACGGATAACCATTTCATATGAAGTTATAGTGACATCCCATTCACCTGGTAATATGATATCACGAATTATTTCAGCCTGAAACAAACAACAAGAAGTTAATTTCTATTATTATACCATCAGAAATCCCAAGAAAATCAGTTTGAACCCCACTACAAGAGTTTTTTTGTTACCATCACTAGTAAGACAAAGTTTTACAACATACTTCAGAACAGGGGTTGTTATTCTATCAAAGGATTTGTCAACTTAAAATTCTATTTGAAGAGTACATAATTCTATTAAGATGTTTAGGGTAATTGTTTTCAACACAGTTCTCAACAAATCTCAAATCTTTACCACTAGAAACCATGGTACATAGTTTGAAACTTACCTCTATACAACATAATCCTTCTTTAATCCACTAAATTCATTAAACTATGTAATTATTGGGGACTGCTTAAAAATTTGAAGTGTTTTTTTAAAAAAAAACCTTTATTTTTTTGGATAATTACTTAGTTTTATTTACTTACTCTCTTTTCAGCTAAACCAATTAAACAAACAGTTCTTAAAGTTGGACACCATCTTTTAAATTCATTCATCCAGTTACTCAGTGTCGATTTAGGAACAATAACAAGATGAGGGGAGGGGATATTTCTATAATGTTTCATATAACCTAATAATGATATGGTCTGCAACGTTTTTCCCAAACCCTGAAAAAATAAAAAGATAATTTACTAAACAGAACTAAAATTGGATTTTTTCATTTTATAGATTAAGACAAAAATGTTGAATTGAATGTTGCTCTGTTTGCTTCTTGCAACTTTCTGATAAATGAACTGTGCAACATACAACATCAGAACTATCTGAACTAAAAAACCCTACTTCCATCAGCATCAACCTAAGCAAATACTAACAGAGGGATATTTGACAGCTGTCCAAGAAACCATCTCAGCTTATACCAGAATCGAACGCACACTCTTGGCTAGTAAATATTTCAAGACCTTTAAGATTTTCTTCACATAATGATAAATGAAAACAAACCATTTCATCAGCTAATATACCATTTATACCATTTTCATACAGTGATATCATCCAATTTAATCCACGAACTTGATAATCTCTCATTTCACCACCCTTAATAACTAAATTAGAACACATAGAAAATAACACTGTGAATAACAAAATAGGAAGACATTGTAACCTGGAACATCTCAACCACTGTTTATTGACAAAATTTCATCATAAGTGTAAAAGGGATGTTGATTACATGTTACCAACAAAAAGTATAGTTTATTTCTGAAAAGTATTACAGGTAGAAATTCATGTAGTAACTCACATTGTGGGCTGGAGTCGAATCTAGTTATAACAGCATGTGATTTTCTAGCATCAGATAACAATTCTTCATCTTCCTCTTCTTCTGTGCGGCGGTGTCGATGACTAAAATTATATTTTTATGTAGTTTTATATTAACCTACTTTGTTCACAAGATTTACTGAGATTCAAATAAAGGACAGCTGGTAATATAAATCACTCACACTACAGTACATGTTTGTGCATTTGCAACTGGTATATATTTCAATAATTAATAGTCTTGTATAGCAATATGAAACTTAATTAACCAAGTAACTTACTCTCCAGCAACCAAAAGTTTAGTCTTTTCATCCATTTTCCTTCCAGGTTTTCTCCCTGGTTTCATTTTGAGTGGTGAAGCTGGAGCCCCACCTGCTCCTCCCTGATTCTGTAGAGTACCAGTCTGCATGAAATGTCCAAACAATTCTGTCTGTTGTAGTAAAAAGTCAAATCTATGAGTTCTATCAGTCTCCTGGAATAAAAAAATAATTAAAATCAAGTTCGTGTTCTAATGTAAAGGACAATTATATGAACATGGTAATATTCTTTCATTTAGTACAAGCCTTATCTTTTTTTTCAAAAATCATTTAAAAGTTGCTGATGGCAAAAAGGATGATTTACACCAAAATAATCTTGCCCAAAACGTGCCAACATACTGCCAACTGCCTATACTGACTTACAATTTTTTCTTCAAATTCTGTATCTGGTTCAGCATTTTTCTTAGGTGGTGACTTAAGTAAAATAGAAGGTCCTTGAACAGGCTGTAATCAAAAAAATAAAGTTCAAACTTAAAACATCAGTACATAATCAATACTTTATCCATAAACCTAACGCAGGATACTTTTTCTTATTTACATAGCAGTTTTTTGCTCTTTAGGCCGAAATTGCATAGCATTTTAAAATTTTGTGGAGCAATTTCTTCTGCAATAGTTAAAATTGTATATTTTTTCAATATTTTTTAATGTCCAAACCAACCGATAATATTTAAACCTCATGTTTGCAGTTTTTCTTGCGGGAATGAATATTTAAAAGTTGAAATTATTTTGTTACAAATAGGAGTTTTGTTTTGCGATTGTTAATGATGAAGCATTAATTTTTTCCACCACGAAAGCCATAGCCATGCTGCTCTACTCTATCTCCCCGAAATGTCGTCTGCAATCAACTTCAGTATAATATTCCTTATTTAGCACAATCTATGACTATAATATTATTTATAGTAACAATCATGCCTCCTTTGATTCTGTGCCGACTTTCAATCCTCAAGAAATTTACTAAAAGGTGCGACAAATTAAAGGATTCTCATTGTGTCAGACACCAAATTTTATTATTAGTTCATTTTCATTTATTATTAGAAAATATTATGTTTCTCAAAAAAACTGCTCTACGGACAAAAATTACATCGCATTTTGCCGAATATTGTATCCCAAACTGCCATGTGATACGGCTTAATTAGTTCCCTGTAATGGACTGAATTCACATTTGCTTAACCCTGCAACAACAAAAATCTATTCCTAATCCTTGCCCCCCAAAATAATTTTATAAACATTCTTAGACATAGACCTATAATATATATATATATAAATTAAAAGTAATTGCTATAATGTATAAAGCTAAATAAGAAAACATTAGATCTAGGCCTATGCGACAAAATCACTTTTATCACATTTTTTAGTACATTTTTAACGATTCATTGGGACATTAGATTTAGATTTTGTCGGTACTAGTAGTCAGAGTAGATAGATCTACAGGCACAATTTACAGAAAAAATAACATCACATTCCAAATCTTTACCTCAGGAGATTCTTCCTCCTCCATAACTGTTTCATTTTCAGATTCAGACATGTCTATCGGTAAATCGAATGTATTTCTTAGTAGATTCTTTGTGCCTGAAGTCAGAAATGAAATGAGGTTGGCGCGATGAATTATGAAACCGGAAGTGTAGAATAGGCATGCTCAATGATCATCTATGAGGGGAGGGGAGGGGAGGGGGGGGGGGGGGGGGGGGTGTTATTCCTGGACGAAAAACTGTCGGGCTTATAGGCCTAGCATTTTTCATAATAATAGTGGTTCAGAAACCGATCAAGCTCTTAAACAATCAAATCACGCAATAATAGAGACCACGAGTTGAAAGGGAAAACGATGCTTTATATAAGTTATTTCGTCGCTTGGTGTTGTTTTATGGAGAATCGTTTTCGCCAAAAGTTAAAGCATTAATTAGCCACAAAATATACATAATACTAGAGGCCTACAGAGAATTAATTGCGTTGGAATGAATAAATGATATTGTTATATTAAAAACATATGATGTTTATGACAATTAGCTGCAAATCAGCACTTCTAATATGCATAGGTAAAATATAATACAGGCTTAATGAAATTTTGCGTTGATGAAATTGTCAACCAACGATAAAATTTTAAATTAAAAATATGATTTAACAAAAAAGAATTTTAGTCAGAATTGTGGTTATTTTCAGGGAAGATGTGTGTTTCGAAAAAAAAATCACCAAACCTTACATTAATATTTCTATGGACCCGGCATCATTGCAAGAGCATTACCATGCTTCTTGAAATTATTTTGTTTTGAATATTTGTGAATGAGAGAACAAAATTATATCATTATAGTTAAGCTCACTATACTCGAAGAAAGGTTCATGTGATGCAAAAATTTGTCAGACTCTACAAAGTTTCAGATCTCAGAAGCTTGTAATACAGTTTCAAACAATGCAGTTCTTTTTGGAGGGCATGGTTATCCATACAGGCACCTGCTAATGTTTACAGAGGGCGCTTCAGCTGTTATTGACATGACGTCTCCGTCAAAAGTACACTAATGAGGACAAGTCGAGTATGTTGAGGTCAGACACTGCGATTTTTTCACTATGATAACAGTGTTGTAACAACAATGGAATTCTTACCCTAGTTTTTATGTAGGGGAATTAATCGTGACTCGTTATTGACCAGGATTTTGTATCTGAGAACCACATGAATAAAATGAACAGCATGGAAAATCATAAAGAATGGATCTGTTTTCTTTTTCTACCAAGATGGTGGACTAAAAATCCTCTGTTGTCTCTAGTGATTCTTTCATTTGTCATAATTTCTCCAAGTTGTGGTGAAGACTATTACAGTCAAACTCAACAGACTGACAATTATGATGCTATTGTTAAAATATCATACAAAACTTCAGAGGGAGATCAATCTAAAACTATGAAAGGAAAATTGGGTCATGGAGAAAATGTTATTTTGAAGGAACAGACTGGTAAAGTTGTGGCTATTCGATCAAAAGGCAATCATACTCACGGATGTTCTGATTATATTATGGACTTGCCATCTGAAAGATGGATTGCGCTCATTGAGAGAGGAAAATGTCCCTTTCAAGACAAAATAAAGAGAGCCACTGAAAAATATAATGCCACTGCAGTAGTGATATACAACGAAAATAAAACTGAAGATACAATATTTATGAGCCAGGAAGGTGAGAGGTTTAATTTTATGGGTTTATACCTGCTCTTGGTTACAGCTTGACCTCAGATAATGCAATTCTGGAAATGATGGATCTTTTTTCTAATAAGTACTTGTCCGATAAAGACTTCACCAACACTATATATGACACTATATATGACCACTTGGGCCAAATTAAAGACATCTAATTAACTAATTAACAGTTATTATCTTATAATTTGCTTTGATTAAAACTGTTCAATGGGATTAGTTTATGATTAGATGATTTGAAATAAACAGATTAAAATTAAACACTGATGACATTTGCTTTTACCAATAGTTAATCATTGCTAAATTTGTCACTTTTGATTTAAATTTGATTTGTTGCATATTTAGTCATACAATAAAATAATATTATCGGTTCTGCCAATTGACCCAGAGGTAGTCTTGTTTGAAGTCATCTTGGACCCAAGTTTTCCTGATAGAGAAATCTGCATTGGTTCACATAATTGTAGCCTACTTGTAATATGGGTTATCACAAATCTAGAACAATTAACTCTCGTTCAGTTGATTTAGGTAACAGGCATTTTATTAATAATTAAAAAATACTGTGGTATACTTAATGCTGTACCTTTAGTTTAGTTTCACTTTTGTGAGTATAGTTCTCAACCATTAATAAATTGTAATATGCTTTAATACGATTGATGTAGGGAATTAAAATATTTTAAAAATTAATGCTAGGTATTAATTGATTTTAAAAGTTCAATTCAAGAAAGAAAGTGTTTTGCTGCACATTAGGCCAATCAACTAAAAATAGATATTAAAGCTTCTCTTGTGAGATTTTAATATGAATATGAATGAATTATCTGCTTAAATTTGAAGTGGAATAAAATGATAATAGAATTTTTACATGTCAGATTTGAGTGTATATTGTTCATTTAACAGTTATACTGGTGTTAACGTATAAAACTATAATTATGTAATTTTTTGTTAAAATGTGAAGTACAATACGCCAACAAAACTCAGACAGCATTGTGAACCATTGCTTTGATATAATTTATAGCAGACATTGACTTATTGTAAATCAATTTAAATTAAACAACCATTCCAATGAATACCTTCTAAGTATGCCTTGTGAATCGGATTCTGATTCTATTCTAATATCATACTAAAAGATTAGAGAGAAAGCTACTGTGGTTCAACTTGAATGAGTAGCTCCAAATTATATACTGGTATTCAATGTATTTATAACCAGTTTGGTAATATAGTTGATAGGGGTGGGTAACGTCCACTGTCTTTTTAATAGTTTCCAACAATTTCAATCAAGTCAGTGATCAAGTATCAATACATGTCTATTGCGATACACGGATTCACTGATATATCATGCAAGTACTCCAAATGGACACAGTGATTCAAATTTGAATTACTTCAATTACCTTATCTACAATTCAACTACCATTTATTTAACTTTATTAAAATTTTGATTGTTCCTGTATTTGCACAGATATCTTTTTACGAGACTTTACTGTACTAGTAGTAAGCATTTTTACATTAAACAAAATATGTTATATAATTCAAGATGGCTGGAGACAAAAAATTTCTTTACAAATTAAAGTAGTTTCTCACTCTTAGAGGAATTTTCCTAATCTAGTCAATGTTGTAATTATCATTTTATGTTAAAAGTTGAACTAGTTTGTACTTGGTTGGAATTGATAGTAATAACAGCTTTTTTGCTGGAAGATATTGATTGGAAGGACATAGTATTATATGATGGATCACATTTATATATAAGCTATGGTGTTAGTATGCTTAAATATTGAATAGTGATATACTTTATATATTCTCATTACATTGAATGTGTGATGCAGGACTGTTGGTCGAAATTTAGTTTTTTTGAACAACAAAAAATTACATGTTCAGGTTTAATATTTCTATAAATATATATTATTGCTATGGTAATTAAGCTTATTTGAAATATTTTGGATATTTTGAACATTTATATTATCAAATGTCTGCCACTTGAATTTTAATCATAGCTCCTGGATTAATTATACAACATGTACTAAGTTGTTATATTATATTGCTTCTTGAAATGCAGATTGAAATTATTATCTGTTTAATTATACAGAATATATAATATGATAGTATTATGTATCCAATATAATCTTTTGTTGACATGATAGTTAATTATTTACATATGAAATAGTAGGATCATAGTGATAATATTTATAATTCATTACCATATTACAGATTATATCTTTCATCAGTTTATAATGCCATAAAAATTATTATTGGTTTAGTGGGAAAGAAATTAATGAACTCATCTTACCGTATTTTATACATCCACATTAAAATATCAACAAGGTTTAAATCAGAATATTCTATTTGATTTTTCAATTGAGTTTTTTGTTTACTTGTATATTCTACATTATAAATTATAATATTGTAATATATATATAATTATATATTACCCTATAAATAAACTATATTTGATTGATATCTGGGTATCTGTCTCAAGAAATCTTGCACTAAAAAATTGTCGTTATGGTACTGTATTATTTTACATTAAGAAATACCACACATATTACAAAACTTGATCATACAAAACATGATTTTTCAAGAAATTATATCCAGGACCCTGTTTCTCAAGAAATCAATAAAATTTGTTGTAAGTGTTGAATTTACCAGAAGAACCAAACTTTATGAGAAACAGTGGGCCATAGGCTTAGTATCTTCTGTATTCAAAAGTTAACAGTATAAATATAGTTCTGATATACATATGTTGATTTTTCTTTTCTTTCAGATTCTGAAGTGCTCTCTGTGAATCTAAAGAAAGTTGATGGTGAACATATCAAACGACTGTTGGCAAGTGGTATCAGTGTTAAAATGACAATTTCTATTGGTAAAAAATACACTAAAGAAGCTACTCAAAGTAATATTAGTAAAACTTCAGTACTATTTGTCTCAATATCCTTTATAGTGCTGATGATCATATCTCTTGCTTGGTTGGTGTTTTATTATATTCAAAGATTCAGATATGCCCATGCCAAAGAACGACTAGCTGTAAGTATAAAGTTTTATTACTTATTTCATTCAAATTTGATAATTTCAATTCAAATAATTATGATGCTTAGTTGAACATGTAATAAAACTGGTGCTAAAATGGTTCCATAATGTTTGACTGTTGTTTTTGCCTATTTATTTCTGAAGTAAATGATATTTCTGTGTGAGTGCAGATTTATTGAAAAACTTCTGAAAGTATGCTGAATAGGTGTCTTGATTATGTTTCGGAATTATTTTTTTTTATCAATAACTTTTTTTTGCTATTATCAGAACTCTAGCATGCTTTTTAATGAAGTATTTTGTTTACAGAGAAGATTAGCAAGTGCAGCTAAGAAAGCTATAGCTAAAATACCACAAAGAAATGTCAAATCTGGAGACAAGGTAAATAACATTTTTTACGCATCATTTAGTGAGGAAGTTAATTGAATCTCCATGAAAATGTGAATTGATCCATTTTCAGTGCATTATTAAACCTTTAAAAGTTATTCTATTTGATGTTGCAGACAGTATATTGAATAAGACCAATTCAAATGATTCTCTGTAAATTATGAAGTTGGTCTCATGTTTTCAGAATATAAATGACTTAAAGAGGCAGCTCCAAATTATGTACACTTTTCTCTTTGTTGGGCTTTTAAACTATTGACTTCACTTGGGTCAGGGACATATGATCCATCTGTTTGACCATCATATCTTAGTCTCAGAAATGAGAATTTTCACAGCTCAGTGTCTAAACTTAAGCCTTCAAATCCATGTATGTCCAGAATTATTTGCAATTGATAGTTAAAATGATGACTCGTCTTTTCTTGAGTTATAGTTTAAAGTATATTTGAAGGGATTATCCGATTTTCTTGCATTTCTAATACTTCTGAAGACTATTTACCATGGCCTTTAAGTACATTGGTTTTGGTTTCTTTTAATAACTGTTTACTCTGTATTTAATATTAGATGTGAATCTTGTGTAATTCTAGGAATTGGATTCAGATTTTGACCAGTGTGCTGTATGTATAGAAGGATATAAAGCTCATGATGTTATACGCACTCTTCCTTGCAAGTAAGAACTAAGGTTTTGATATTTTGTTTATTTTTGTTCAACACCATATCAAATGATTGTTTATGAAATTGTTTCTGACAAGGTTTTCGTGACAAACATATTACCATAATGCATAATGCTAACTAACATATTTAAATGAACCAGCAAAAATAGTTTCTTTAAGATTTCTGTTTGAATGCTATGAATGTAATTATACTGGTGTATACCTTATGGTGGTTACCGTGACCAATTTTCTAAATTACCTAATTATCACAACTAATTTACCTTATGACCACATGACCAATACTGCCATGATGGTGTGACGAATCTGTAGTTTGAACGATTTACTGTGACCAATTTGTCATGTTACTAATACACCCTGATTTAATTGACAATGTCTAAACATATATTTGAAATACATCCATCACAACCATTGAGTTATATCATCTTTTAGTAGATAGAAAATTTGATCAAATGAATTACAGAACTTTTTTTGCAAGTTTATCTGGAAATCAATAAGGATTTGATGTCTTGAGTTGACATTTGATGATTTTTTTATTGCCCAAGTTTGAGTTTTTTCATAATAGAAAATTCCACACTACTATTTTGCTGTCTGTCATGAAAAAATGTAATATAGTTATATAGAAATATAAGAATCTTATAATCAGATACTATCAGATATATTTACTGGGATTAGGCTTAGATATAATTAGTTAAATTATCAATTGATTCATGACTTTTTTTTTTAATGATAAACTTCAACATTGTTAAAGTATTCGTTGTTGTTTTCACGAAATTTTTGAAAAATAAAATAAGGATTAGATATTAATTAGAAAATAGATTTGTAAGATTAGTTGTAACAATCATATATTATGTTCAGATCATTTAGATATTTTTTGTTGTTTCTGACGTATTTTTGTTCATTGCAAGTACCATTCAAGCCTGTTGAAAACTTTCTAATGCCTTTAACACCATGATATTGGATTTATCAGTTTTAACTTGATCTTTGAACTTTGTCTGATTCTGCATATTGATGAAAAAAAATCAAACATTTTGACTGCTAGTAAAATAAAGGTAAGAATTTGGACCCTGACAACCGTTGAATTGAAACAATATGATTGGGATAAAAACAGACAGTCAGGTGCCAACTGGGTTTGTGATATATATAGATAGATGTTTTAAATGGTCCAGAAAATCTCAATATTATTTCTCAAAATTGATTGAATCAAAATCATATATATATTTATATATATATTATTAGTCTCATAGGATTGAGGATAATGTAACATTGTGATTATATAAATTAAAAAATATTTTGGTCACCAATGGCAACTTTTTGAGTGCTAATTTGAATCTTTTTGTTAGTTCCTGTTTAATTCCAGAATTTTTAAGCAACATGTTTTTATTAATCTCAACGTATCAAAATAGTTTTCTGGCCCTTGTGAGTTGAAGGTTCCATGACTTGTTTACCAATTTCAATCCCTATCAATATAATTACAGCTTGGTCAGCCGTAAAAATAAAACAAATAGATCTCAAATAAAACTCCATCAAAAATTTATCATATGAAAGATCATTTCTTTTGGATAATTTGCATTTGTTTTCATTAATTTTAATGAATCTGATAAAAATATGGATCTGAATGTTTTGACTAATGATTTCATCAGATAGCTACACCATTCATGATCTGATGAAAGCATTCAGCAGGTTATTTTCTTGGTTAACCAATCAAATTTTTCTGTTCAATAAATTTCAAAATATCAAGTGTTTAACACTGTTATGATTGTCAGCTGAAATATAGAAATACGGGTAGGCGACTGTAGTAATACAATACAACAATAAACAGTTCCCATTACATAGTTGGTAATTCTGGTTCACTTTGATTTGATTTCAGCTTATATTAATGATACATGAATAACATCTTAGAGTAATATTTATAATGAAATAATATCTGTGGTGCTTCTGAAACAAGTATTTTCTAACCTCAGCTTTAGTACCTTTTCACATGAAAACCTGTTTTTTCTTTGTAATTTATTCTGTTTGGAAGGATTTTTTTCATAACAAGATATATTTTAACTGAAGCAGAAAGCAAGTTTTTAAAAGAAAGATTAAACAAAAGACAAATAAACATGAGTAAAAAAACCTACAGTGTACTGAATTTAGTTGTAGTAAGCTTTGTAATTAAATGCTGATGTTATATCTATATAGGATTTAGACTGATCATAAACTGGATGGTATTGAACAAATCAATAAACTAATTGGGGAATAGAAGGACAAATGATTGTCTCTAATTATCACCATGTCAATTTACACGGACTTACAATGACTAACATTCTAATGTTTTTTCTCTATAAGTACTCTCATCTCAAATAAAGTTCATATATATTAATTTTTCTCAGGAAACTCTTCTTTTGACTTGACTTGTTAATTGTTTCCTTTAAAGGCAATTTAAAATAATTACTATTGTTTGTATGGCAATGTTACTGAAAAAAATTATTTCCTGCACAATCCAATATTTTTTTTTGCTAATTACAGAAAAAAGGGATAGAGTAGAGCTAGGAACTTGCTCACTAATCTGTAGCTCCAGTGATTGATTCAAATATAGGTCAAGATAACACACATTCAAAATTTTTCAACCTAATTTTATCCTGTTAGTAATCCAGGTCAGAAAGGCTGAAATAAATGTCATTCAATTGGCACAGAATACTAAGACTGTGCACTACAGGTTGTGCTTGTTTAAGATCAAAATTTCTTTTTCAAATATATTAGTTATTCAACAGAAATAGTGTACAATAATTTGTGATAAACTGTGTCAAATCCAACACACTTGAATCAAACTTATTTATTTAACTCTTTATTTAAAATTCAATCATGCCTTTACATATTTAACACCATTTTAGCAAATATTATTTGATCAAATAGTCCACCTATTTCACAAAACTGTTTTGATCCTATTGATTTTGTATATAGTCTACTTAAGGTTCAAGGACTGACATACAACATAAAATCTGCTGTTATCTTTTAAACATAAAAAGAAATATGAAAGAAATGTGATATTTTGAATTGTGCTTTGAGTCAGGGTTTTTTTGGTTTTTTTTTGCAGTCAATGGTCTGTATATTGAGATCACGAAGTCAAAATACCACAAAGTCAATTTTTTAGGGATTTAAGATTTTTTCAGAATGTGGATGTTGTGAAAATATCTAATTTCTTCTACCAAAGCTGATGAAAGTTGACTATCTGCACAACATGATAGTTGTATCTTTTTTTTAAAGTTTTTTTTAGGTTTCTGTAAAGGTTTGATAGTTGGTGTCAACAACTTGAAGGTGCAGATCCAGATATTTGAGTTAATCAACAATCCTTGCAAAAATACTCTTATGAAAATCTTCATTCAAAATCCATCTTACTTGAATATTAATTTCAATTTCAGACATGTTTTCCATAAATCGTGTGTTGATCCATGGTTATTGGAACAAAGAAGTTGTCCTATGTGTAAGTTAGATATATTGAGAGCATATGGCATGCAGGTAAGTACGTCTCTTCTGTTTGATGTATGTATTGAGGTATATTTAATGAAAGAGAATTGATCTGATTCTGCCAAATATTTACCAAGATAATCCTATAGTAGTCACTAAATCAAATATGAGATAAAAAAAAAGCTATGCATAAAAGACTTGGCATGTATTTTATGTTTTTGAATTTTAAAGGCAGAAGGCAGGAATTGTTTAATCAGTAAACAAGCTATTATCAACAGGCTTAAGCCTACTGTTGTAATTCAGTAATATACAGATATTGATGTCTGTGATTAGTAATGAAATGACATACTTTTCTGCACCTTATGGGCTAATGACGGCAGTGCCATGCAGTGTACATTGAGGATAATTTTGCCAAGACAGCAGCATTAGCTTACACTTTTACACCCCCAAAAAAAGTGGAATGTCCCGTTAAAAGAAATATTTACATTACATGTTTCAGGTTGGTGGCAGTGAAGATTGTGTTCATCCTGATGGTGAGAGTGCAGCAGCATCTGTTCAACCAGAAGAAGTTGAGCAGACATCAATAGCAGAAGAACAAGGAGGAGCAGAAGGACAAGTTAAGGTCCTTCTCCTGCCTCACAATTGCATTCACTTTCATCAACATGACGAAGTTGGTGAATCGAGTATTGATTCTCAGACAGAGGATGAGTTGGCTCATGAGGGACATGCAAGTGATAATGAGTTTTTAGAGACCCAGTTATTAATGGATGATAATGTTGATAGTGATAGAGATAGATCTCGAAGACAGCTAGAAACCAATGCCTAGCGTTTCTGACAGCGTTTTCTTTTTGGAAGGGGAGTGAATCCAGTTAAGTCATGTGATAATGTGTTCAAATTGTGTGATATAAGACAAGATGATACTTGAATCAGAAAAGGTTCAAATATACACAAAGGTGTGTATTTATGCTCTGACATGTAGCCTTGCTTTAAACATTTTGTTAAACCTATAAAATGGAAAGTTAATATCTGATTAAACAATGTATGTGGAAAAGGTTTTTGATTGCCTTTAAGTGATAAAATGTGTAGTTATAGTGTGTGCTCACATGTCTCTCCTTCTTATGACTTCAATCAGATTAGACTTGGCTGGCAATTACCAGTACATATATTTTGTTTGGCAACATTTTAATAGGTTCATATCCATAATCTCTGTTATCCTGTAAGTAAGGGGATGAGCCATGTTTGCATCTGAAATGAGAAAGTGTAAACGTTATGTGATTGATTGTTTTACCACAAATCATTAATGACTCAGCTGATAACTTTTACACAGCATTTCTTACATTTTTATTTCGTAGTTGAAGTAGATTCTGTTAATGGCTCAGCTGATAACTTTTACACAGCATTACTTACATTTTTATTTCGTAGTTGAAGTAGATTCTGTTAATGGCTCAACTTACATATTATTATAGCTAGTTACTTAAACTTACATCTTTACTTAGTTTTAATTGCTTTGTAATATAATTAGACAATACACTTAGCAAAGCATTGTGAATAAGGAAATCAGGAAAAAAAATTATACAAGGGTCAAATGGCATATATGAAACTGATTGAAAGAAGTGAGACAAATTTCTCGAGATCTCGAAGAACTTTATGGATTAAGTGTTTTCTGATTTATGGATGTTCTTGTCAGTTATTGCCCTTGTTAAATATTAATATTAGATTTATATCTTGTACACCTAAATACACTTACTTAATTCCTATTATTGATCATGCACCACTAAAAGCAAAATATACCAAAAAAAGTTCTGTTAATTTATTATTTATTGTCGCTAATGTGCTATTTGTTAAACCTATTATTATTATTATTATTATTATATTTTAGTTATTGTAACTGCGATATGTGTTGATGTTATATGGATTGTTTAACTGTAATTTCTCATTATTTGTTGTTGAAGATTATTGTCGAATACTACAATGTAATTAAAATACACCACTTCAAAGACAATTCCTAGGTTTTCTGTACTTCATTCTTACTATGATCTGACAACATTTTAGAATAGTAAAAAAATATATAGATATATCATGATCAAATTGTGGAGGAAATTTAAGGTGAATAAAATATCGGTCTGATTGTGAAAATCTGATAATGAAAAGATTACCTTTAATAGTTAAAATTAGTGTTGTATTTATATGAAGCATCTCTGACAATCTCCTAAAATAAAAAATGTTAATGAAGAAATATCCTGCAATCTAATTGTAATACTCCACCAGATATATTTTCAAGATTTATTACACTCTATAATATTGTCAGTGGAATCAATGTCACATTTATCATTCAAGCCAAAAATAGGAACATCCCTTCAATTACAGGAACCTTAGTTGTATTATAGTTAATCAATTAAGTCCAAAAAGTAGCTTTAAGTGTCACCAGAACACACAGAATAGGTTAGAAGATCTCTTTTGAAACTCTTTAAGGAGATTTTCCATCCTTTTTAGAAGACCTCAATTGTCCTTTAAAGTAAGGATAATGAGTCATATGTATATAGTTATGATAAAGATAATATTGTAGAAAGAAAAAGATTTATTTATTTTATAAATAATATTAAGTGCTCAAATTGTAAATAGAAAAAATCGACTCACAGAAAGAAATATTTAACATTATATTAAATGGATATTGTTGTCTAATTATTGGCTTTGTCAGCTAATAAATCATCCATTTTCACTTCCAGGTAATTTATTAACATCCTTACGTGCAGATATTACTAATTGATATTACATTCTAGGGTACATGAATTGACTTGTAGGAGAACCAGTTGTCATATTTTTATTCTTACAAGTGATATGGATGTATACAAATGGCTGTCAGAATCTATTATCTTGACAACTACATCCTTTTAATTTGAATTTCATGTACATTTCTCTCTTTCATGGAAGATCCAATTATTATGAACCCCCTTAATAAAGATAAACTGAGCTAAAAGTAACAAAGTACATAGTTGTGGTTCACTTATGATGTAAATTTTAGAAAAAGAAAGTCTTTACTACAAAAGATCATTAAATTGAAGTCTTAAAGATGTCAGCTATTTTATCTGATTACAATGCTGTAAAGTGTTTTTAGCATCTTTATGATCCCCAAATTATGTTGTGCCGTCATGGGTATTAATGAGAACAAATCAATTTATGAAGGGAATTTCCAGAGAGACTTGTAATAAATGTTAAATATTGAGTTCTGTGTTACCAGGTCAAGATCATGTTGTGAGATGTATATAAAAAGAATGATAACAACCTTTAAGGTTATGTCTCAAAATGTATATAATATAAGCAAATGCATGTTATAGTTGTTTATAGCTTATCATCCGCATGTCAAAACTGTTTACAAACTATCAAAGTCTTCAGAAAATGTGGCAATATAGGAAGTCTTTAACCCTAGTCTTTGATTTCTCCTCCTTCTAACTCCTCCTTATAATTGATTTGTTTCTCTTTCATTCAAGGGACAGATTCACCATTTTGGGGGGTTGATTTTAGGCTTGAATAAATAGTCTTCAGAAGTATTAGAATTGTATGAAAACCACATGATTCGTTCAAAAATATCTCAAACTATCATGTTAGATGTCTTTTCAAGAAAATATGGATAATTCTGTACACACATGGATTTGAAGGCTCAAATTTTGACGGTGAGCTGTGAACACTATTTCTGATTGGCTTAGCTAAGCTAAAAAAAATCCTGTTTCTGAAACTAAGGTATGATTGGTCCAAAAAGTGGCGCTATTACATTTTCTTAGATATTTACATTTATGAAGTGTCATTTCTCTTGTTTATAAATCATATTCTTTAAAGTTAAATTAAAACAAAGCATTAGATAAAGTTGTAACATACAAATCATTTTGGTGTACCACAGTGACTGGTCACTAATTTTATTTGGTCAAGTTTTAATTTGCAACAATTTAAATTTGTTAAAGCAAGATATCATGGAACATGTCTTGTCATAGAAACTCTATCTAAATATAGCTTTAACAAATCAAAAGGTAGAAAGGTTGAATTTTGTCGTAATCCAGAATTATTATTACTACAATGACCAGAATGTGTTCCTACTGATAAGGTTGCTACTTTCAGAATATAGGGTTCTCACAAGTAGATTCTAGCATATTTTTGACAGTCTTTGTAGACAGCCATTTCAATTAGATAGTTCATGAGGTACATATCAGAAATGACTTCTTTTTTTAGAAAGAAATAGTATATCCCTGCTTTTGTAGGCTTACCTAAGATGTAAATATCTTCTTATCTCAGCCACCCCATCTCTTATTATTGTATTAAATATGTTTTTATTCTAAGACCTTGTGATCTTATTATGTTTAATGGGTATACAGTCAAGTAACCTAATTTCGTGCTAACCTATTTTTCGTGCATTTCCGGAAATGATTTATAATTTACATGTGACCTCCGCATTTGCTTGTTTTGATAAACATGGGTTACCTCTACAATGTCAGCTAGTAGAATGAATCCGGTAGTTTCAAGCAAGGTAAAATGGCGGATTTCAGTTATTACCAAACGTCACAATTTTTTATCGGCCAAATTTCCTTATAATCCCAAGCTGTAATTGGAATTCCAAGTGTCGTCTGCTAGAATGTAGTCTAACGAATGAAGTCACGTGATCAACAAGCGGATTCCGTGTCAACAGAAAATTTCTATGGAACACAAAGCGGGCCAAATTCTCATGTTGTTTCAATAACTTTTAGCAATAAATCGCGCTACGAGCCTACGTATCTTATTTTGTCAGTCACTATTTTTTTCAAATCATTGTTCTTTGAAGGAATTGTCACTAGTTATAATGAATTGATATTTAGGATAAATACTAAGAGAAGTTAATCATACCACTGGGTATCCATACAACGTGTTTTTCTCGACTTATTTATAGATCAAACATTGTACACGAAAATCGGTGATGCATTTTGCCGCCGCTGTCGAGTTGGTTACTCATGAAATATGGGTCGAAGTGAGAGATTCATTAAGAAAATCGAATCAAACCAATTTTAATTATTTTGTAGAATATCTGAGGAAACATCTAAGACATAAAAAAAAAATCCGTTTTTTTTTTAACTTTAAAAGCACGTAAATAGGTTACACCACGGTATATTTTCATATCTAGAGGACCTGCAGAAGGAAGAACCTGTTGGTGGACGAACAAAGGCAGATTTCTACTCTGTACGAAATGAGACGGAGCTACCTACAATGAGCTGCTTTGATTGAGATAATACTCATCCGCCAGAATTTGGCAGTTCACAAAACGACTATTTTTAGAATTAGTCTTCCGCCTTTGTTAAGGCAAATCTTAAAGATAATGCAATTTCAGACATCAAATTCCAAATCTAGACCAAAAATTACTCACGAAAAGGCATGCAAATACCCCAAAAGGCAGAGAGAAAGAAGACTTCTAAAAACAGTAAGACCGTATACTGTTCTCAGTTCTATGATCAAACCATGTAGTTACTCCGCCTTTAAGTAGTTTAAGTTCAGTCAACTACGGCGTAATCTACGCCATTATTCATTTTTCGTTGTCATTCACGTTGTGTGTAAATACTTCGGATCCCATTAGGCCATCACGTAACAGATTTTCTACTAATGCCGCAATATGGAAATTATGATTAGGCCCCACAGTCGACCTTTCTGTAATATTAAAAAAAAGGTTGGACCTTTTCATTTGATTCACCTTATCCACAGACTGCGACAGGAAATCAGAGCCTGTGAAAAGAAATGAAATGAATGGAGTTATACGTCCGACTTTTCCATGTAAAAAGAAACGATCTACCTGTAAGACCCATTGGCCTACCTTTCAGGTATAATTTTTGTAGAAGTCACAAATCTAATATACCGGTTACCATGTTGTTTTTAAATGAAATGCACACAACACGAATCAAATGTCTTCAAGATGCCCTAGTAGATATAGCCTAAATTTTTCACACAAAATTTCAACATTTTAAATGTAGCGTATGTGGTGGTTAATTCACGCTTGCGGTAATTGAAAGACTTCACACATTTTTATATCGTCATTTGGCAGCTTTCACTATGGACCGTTTTATATCACATGAATAATTTCAATGCTTTGGGGATTTTTTACTACCGAAACTATTTATATACTATCGCATACTGTTTTAGCTATTTCTAAAAATGTTTGCCTACTTGCATAAATCAAGATAACTTTTGATGGATGTCTGTAGCACCAGTAATTTTCGATGGTGATTCGTACAAAACTTAGGCCTAGCCACCGAAAAAGTTTCTAGTAAATTAGCAGCATTTGCAATTAGAGATCCTCATAATACGTTAGTTTAGTTTTATTGGAATGTAAGACCCAAGTACGTCTGACTAAAAATTGTGCAAATCGATGCAAATATAGGCCAACTAGGCCTATAAAGCCCAGTCTATATAGTACATATCCGGTGACGTAATTAAACATGTACAGACCTATTATATACACAAAGGCAATACACATACACAAAGGCAAGTCGATCTTTATGGTTTTCCACGAAACAGCTATTTCTACTTTTCTTTTTAACAGTCCGCCATATTGTGAAACACGAAGAGTTTACACTGATAATAATGTGACATTGTTTTACATGTTTATGGTTACTATCTATGAACATATTTCAAACTATACTTTATATAGGCCTATACATGATATTGATAGCAATAGGGGCTATACTATTACCTTTTGGAGAAAACTAGGTCATCAATGGACGAATATGATTATGAATTCCTTTCATTTCACCGACTGGATTTGGATGTTCATTGTGCTGAGACTACAATAAATATGAAAAATCAGTATAATTATTAAAAATTGATCTAGATATTCGACATGGCGACGTATCGTGAAAGATTAAGTCGGAGTAGTTCAGAACAATCATCTTTTGATGAGGATAATATCAGTATCATATCTGACGATTCTGCATTTTGCGAAAAAACTGATGGTAAAGATACTCTAGAGTTGAATGCTATACAGAAAGAAATTGCGGAGTTAGTGGGATATATTAAAGACAACCAACACGAGCCTACCAAGGTTTTTAAACAACTGGGCATCATCCGCAACTTATTCTTTGACAAACCAAACTATAGAAAAGAAATCGGAGAAGCATTGTACATCCAGGGTTATACGTATTATGCTTATAATATTGTTCGAGCTCTCAAAAAACACGATTTTGTCCGTACCGGTGTGCGTGCCTTAACAAACCCAAATCTGCGAACAACATCCAGGCGGGTAATGGATATTGCTTGGAACTATTCGAATTACAGTGACTTGTTTTCTGAGGGACTGGCTGAATATGATGTTATCAAAGAGCTGGGTGATTATTTAGCCCGGAACACCCCTGAAGAAATTATGAAAAATGAAGACAAAGAGCACTTGACAATGGTATCCATCAGTATCATGAGAAACGTAGCAGCCAATCCCAAAACCATCAAACACTTCCATGCTATTGATGCTTACTCTAAGATCAAACGATATTCTAAAATTGGAAAGAGGATCATAAAATTAATCACCTACACTACCATGGCCATGGTGGCTACAAAAGAACAAGCAGAAGAAATGACGTGTCAATCGGATATCTTTGAATACATTGTACGTTTAATGACTTACGCTGCTGGCAGAGATGACTTAGATCGTATTGATGAAAGATACACGGCTTCAGATTTAGCTCTGTACCTCACCAAGATGTCAATTGATGGTAACATAAAGGAAATGATGAAAACAAATATTCTGGACACATTTTACAAAATGTTAAAATCTTCAAATAAGTTGGAAAGATCTCGAGCATCTTTATGTCTCTTCCATTTAAGTCTCAGTTTAGATGGAAGAGAAGCTATTAAAAGCCACACAGTTTTGACAGACTTTTTGAAACATCTGGAAATATATGAAGAATATCAACCGGTGAAGGACAATATAGAAGGCGTTCTGAGTGAACTGAATCCTAACGGTGATCCCCCCAAGACAGCATTATCAAAAAATCGTCATATATTCATTAACTACAACCAAAGGGATAAGGGAATGGTCAAAAAAATAGTTGAGAGAATCAAAGCAGCTGGTTTCAATATCTGGATCGACTACGAAAAAGCTGATGAAGATTTTATCGGTGCAATAGCTTCCGCTGTTGAAAATTCGTCGGTTATCGTCGTGTGTGTATCAGAACCACTTCGTCAAGACCCAAGGTGCAGAAAAGTTGCTAATCAGGCATATAAACGGAACAAAGATTTCATCCCTCTTTGCATGCAGTACAATTATAAACCCGATGGTTGGCTGGAGCATATAACTGATCGAAAATATATCGATTTCAGTGGCCAGGAAGCAAACTTTGAAACCAGCATTAGTGAGTTTATGGATGTGCTGAGACGCCAGGACTTTTTGATGGAAGCGGCATTGAACACCAACAGTAATGGCGATGAAGGGGTGTGTCGTAAAGATCCTGAAGCGGATCTGTTTGCTGAAGAACATGTAGAAAGTGAACAAACCCCTGTTCAAAGTCAAGTAACTCCAGAGACGTCTGGTTTAATTCCTCATAATTTAGAGAAGATGGATTCGGTGAAGGTGAAAAAATGGATTCTAAACAAGAGTTTCAGCACTATTGTTGATAAAATGAATGATGTAGACGGTAAGCGTCTGTGGGAATTGCATTGTATGAAGATTCAGAAACGTGAGTTGTACAATAGTGTCCTGAGAAATCAACACGGGTTCACCGAACGCGAACTTTTGGATTTCAGTTCCCGACTTAGTGATTTAGTCGCTGAAGGTGTTCGTGTATAGTAAGGATTTGTGAAAGCTGTACTATAGAAACGTCGTCTGTGACTTAACTATATTTGGACGAAAATTTCATTTTATTTTAAAATGTTGCTAATGCAGTTAAAGTAGCCATCCCAGATAGATCTGATGTTAGTAAACAATGAATAAACTATCAAGAAAATTAACAATTCTATTTTAAACTATTTTTATATCTAACAATTAAAGCAAATACCACCAGAGAAAATTAAAGCAAAAAATCCTCGTTATTCAGTCACACCCCCCTCCCCGCCCCATTTACACGCTTTAGAACATACCCTGAGTGATACCCATGGGTCTCATATTGCAAATAACCAATATCTCTGAGAGACTTGTGTATCAGATCGGATTTCCATCGTGCAATCGAGATTATTTTTGTTAAAACACACAAGTTATAATACCGGTACGTTACATTTTTATTGCCGTTTTAGTTTAAACGTAGTCGGGTATGTTTTATGGAAAAGCTGCTTCCTCACACAGCGGTACTAGAACCGAGTGTGGCAACGCTTGCAGCCAGTGCATATAATTTAAGGAAAGCCAATTTCTGCTCGTATAGTTTTTGAAGAACAAAATTGGAGTCCTGCTTTTCTGTATCACCTACAGCATGCTTCCAATCTGTGTAGCCTTCAGTGATGAATTTTTATGCACCCGCAAATGTATTGTGAAACACTCGACATGGAAATCAAAAAGGGGCGTCCCTTGACACTGAATACTCCAGCCATGGAAATAGATCATACCAGCTGTTACTAAAATGGCGACCAGACTTCGCTGGAAATTTTATTCTCGGTTGCTTTGGAACATCTTCTTTTCCAATGTCTCCTGGTACTCCTGTCTTTTCAGAGCATCTTGGTACTGCATCCGTTGTGTTGCCCGCTATGGTTTTGATACCAGTGTCAGTCGTAGTAGTGTCGGAACCATCAAGCAATTTGTCTTTTTTGATCAAATATTTATCCATATTTCCTGCGTTTGGTTGTTTGATTCATATGAATACAATTTAGGATAATATATGTCTATTAGTTAGTATTTATAGTCAACCAATCAAATCTTTTGAATTTTGAGACGGGACAGATTACAATCCAGTATCAGACCAATAATTTTGTTACCAATGACGCTTTACTGCAGACTTTTTTATGATTTTCAACGAACTCAATTGTATCAAATTGTTTATTCTAATGTAATTAAATTTAAAAAGCTATGATGTCTGGTTTCATCCTCAGCTAAGTATAAACAGAAAGATATTTAAAAACAGTTCTTAAGTAGGCCTACAGATAGGAATACTTAGTATTTTGTTGGACCATTTCGCATAACGCAGCCCTGAAAGCCATAACCTTATTTTTCGTTACGTATAATCAGAATATAGCAGCTGACTGGTGCACTTACTCCACCATAAAATGCCTGACCAGAATGATCACTGTTTGCTATTCACTCAGACTCAGTTACCTCCCGCTCCTATTGACTCAGGAAAAAGAAAAGGTGTATTTTAAAAAAGTGACCGGTACATTTTTCTAGGAGGGGGGGCAAGATTTGATTTAGCCCCCCCTTGGCTACGGGCCTGCTCTAAACCGGCACCTTAATTAGTTCACGTATTAATCACTAACCGGCATTTGAACATTCAGTCATTCCCGAGCTCAAATTTGCGTTAAATTAGCAGATTCTCTCGAAAGTTTAAATCATAATCACGGAACGCCCTAGCAAACGTCAACTTGTAATGCAAAGGGAATTAAGATTGAAGTAAAAAATTGTTAGTTATTATAATGACATCGCACTGTCTAGAGTTAACATTATAAAGGGCGATAACTACAGATAATGGATTGAGTCATAAAGGGATATAACTCTGTAAGTTATATTGCCACTCCCACAGGCATCGTATCAAGACAGGACTCACAACACTCCATTCATCCTAGGAGCATAGATTTGTTAATATAAATGTATCATGTTCTATCAATAAATTAATCTATTTCTGAGTTAGATTTCAGGGAATACTTATTTCAGGACTGGTGCCATTGCTATATACAGTATATTATATAACATGCAGTGTATTTTTGTGTTTGTGTCTTTTCAACTAAAATCATACTAATGACTAACTAATTTTCACATAATCAATAGACTTATCTATTGCTCTGTGACCTAGGCCAGTGCTTTCATTGAGACTGGTCTCAATACACCCTAACACCACTAATTCATTTTCCATCTCTTCCCATGTTAAAACACGAAATTCAACCTTCTACAACTTTTTCCAGAAATCTCGTTGAAAGCTTTCCAATATGTCGAATGAAAGCCTGGTAAAAAATTCAATATATGATGACCATGAAAATTTTGAGCTACTAAAATTGAAAGTAGACTACTATCGGTTATACTGTAAACTGTTCCTCCTCCCTCTCTTCTAAACCTTCCGAAAACACATATTTATTTTGTGATTTTGAGAACTTTCAACGATTATTATTGCGATTTTGTGATCATAATGACGAATTCTGAAGAATCGTATTACCAAGATTGAAATTTTTAAATATTTTTGGCATGAAGTAGGCGTTAAGTAATTAATTTCTCTACGAGCTCAATGTAGTGTGGATACTAAATGACATTTTACTCTTATGTAAACAAAAATAATATATACAATATTTTCACTTTGATATAGCACTTAATGCATGCATAAAATTTAGATTCATTTAATACTTCCTTTCTTCCACACATAAAAAATCTTCCCAATAATTTTTGAGGTCTTCGAACGAATTTTAGAAACAAAGTCTTCTCATGAAAATGAACAACATGACAATATGAATTATGAATAATTAAATGTTTTCTTCTTCTCCTTCTCGGTTTTCCTGTTGGTATCTTTTACACTGGTGTTCACTGGCTTAGATGCTGTTGAAACATCATTCTTGGGAGTAAATTCGGCAGCTTTGACCACTGTAATCTGATTACTGCTTTTCTTAGTTACTGACCAGCCCTGTCCATAAAGCCCTGTCCATAAGAGTCTTATTTAATAAATGGGATGTACATAATATATACATAATGTTATGACGAAAAGCAGGCTTGAACTATTTACATTCAAATTTGTTGTTGTTTTTGATTGATCATGTTTGGGATTTTTACCTTTAGGTCCACCTGACTTTTGTCTGTACTTTTCCAAGATTCCTTCTTTTCATCAGTAGCTCTTTCATGGCTTGTAACCGTCTTTTGCATGCATCCCTCTAACCAACTTTCTACATATAACATATTTTTCTTTTGGTGAGATCCCACGAGAATAGTGTACATGTATGTACATTTCTAATGCTGGTTCTTTACCTTGACTTGTTTTAGCTGGAAGAGTTTAGCAGATTCTTTGACTTGAATGTTTTGGTTTCTTCGATCTTCATAGTTCTTAAACCATCTTGTCAATTATAGAAATTAAGGTTAAGTCTCTATCAGATGTTGTAGGTTCATCACTCGTTTCGAACCAGCCTAATTTCAACAAAGTCTCCTTATATACTGATCCTAAAATACATTATTGAACAAATTAATGAAACTAGCCTCCAGCCAAGCAGCCATCGGTTACAATTGCAAAACAGAAAATTGTCCACTTATGTTCTGTATCAGCTTATCCGAAACACGATCATTTAGCCCTTGGTTGGAAACTAAATCCACTGAATAGCTTTGGTTCACCAATATAATAAAGGTTAGCTAACCAACAGAGGCAAACATTTCAGTCCACTATTGTCAGCTTATGAGCTAACCCGCATTTGCCAACCTTCTTTAATTCTTTCTTTGAAGCCAGCATGTTCAATAGTCTTTCTATGTCGCCGTTGACTTCTTGCGTGTCCAGTTGAAAATTTGCAATGAAATTCCAATTCATTCCAAAGCCTTCCACGCCTCTCTAAAGGAACAGCAAACCATCCACGTTTCAGCAAGTTTTTTTTCCAAAATTTGTAGCATCAACCAATAATGAAAGAACATAGCAAATTACTTACTATAAAATAAGATTATATATGAAATCTGTTTAAAATTGGTAACGATTATCTCAAAAAAGTACTTAACGAATTTTGGATGCGTTTCAACGTTCCAAGAGGTAAAATTTAATCAAAATGACTGTATCCTTGTTATTCACACAAAGTATTGAATAATGTAAGCATTGTCATGTAATGTTATTATGACGTCACATTTAATAATGGTTTTCAAAAGTCTTTACGCTGATTGGATAATTCATTACCCACCCTACGTTGTGACCCAAAAATACAAATTTTCGAAATTTGATTTGGTTAGACGAATGTAGATCTGTCGTTTTGCTTGAATGCAAATTTGATTTTGTTTCGAGCAAAGCAATAAATTTGCCCGCCTAAATCTATTTATTGATCAAAGCCAAGAATAATATCGGTATCTCATAGGCCTGAAGGATATACCGAATTAGGTAACAAGTTTCGTTCTGATACTTAACCATGCTTATTGGTAATGATCTCTCGTTAATTATCAACCGACTAGGATGAAGAAGGTTGACTTATTTAAGGCTACCAGCCTTTTAAACGTTTTCTCAGGCTACTTTTTCGACCTCGGCCAAAAATATTTGCTTTCTGGATTCATTTAAGTCTGGAGCAATTAAGAGAGATGACGTAATGAAAGCAACCTATTTAAAAGAATACTCATCGAAATAAATATTTACCCTTTTCTAGTTGAGGAATCTGTTTTTCTATGGGCATCGATATTTTTGCAATGTAATCAGTATTGCCATCTTTATTTTCTTCAAATCCGCTTACTGGGTTCAACGTTTTGCTCTCAAAATCAGCAAGCCATTTGTCTAAGTAGCTCGTTGAAGTAGGAGCCAGTTCACCATAGGTTAAAGATGGAATGCCCCCATCTCTTACCCACTCATTCTTCAATAAATACTCTCGAAGTTGTTCCATGTTGACCGATTCTAAAAAACAATACCCTAATTTCGTTTATTTCGATAAAATAATGTTTCTTTTGTTCGAAAAGAAACTCGTGTAATTTTTGAAGTTGTCTATTTCTTAGCCTTTCAAAATCAACACTCCGTAGACATAACATTCAACACAGAAGATACTTCCAATTGAAGTGAAAGAATCGAGTTTACATACCAGATTAACGGTGTTGTAACATTTCCGATTGGTTTAAGATGAAATACTTGTAAATGCTGGAGACAACTAACGCTACACGTCTAAATATTTCTCCGAAATACTTAGAAATGACGCATACGGTATTGTGACGTCATAATCGAAACTGTACTCCCTGATCGAACCAATCAAGATTCTCTGGATGGCACCTTTTATTGTTGAGACTGTCATGGTGCCCCATGTCAGTAGCCAAAACCATAATCGAATATTAGATTAATGTTTTTATACAAGAATGTTGTATTGGACCAGTTCGAAATGGATACAAGTCTCACAAGCTATTATGAATTATTGTCCTTGACTAATTTCCGGGATTTGATAACACAGTTTTGACAAGAACTACACAGTGTACTTGCTGTAGCGATTCTTGGTATTGCGGTAGAGCGGGCATGACATGGTATTGTTTCATTGCTAACTGCTATACCCTAACTATTATGACATCATTGCAATATCATATATCGCTAAGTATCAGAAAAGTTATTTGGAATAAATCATTATAGGTATTGTTCAGATTAACCCATAGTCAACATTCAAACCTTACTTAAAAATTGTCTTAGCATAGATAAAAATAAAATCAGCAAAATGTATTCAAAAATGTTTAATATATTAGACACAAATAATCAAAGCGGTGGCATTATTTACTTTTTTAAAATATAAAAATATAAAAGCCAAATCAGAACCAAAACTTTTTAAAATATACATTAACCAATGACGGGAGGATTAAAATAACATCCCTTGGGTAAGCTGAACCTAACTAATTTCTTGTAGGTTAATCGGGTTCGTATTCCACATGTACGAAGATTTACATCCGCACAGTGGGTAGACACCGAGTATGACCTAAAATGAAATTTATGAAATTAAAAATATTAGCCTGCAAAAATATATCATAAAATTGTGTGTGTGCTTAATGGAAGGGAATTGCGATATGACGAATTTTGGGGCTAACTATGGTCGTAATCAACCATTCAGTTGATTGACTGCCAATACACTCCCGCCTCTCTACTCCATTTAAGTCAGTCTTCCCCAGTTCCAGGAAATTTGCGCCTCTACTGTTACTAATGAAAGAAAGCTGGTGGAGTAGTGCAGACAAAACCAAACCAATAGCTTACTTACATGCAAATTATCTTTAAAGCGTCGTCGAAGCTGTCTGTGTCGCTGTCAATGGTTCTTTTAACTTCTGTTTTCATACATGTTTCCATGCTCCCATATTGCCGTTGGAGACAATGTTGATCTAAATCTAGTGTAACAAAACATAAAATATAAGAATTTCAAGTTGTAGTCGATACCATGGCAAATCTCTAATTTTGACCATACGTAAACATCTAAAGCCAATATGATATGGAATGACCTTTCTTTCTGATCCTGAATTAATGTATGGCTCTCTAAGGCACCCAATGGAGATTATTAATGAACAAACCTACCAGATATGTGGCTACAGAGAAAGGGCAATAATTTAGCCAATTCTGTTTTAATGGGTAGAAGATCTGTATCATTAACACACCGTCTACTAACTGAATCAGCACATAGCTGGGCTCTCTGGTAGGCATCTGTATTGCTGAAATGATAAATATCCATATAAGCCAAACAATCTCCACCACGGCACAAATCGAAAACAACAATAGAACTTCACAAACAAGAAGCACAATTAGGAGAAAATCAGAGCTCTCTTCAGAAGTGGAGTATTTAGGGGACACCGTGGCACCCACCTCCCCCCCCCCACCACCTCGGGACAGAAACAAATGAACAATTTATTTTACTTACACAGCCAAAATTCCTCTGACCCTCCACCGAAACTATTATCCTCTTGAATTCCAAAAGGGGAGGTGCTCTGATGGCCCCCACGCCACTGCTCGACAGAATTACTTCAGTATTATGACTTTCAATGCATGTTTTAACAATTTTCCGTGATACAAGAAAGGTGGCTATTGAAGTCAAGGTATAAGATCGCAATAACTTAACGTTGTGAAGATGTAGTCAATCAATTTTGGATGAAACTTATTTATATTATGTATATTAAAATCAGGTTTAAATGTATGCTAAAGTGTGATGAGCTCCGAAAACATGACAAAAATTGACAAATACGCACTCTAGAGACTCGATGAAGGCGGACTTACGAATTTTGCCAACTTTATATTAAAAAAGAATCTATTTACTTGCACTGTGGATATAAACCCACTGGACTATTCTCTACCAAGTCGACGTATGATGTATTAAAATCAACTTGCAACGGTACAATTACATCTATAAACTCATCATCAAAACATTGTTGTATAGCATCATGCATGGTGAATTTACTTTCACACACATTGAAACATTGGTATCCCGTCACAACCAATAATATTATTAGTACTGAAACAATTCATAAAAATATCAAGTTAGAAAAAAATACATATTAAACAGACACAAAAAAAAGTTGAGTCTTGAAAGGATACTTGAACTTACTCCAGCTCTTATCAGCTGGTACAGTAGTTCAAACCAGATATATATTTATAAGTTTGTTGCATGGACTTCGCCCGTAAAAAAAATACCAATAATTATATACTCCCCAAGTCTTACCTTTGACAATCATATTGATAGAACAGGGGTTATAAGTACCATGTAATTTTCTAGAACTATGTTACTGGGGAGGGAAATAAGACTGAAAGGATATTTATATATTATACTCAAATCTAATCTCATTATTGTGAAACATTTCATATTAAAGGGGTAGATTCAGATGAACTAATTTGAATGGATTTGAAAGTGTATTAGAGACATCTAAAGCTTATATCTGTACCGCTCTGATTTCAAAATCGGCGTTTGTGACTCTCTACTGCCAAAAAGCTTAACCACTTTTCTATATCGCAGGTATTTCAATGGTTATACTTTACGCTAATTTACGCAATAATCTGGGCCGTTTTCATTTTGTCACAGTACACAGTTAACTTGTGTTGAGAGTTTGTAAATACAATAATTTGATTGGTTTGTATGATATTGAATAAAGACAATCAGAGTCCTCCACAGAATGGCAAAATGGCTGCGCATGAAAGTACTAATCGAGGACTGTGATTGGCTGTATTCGCTAGAGGACAATCCAAGAAACCCTCTGTGAAACAGGAAAGGTGCTAAACCCCCTTTAAAACTTTGTTGTAAGCCTTATATCCAACATTCCTTCGTAGTATAGATCTAATGATCTGTTATCGTTTTTTGATGACTTCAAATTATTTGCTCTCGTAGGCTCAGTACATCGATATGTGCGTTAGGTCCTGAGCATCTTCAGTTCTATTTATCACATTAACCCTGCAACGGAATCACTCAAATGTGGATCCTAGAGAATTTAACAAATGCTGAGGCTGAATTCAAATTTTGGCTACTCTGTGGTGGTGCCACAGTCGCAAGCCTCTCATAGAACGTCTTAGAGGGTTCTTTCAAGAAAATTTTAGAAAAAAATGAATTGATTTTGTACATTGACACATATATTGGAGATTTGTAGAAATAAAGTTGGGGTACAATTGGGGGTGCCCCCGGTCTATCCTTTAAAAACCCTACTTTACATCGAACATTCCTTCGTAGTATAGATCTGATGATCTGTTATCATTGGTGAGTTCATATGATTTGTTCTCTCGTGGGCGGAAACCTTTAGTACAGTTGGGTAATTGTCAACGATATGGGCATATCGTTTTTATATCGTCTTAAATATAATTATTTAAACTCTGTTTCAAGTAGGCTCTATTGACTTGAAAAATTTGAAATTAAAGAAAGAAACAAATGTTTCACATGCGCTCTGCAACTTATATTCTATTTCATCAGAATGATTGAATATCGCCCTGGCATTGTATGACTTTGCAATTTGTTTCAATGTCATTATTGACATGTGCTCACGTCTGCAGTGTAGTAGGCCTTCTTAAATTGATTCGTTCGAAATCTATGAATTGTTAACAATTATTTCCACAAAACGATGCTTTTCTCACATTCCTCACGATCATTATAATTGAACAGCTACTGTTCGAACAAATATTCCTGTCATACCATGGTAGCTTTAATTACATATAGTTGACTATATTACATATACACATATCACTGTGGTCTTTTTAAAAAGAGTTATTTTCCGTATGTTTTTATTTCAAAATAGGTCGATAGATTGGCAACCGTCCAGGTAAAAAATGATATTGTGTTTGATATCTGTGATAATTTCGAAGGTTCGTACACCATTTTCAACATTTTCACGTATTAAAAAAAAATCGTTTCATTTGTCAGGGTAAAAAATTAACCGATTATACCGCCCTGCAATAATTATTGCTCTAATAGTCGCGATTAGTGAGACTTAATCTTTCGGATGCAGACTGAGGCTTTCTTTATCATGAACTAGTTTAGAATTTAGTTACAAATTCTCTTGTGGGAGATGCGTCATTTCCGGTTAACTCTTTCTTGAATCGCAGCCAATGCAGGAACCATGGGCATCGATCGGACGAATGAATGTCCCAAATTGAAGTCAAATGCGTCCCCAATACACATAAAAAGGCTACAAAACCTCTTTACAATTTTTAAGGGGAAGAAGTAGATTTCGAATAGGTTATATGTCACGTTTAATTGTTGTGGACATAGAGTGTAAGGACTCATTTATTTGGCATAATAATATACATGTGCTATTACAAATGGCAAGAAATTACGTCAATAAGGAGTGCGTGTCACGTGACTAGCTAGTGTACTGTATGGAAAGCAATCTCCTACTAAATACCATATGCGTGCTCTAGTCACAGTATTAGAGTAAATACATCACACTCCTCCTTGCTAAGCTTAAATGTTCTTCCATATTGTTTATCCTTTATGAAAACATAACTATGATTAAATGTCCACGAAATTAACGTGATTAAAAGTAATACTGTTCATAACTAAATCTGAAATTATCTACTTGATAATAACACGTAATTTATAGTATCCGTAACGCACACAAAGAATATTGATTATTCATATACAAATTGACATATTAAAACTTTTCTATCAGTCTTTGTGTTTTATTGGCAATTCGCGAAGATCTTCGAACTTGAGTACTTGAAGATTTGGTACTTGACTTTGAATCTTCTCATGGTGTAGTTATATGTTTATCTGGTTCTCTAGAATTAGGCGTTGACATCCTTGGATATACATCACTTCTATTGCTACTAGATCTATCAGCTGCACTGTTCATATCACCACAATTATTATCTACTACTGAAGAAGTCAGATCATTACTAGTTGATTCTGGAGTGAACGTTTGATCTGAATAAACCTTCCCATCTTACTCTTCTTGGTAAACTAGTCTGCTGATGATGTTTCAACTGACTATAATTATCAGGTTTGTGTACCCCCAGTTGTACTGTAGTAGAATCTGTTGGAGAATTAACCATTGGTTTATTAACTTCTGTATTCTCTCCCTCACTATTTTCAACTATCACATTATCTTCAAGAGAGTTGTCTCCCTTCCTCATTTGATCAATATGTCTCCTCCATACACGACCGTCACGTAGAACTACTACATAAGACTTAGGAGCAGTTCTTTCTGCTATTGTACCAGGCCACCATGTACCTTTGTGTCGAAAGTCTTTAATTAAAACAGAATCTCCTGGGTAAAATTCCCACAGAGAAATTAAATTGTCATGATTAGCTTTTTGATTACTTTGATGATCAAGAACTGTTGATTTCACATGAGGATGTAGCCAACTAGGACGTGTCCTAATTTCCCGACCAAGGAAAAGTTTTGCTGGCGTACAACCTGTAGTTGGATGTTTAGTTGACCTATATAATAACAAAAATGCATCTATGCGATGTTGGAGAGTTAATTCCATCTTAATACTTGCACTTAAAGCACGTTTAAATGATTGTACCATGCGTTCGGCAGCACCGTTACTGGCAGCATGGTAAGGTGCAACTAATACTTGCTTAATACCATTCCGTTTGAGAAAAAGTTTACATTCCTCGCTGACAAATTGAGGACCATTGTCACTAACCAACTGTGCTGGTATTCCATATTTACTAAACAAGTCTCTTAAAACAATAATTGTTGCCTGTGATGTCGTACTATTCATAAGAAGGCCACTTTGAATAACTGTCTACCACAATGAGATAATTCTTATTATCTTTTTCAGCTACGTCTATATGCACACGAGTCCATGGTGAACCTGGCCATAACCATGGCATTAATGGTGCAGAAGCTGGCAAACTTCTGGTTTGTTGACACGTAGAACACCCTTTTACGATATCAGAAATGTCCTTGTCTATATTCGGCCACCAAACATGACTACGTGTGATTTCCTTCATTCTAACAATGCCCGGATGTGTGGCATGTAATTCTGCTAAAATGTCACTAATAAATATAGCTGGTAAAACCACTCTTATTCCCCATAGAATACAATCCTGTTCAATTGTTAAATCAAATCATCGTTGGAAATAAGGCTTTAATCGTTCATCGTCTACAGCATCTGGCTATCCAGTTTTTGCATAATGTAAAACTCGTGATAATACTGGATCTGTCCTAGTAACTGCATAAATCTGTTTACTCGTAACTGAAAAACTATCCAATATTTTATCCTGAATATTGTATACCATATCAACATCTAATGATTGATTATTGACTGTTGCAGGTAGTGGTAAACGTGATAATGCGTCAGCATAAGCATTCTCTTTAGAAGAAATATATTTCAATTCATAATCAAGAGCTGATAACTCTATTGCCCATCGTTGTAAACGTTGTGCTGCTAGCGTAGGAACAGCAGTCTTCGATCCTAAAATACGTTCTTAAGGTTTATGATCGTTTAATATTGTAAAATGTCTACCATATACGTAATTCCTTAAACGTCTAATACCAAATATAATTGATAATGCTTCCTTATCCAATTGTGCATAATTACGTTCATGTTTATGCAAACTCCTAGAAGCATAAGCTATAGGCTTACGTACACCACCAATTTTATGAAGCATCACTGCACCAACACCATAAGGTGATGCGTCCGTAGCAAGTTCCAAAGGTAACTTAGTATTATAATGAACCAATAGTTTATCCGAACTAATAAGTCGTTTCACAGTGTCAAATGACGTTTGACAATCATTTGTCCATTTCCACTCCCGATTTCCTAATAGTTCATTCAGTGGATATAATTTCGTTGATAAATTCGGTAAGAATTGTCCATACCTAAAAATGATCTCAGTTCAGTAACATTCGTAGGAGTAGGTGCTTTGCGAATCGCTTCAACTTTAGTTTCCGTAGGTCGTAAACCATCAGCAGATAACATTCTACCCATATACACAACATTGTCCTGTAGAAATTTACACTTCTCAAATCTAACACGTAACTGATACTTTTCAAATCGTTTGAACAGTCTGTCTAAATTCTCAAAATGTTCTGCGTCATCTTTTCCAGTAACTAATACATCATCCATAATTGCACAGGTATTGTCTAAAACCGAAAGTACTTGATCTATAAAACGTTGCCTGCATATTGCAGGGCTGGATGACACCAAAAGGTAATCTTGTATAACGAAATAGTCCCTTGTGCGTATTAATCGTAACAACATTCTGTGATTCCTCATCTAGGATGAATTGTTGATAAGCACACCGTAAATCTATTTTCGAAAACTTTTGACCTCCTGATAACTTCTCGTACACTTCTTCTGGCGTTGGAATCGGATACTGTTCTGTATTAATATATTGATTCACTGACACCTTATAATCACCACATATTCTAACTGTTCCATCAGATTTGGCTATACAAAATAAAGGTGTACCCCATTCACTAAATTCAACCGGTACTATGATTCCTTCTTTTTGCAAGCGCAAAAGTTCTTTTTCAACCTGAGGTCGTAACGCAAACGCCACAGGTCGCGGTCGACAAAACACTGCCTCTGCCTCTGGTTTCATATAAAGATGAGCTTTCACCCCTTTAACTCCTACCAATTCTTCTGTGAAACCTTCAGCATATCGTGGCTTTAATTCTTGTAAAGGATTTCGGCTTACTGTGAACTGCCCTTGTGATTGTGAAAATATGTTGTTCCAGTCTATTTTAATTATGTTGATCCAGTCCTTACCAAGTAATGGAGATGCGTAATGATCTGCTCGCGTTACACAAATAGACAAATTCTTAAACAATTGTTCTCCATATCTCACATTGACCACAATTTCACCAAAGACTTCTATTTTAGTACCAGCATAAGTATGCAATTGTTTATTACTATGTTCCAGTTTATGATTCTTAAAATATTTCACGTTATCTTCGTAACTAATAAGTGTCACTGCGGCACCAGTGTCAAGTTCCATAGTTAGTAAAACACCCAATAAAGTCATATCAATTTTGATTGGTTTACAGTTTTTAAACATATTCACCCTATAAATCGTATGAGCAAATTCACCATTTTCTTTACTGTCATTTCCGTTAACATTATCATCAGATGTGTCGTTAAAATCTTCAGAACTATCTACTAAACTGTAGTCTATCCGGTCAATCTCCGATAGCCCTAGTCCTATTTTTGCGAGTTCATCTGCAATTTCGTTCCCTTATATGCCGACGTGAGACGGGATCCATGCCAACTCGATTGATTTGCCTTGACTATGTACAAGTGAGCACGCTTGCCTGATTTCATCCACTAGCTCCGCTTGGGAATAAGAGGAATCGTTGAGTATCGATGTCAGGCTACTTAGCGAGTCGCTTAGTACTACATAATTTGAATGATAGTGGCCCGCGGAATATTTCACCGCATAAAGGATTGCAAGCATCTCTGAGGTGTACACTGAGCAGTTATTGGGCAATCGCTTGCTAATTCTTGTGCTGCTCGAGGGGACGTAGATCCCCAAACCCGTTGTACCATCATCCGGGTTATGTGAACCATCAGTATAGATACGTATGCTTTCCGACCACCTTGCGCCCATATGAGTTAAGGCGATCATTCGAGCGATGCACGGATCTTCCCGTTTCTTATCCAATCTCGAGGCGAGAGGCGTCCAAGGAGCAACTTGGGAAAATACAAGAGGCTTTATGGGCAACCTATCTAGCCCATATTTCCAAACGGAATCCCGAACTGACTGTCCGAAGCTTATCGTTTTTTTGGCGTGGCTGAACCTCGCGGTCTCGAGGTAGGTAGGAGATGATTCTCCAAGGTGTTTCAATTTTGACCAGTATCTAAGGGCTAACTCTCTGCGGATTTGTAGAGGAACCTCACCAACATCTTAGAGTAATGACTCCGATTTTATGCCGATGCCTGCTCCGGTGGCTAGTCGGGGGGCTTTGTGCTGTATGACATCTAACTTATGAAGGAGCATTGGTCTGGCGGTCAGGAATGCCTGTGAACCGTAGTCCAAGATGGGCCGGATCAGCGCACGATAGATCATCATGAGCGTCACAACATTGGTACATTGCCGTATATTTACCGTTTTGGCTTTGGATATTCTGAATCCCCAGTTATTTGCCCACTTTGCAAAGCGATCCAAACATGTATATAACGTACCATTCCCCCAAAAAGTGCTGTCGTCAGCAAACATCGCGATCTGAAATTTGTTTGACAGGTATTTGGGGTTGTGGATATCATTGACCATTACGCTAAACAAGGTGAGCTAATAACCGAGCCTTGGGGCGTGCCATTTTCCAAACTGAATTCTTCGCTGAGACTCTTTTCTATGGTTACACGTATCTTCCTGTCCGCAAGAAAACTTGCTATCCAGTTGTGCATACGACCACCTATTCCTAGTTGGCGCAGCTTGTGCATCAATCCATCTGTCCAGACAAGATCGAAAGCTTTCGTTAGGTCTACGAACACTGCACAGAGGACCCCAGAACTGTTCAATGTCTTAGACATTGCGTGTTGTAGCCTAACTATGTGATCCGCCGTAGATCTGAGCTTTCTGAACCCACTTTGATTCTTATCTAGAAGATTATTAATTTCTAAGTAATACCGAAGACGATGAGTTACCATCGTTTCGAGGATTTTGCATAAGGTGGATGTCAGGCTGACGGGTCTGTAAGACTCCGTTTTATTGGGATCTTTCCCTGCCTTTAGGATAGGTATAATGGATGCCGTCTTCCATTTTGTCGGTACGTGGCCATTGGTCCAAGATTCGTTAAAGAAATCCAGTAGGATTTTCGAAGCTTCGGGAGGCAATTTCTTCAACATCGAGTACTTGACTTCATCCTCCCCAGCTGCACTGTCTTTTTTAGACGAGAGAGCTTTCTGAAGTTCATCAGACGTGAAAGGGAGATTCAGTGGATCGTTTTCATCTATGTGCGTCAACACATTGGAATGGCCCACTGCGAAGTTAGTTTTTCGATTCATGAATTCGGGAGGGTGGTGTTTATCACCACTCGCGTCAGCAAAGCTCTCAGCCATAAGGTTTGCCTTCTGTCTATCGCTCTCTCCTACTCTATCCCCATAGGTTACTACGGAGATTTCGCGGGTAGATTTAGTGCCGTTCATCGATTTTATTTTGGCCCAGACATCCCTGAACTGGGTATGCTGGTTTAGCGTTTGACAGAAGCCATGCCAGTGACTGGTGTGAGCCTCACTGATTACTTTCCTGGCGTTCTCTGTGGCTTCCAAGTATGCCCGTTTTGTTTCGGTGTTGAGGTTGCATTGAACACGACGTAGTGTTTTCCTTCTAAGCTTTACTGCATTTTGGCAGGCGTCCGACCACCAGGGCTTAGGACAAGCCCTGTTTTTACCAGAGGTTCTAGGCATAGCGTCCTTGGCTGCCTCCATGAGGACCATGGTGACATTGTTGGCGTAGACATCAACATCGGCGTCCTGTATATCCTTTACGTCCCACTGCCAGCAGTTTTCAGTAAATTTTATCCAATCTGCCTTTGCGATTCGCCATTTTGGTTTTCCAACGGTTCCTTCCCTCTTTATTTGACCCCTGTAAGTGATATTTATTGATAGATGATCATTTCCCAGCGTTTCAGACGAACTGACCTGCCACTCACAGTTTGAAGCTATATTAGATGTTGCGATAGTAAGGTCTAGATGAGACATCTCCCCAGAAGAGTTATGAATCAAAGTAGGCCTCCCATCGTTAAGTATGTACATGTCGTTATCCTCAATGAATTGGAGTAATCCCTCTCCTCGCTCGTCTTGTTTGTACGATCTCCATGCGTTGTGTTTAGAGTTGAAATCACCACAGAACAGGACGTTCCGGTGTGAAATCTGTTCGCATAGGTTTCGAAACGAGCTTGGTTCAATGACATTCTTACCAGGCGGCAGATAAACATTGACTATTGCAATTTTGCTTCCATCGGCAAGCGAGAGGGACACTCCGTTGACTTCGAACTCCGTACTGTGCAGGACTAGTGTTTGATATGATAGTTCAGTCCTGACATAGATTGCGAGTCCTCCACCGAAACATTTGCTATGAGCACCAGGCCTATCCAGTCGAGATAAACGATATCCGGGCAATATTGTATCTTTAACTCCAGGATAGAGCTTGGTTTCTTGGAAGCAGAGAACGTCGTACCTTGCGGTACTTAGAAATTTAATCAGTTCAGTGAGCCTGGCCCGAAGGCAATTCAGGTTATGCTGCAGGATTTTGAGACTGCGATCCATTGCGACAGTACTAAAGATACGAGTCTAATCCTGTTCCGTTCGAGGCGTTTTTTATTCGTCCTGCCAGTCGTGCCCAGGGGTTAAGCAAGTATTGGAGTTGGAGTGCTCAGATCGAACATCCTCCTCCAACGCCTCCTCCTCTCCTTCTCTCACTTCCGGGTTGGACTCATAAGCCGTTGTGTTTGAATTTTCGGCTTTAGATGCGCACCAGTCCTACTTGAATTTGGAGTTGATGGCATCGAAAGGATGCGACCTGTTGACCGTTCTGACGTACTTGACAGCTGATCTGCAGTTAGTTGTGTCGTGGGTCAAGGTCTCCTCGTGCTCCCTTTTTTCCTTTTTCGGGAAACGTCCGTTTGGCTACTAACTGGGAGGGAGAGCTCTTTAAAGTTCTCAGCAGAGTTTTTGACGGCCTGAATGATCTTCGAGCCAACCCTGTGCCTATCATACCCTTCGTCGGAGTTGGCAGCTGTTGCAGCAATTTCTGCAACGTCCAGCATCAAGTTTAGAAAACTCTCCGCATCCCGGAACACTGGTGTGAAGCCGGACCCCTTAGACACTATTGGGGGGACGGTTGTTTCCAATACTGGATTTGACTTTTTTGGCTTCTCAACCTTAGAAGAATGATCTTTCTTCTGTGGTTTCGTTGCCTCAAAGCCTTCCCGTATGGTCACAAGAGCTGTTGCCTCTTTGAAAGATATAGCCATCTTAGCTTTTACCTTTAGTGTATGTTTGACCTTCCTCAACTTAGGACAAGTTGGGTCACCTGCCATGTGCCTTCCATTACAGTTGGCACACTTTGAATCCGGTGCCTTGCATGCCTCCACATTTGCCGCATTTTGGTGTCCCTCGGCAGTGTTTGCCAAGATGACCAAAATTTTGGCATTTGTAGCAGCGGCGGACCCCGTGCACGTAGGGGTAGGTATACCGGATCAGGTAGACGATTCCGATCTGTCTTTGAATCTGCCCTTTCGGGAACGATAGTACTACCGTGCCGTCTTCGGCTCCTTCCTTAACTTTGAATCGACGTACACTAGATACGTTATACCCCATTTCATGAAGGTCTTCTAACAATTCCTCCTCAGAGTAAGCAGATGGTATCCGATACACAACGCATCGGTCTGAGCTGACGGATTGCGGTACCCCCATCCTCGACTTTCTACCGAGTAGGCTGTCCTTAGTAGGTGCGATGTCCGCGCTTTCCCTCGCCTGGAAAGCTAAGCGAACCGATCCATTGCCTAAGATCTTGACCATTGGGAATCTGGCAATTCCCCAAGATCTAATTTCCCGACCGATTGCTGTCGCCTTACATCCTTTGAATGTAAGACCCTCCTCGAGTCTGACAAGAACTACATGATCATAGGGCTTGTCTGGTGTGGCTTTGGGGGGAGGTTTTTGGAGTTGGAGTACTCTTAAACACTTCCGCCATAGTACGAGCACCAGCTTTGGGGCTTTCCATTTTACCGACTAGAGTAAGTAGAAACGGTAATTAAGTATTATAACTGACTAGAGAGTAGAATTCAGTATAATCTTACTTTGATCCGGGCGGATCTAACGACCAGTTAAATAAGTATTATGACTGACTAGAGAGTAGAATTCAGTATAATCTTACTTTGATCCGGGCGGATCTAACGACCAATTGAATAAGTGTTATGACTGACTAGAGAGTAGAATTCAGTATAATCTTACTGCGATCTGGCGGATCTAACGACCAAGATAGTATGATTTCAAAGAAATCAGAGTTGTGAATAATTCACAAAAGAACAATTCACTAAAACACTAGGAATAATCCAACACAAAGCGGCTATCCAAATAATTAGTAGAAGTAATCATTTAAATCCAAAGAAATCAACATCCACAAAAATATGCAAGATGAATTAATAAATTCAGCTCACAAATCACAATAACTAAACACTATTAAGTCCAGCAAAAAGTAGCTATCCTAATATCGATTAGTAATTCAACACTTGTAAGTGACAATAATGACACTAATTAGTGGAGCAGATAATTAGTCTTCGAGTGCTCAACCAATTATGAAGTTTTTATAATAGCAATCGTCTCTAGAGTGATTGGATAATACACATCTGTCACATCGTGATCTGAATCCATCAGGTTTGGACTGCGATTGTGAAGGAGCATCCCTAGGTTTCCTGGAGTAGACTTTATTTACAGGAGTAGTCGTACTGGTACTATTGTTGTTATCCCTTTTATTCATATCTTTGGCATTTTGCCTGGCTGCTTCTTCTGCTTTGACAAGTCTAACTGATTCATGATAATCTTTATTTTCATACAAAAATTTCTTCTGAATACTAGTGTTTAGCAAACCACAAATAAAGCTGTCCTTCAGATTTTCTTCCAAAGTTCTAGCAGTAAATTCACAATAGGTTGCCATATGATTCAATTCCTTGACGTAATCTGTTATGGACTGTCCTTCCTTTTGTTTAAAATTGTGAAATTTGAAACGTTCTGTGACTGGAATCTTGGACGATTTGTAATGTTCGTTTAGTAACGTACTCAATTCATCATATGATTTCACGTGAGGAGCTGCAGGAAAACATAAATCAGTCAAGACTTGAAATGGCGTCCCTCCAATACTACTTAAAAGTATTGCACGTCGTTTAGCGGCATTGGCTCTCGTATTTTCAACATCGTTGGCAATGAAAAATTGGTCCAATCTTGCTATGTAACAGGAAATGTCGCCATCTTTGACATCGAATTCCTCGTACAGTGTTCCTTTTAATGCCATTTTGACCGTTAAAAAGTTGAGTATCGTACGTTAAAATGTTTTCAAAACGTTCTCAAACCTCCTATTTATCTCTCGTCGCCAATGTCACGTTTAATTGTTGTGGACATAGAGTGTAAGGACTCATTTATTTGGCATAATAATATACATGTGCTATTACTAAATGGCGGCTTACATTACAAGAAATTACGTCACTAAGAAATGCGTGTCACGTGACTAGCTAGTGTACTGTATGGAAAGCAATCTCCGACTAAATATCATATGCGTGCTCTAGTCACAGCATTAGAGTAAATACATCACATTATACACTGTGCATATTGTACTAAAATGTATTTCATTTTGGAGAGCCGTGTATTTGTTTAGCTAACCAGGTCAAATTCCTGCATTTTTTTTTATAAACGGTTAGCTGAGATTGAGCTCCATGCAAATATTAAGACGAACTTGCCCCTGAACCTTGCAACCTCTGAATACCAAAAAGACAATAAATACTGTAGGGAGTTATATTTTTCAGAATGTGAAAGAAACTACTTATAGGTTTTTCCAAAAGCAATATGGGAAATAGACCAGGACACCAACACAGAGAATCACCGTATCCAGGTCCATCTCCAGATTATAGGTTCATTAACCTAGAAATCGGTGCCGGACAAGAAATGATGTCAAGAAATGTAGAAGCTTTAGCACGACATTACAATGAAAATTTTAGACTTTTATGTTTAAACAAAACATTATCTCAGACACATTCTGGTATGGTTTCTCCAACTATCAAAGTTCCTAATCAAGCTATTAACATTTACCGTTCTCCGAACCCAAATGAAGTCTGGAGACTCCAAATTGAAAAGTCGGTTATAGAAAGTTGCAGAACGTTACAGGCTTCTTCACAACTAATCAAAACTATGTCAACAATGTCTGAACAAGGTGGGAGATTGATTTGTATTGAAGAAACTGTACAACAAGTCGCTCACGGTACCTCCGGTGGATCACGAGGCTGTAAGTTTTATTCCTCTTTAATTGTTCTGTTGGTTGTCTAACCGCTAACCTTCAACTTTATCTATTTTTAAGCAGATGATGGAGACATTGGTTTATGGTTTATCATGTAATCATGAAAGGATTACGAGCCTTATTTTTGTGTCCTATGCAATTGTACGTTTGAGTAGAAGGGTTCCACTGCTGAATTTCAGTGGGGACGTCTATACGACATCCTGGATAAAACTCCTATAATTGATGTATTTGATATGAATCGTATGTTTTAGCACGATATACTTGTATTTAGATAACAATTTCGTTTCGTTATTATTTTTTGTCGGTCTCCATAGAAATCTAACGAGATTTATACCAGGGTCACGTACTGGTGACGTTTCAAGCTATTTCATTGGTTGAAATGAACGTAAACGGTAGGTCCTACACTATGTTGGTATAAATCTTTTTAGATAACTATATGGAGTCCGACCGAAAGTTATAAAGAAATTGTTATTTAATTTCAAGTAGATTGGTGTTAGCATATCCACTGATTTTGATTTTTGACTAGTAATATTTAAATATGTTTTACCTATGCTCGATATGTTAACTGTACCCCGCGTATTCCTGTCTTCATAGATCAAAATGCTTAAATCTGGGACACTTACTTCATATATTTTAATGAGCAAAATACGACCAGTTTCACTATGAATTCGCATGATTTTGGTGCCACGGAGCCAAACGGTTTTTCTGTTTTTCAGCCATTGGTGTTGATGTGTTCTTTGATATGCCAACTCACCCAAATCCACATATATACGAGTACCATCTTCAACCTATACCAATGGAAATAAAAGCAGGTTCTGGTGAAACTGTGTGCAGTGAATGGGCCTCATTTTTAGAAATGAACTTGTGGCAAGGATTGCGATTGGTTGATATATTCATTGACAAAAGTAATGTCGCTGATACTATTTGGTTTTTTGAAACGATTGATCCTAAGACGGATGGTATTACACCAATGTACGAAGGAACTGTTGTTGATCACTGTATTACATTGCAGGATGGATTCTCTGCTTCCTGTGGTTTAGAATTTAGAATTTAGATTCTTGAAATGGCATCTCAAGGATGGGAATTGGCTTGTACTCTTAGGACAGCAGAAGAACGTGGAACTGGGGTTTCTATGGCCAAAATAAAATTCCTAATTTTCTTTCAAAGAAACATATATCCATAGCCAGCACCAAAGGCTTACGTTTTTTTAAGATGCCTCGGGCACCACTCTAGACAAGAATTCCTTCAAAAGTAGTAACATTATATAGTAACATTAATAACTTTAAAACTCACTAAAGAAAAAAACAATTTTGATCCAAACCGCTGCTGTCTAAGACCAATAATATACATGTATATGATTTGAATTATGATTTAAGATATCGTCTGAACAGTGACGTTTCCATATATCCAGGGGCGGCGATCCATTTTGCAAACAGAGGGGGTGGGGGGGGGGGAGGGGACACATCTTTTAGGGGTACTGGTCGAAGGGGGGAGGGGGGGGGGGCAAGAGGAGGAGCGTATCGCAGATATAGTTTTGGGTCAGTTTGTACGATAAGGGGACTGTTTTTTGAAGATTGAAAAGAAATAAACATTAACATTAGTTATTATTCCCTAATTGTTCAAACTATTTTGAACTACCTGCTACCTGCAAATATCGATACCCAGATAATGTCAGAGATTATCGTCGGCCGATATCCTTATCGATGTATACCACGATGATCGATTATATTTATTTATCGATTTATTATTGACTATTATTAACTATTGGGTTAAATTGAATGAATGAAGTGCATATGAGGTCCAGGTCAATTGTATGAATGAATTGAATTTTTATTAATGGGGGCACGGTTGGGTAATTGTCAACAATATGTGCATTTGTTTAATACACTTTTCATAGCAGACCTACCATCATGTCCAAACCACACCCCCATTCGTCATAATTCCTCGAGACCTTGGTAATACAAGTGAGAAAAATTACGTATTCATAGCTAAATAATGTCCAATCAAACTGGCCCCTACTGTCTTGGTAATAAAATTTCAACCAATCAAAACAAATCACTCGTTAAGACAAAACGAAAGCAGCGTGTCATTACATATTTTGATTAATATGTGTCATAGTATTACCTAATAATATCTATAATATAGAATAACCCAATTTACCACCCCTTCAAACTATTATAATCTTTAAATGACATTTAGAAGTAGGTAGAACATTCAGCAAAATTAAATTACAGGAGTAGTATATCCATAATAGTTTTCCTTGCTGAATATAGTATTATAATAGACTATTCCATGTATATATTGTCATGCACTATTCTGTATACTCTCTCTCTATTACATCACTCACCAATAAACATCCCTATACCATGTGTTATCCTTCTGCATACCACATGGTTGCTGCAATGGTTTGATAACCACCAAAAGTCATTACAATATGAACTGTATAAATTCAGTCAGATTTTCGGTAAAGAATTGAAACTGAGAGAAATTCAAACCTTACTTTGGAATGTTTATTTGGAAAGAATGTGTTCTTGTATGTTCTACCGATCTGATTGGTCAGATGCAAATAGCAACAATCTCATGTCCATGCCCAAAAAATGAAGTGTAGTGGGCTTAGTTTAATACGTGTTAATAAGACTATTTCAAAACCCGTAGTGATACGATGCAGACCTACTTAAATTGAATAGTTTGTAATATTTGACTTGTTAAAAATTATTTCCACAAAACGATGCATTTCTCACATTCCTCACGATCATTATAATTGTAGAGCTACTGTTCGAACAAATATTCCTGTCATACCATGGTAGCTTTAATTACATACAGTTAACCATAGAACTGTATAGTATACACGACACTGCAGTTAACTTTACATCTTTAACTTTATATAGACTCACTCCACTAATTCATTTGTCATCTCTTCCCATGTTAAAAGACGACATTCAACCTTCTACAACTTTTTCCAGAAATCTCGTTGAAAGCTTTCCAATATGTCAAATGAAAGCCTGACCAATCCTCAATGTCTCCTAAAAAATTCAATATATGATGACCATGAAAATTTTGAGCTACTAAAATAGAAAGTAGACTACTACCGGTTATGCTCATCCGCTAGAGTTTGGCAGTTCACAAAACGACTTTTTTTAGAATTAGCCTTAGGCCTTTAGGTCTCTCATCATCTCACCAAATCTTAAAGATAATGCAATTTCAGACATCAAATTCCAAATCTAGACCATAAATTACCCCAAATATAGGCATGCAAAAACCCCAAAAGGGAGAGAGAAAGAAGATTTCTAAAATAGCCACAATCATTTGCATAAAATGTTTTAGTGGAGTGAGTCATATATCACTGTGGTCTGATTAAAAAGAGTTATGTCCCGTATGTTTTTATTTCAAAATAGGTCGATAGATTGGCAACTGGTCAGGTAAGAAATAATATTTTGTTGGATGTCTATGATAATTTCTTCACGAATTTCATTTCGCATGAGGTTCATGTACCGCAACATTACATACTTTTTCATGTTAACGAATAAAGATCGTTTCATTTGTCAGGGTACATTGTTCTAATGAACATAGTCGAGATTAGTAGGATTTAATCTTTAGGATGCAGACTGAGGCTTTCGTTGTCATGATTATCCAGACCTCTATTCAACTATCTTGTTGACATCGATGATGGTACTTAATACAATGACAATGTATTTACTCTCATTACACGCAACAATTACTTTATATTATGTTATGTACACAATGATATCAACAACATATTGGGAAAGATTTATTTGTGACACAATATCTCGTGTTATGTTGCGCAATCATGGATATTCTTAGTCCGAAATATGCTAACTTTTATCAAGCTCTTTTGAATATAATGTAATCTCAATTCTTATGATTTTCAAGTCACCTACATATACAGTCAAGTAACCTAATTTCGTGGAAACCTATTATTCGTGGATTTCCGGAAATGTACATGTATTAATTTGAGTCTATTTCGGACTAGGTTATTCGTTGACATTAACAAACCAGGGAGGATTTTTCTTATTGGTTGAATGATTGGACTGTTAGTTTGTAGCCTTGACGGACTAATGTATATATCTTACTAAAATTGACATTAATTTAACCTAAGATTTGTAAGGTAAGTTGATTTTTTACAAGTTGTCCTAATTTGCAAACATAGATAAGCCACACACAATGTTGTCAAAAAGATTTCACGGTCAGGAAACATTCCAACTTGAAATTATTAGGTATAAAAACTCTCCGAAAACGGCGTGTCAATAACTAGTCACAAAGTGTAAACAGGTATTTAGGAAGGGTGAGCATGTCCTGCTTCGTTAGCGACCGTGACACAGTATACCGAGTGAACTGGAGCCATTTAACGCTTCATTCAATGAGGCATTGATCGACGAATGCGACGAGTTAGGGAAGGGGGTGGTATTGAGTCTATATTGAATATCGACTTTCTGAAGTAGATTTCAGATACATGTAAACTCTAAACCCTACTCATCATACTTATTTCAATACCAGCTGATAAGGGTATTCTTTTAATTATTAATATTTACTTTACTTGGTTAGTCCTTTAATTATTAATAAATTATTTACTTTACCAGCTGATTGGGTTAGTCCTTTAATTCACAATTATTAACCTACCAGCTGATAGGATTATTACCTATATTATTAATATTTACCTTACCATCAGATTGAGTTGGTTCTTTAATTATATTTACCTTACTAGTTTATCAGTTGATATGGTTAACCCTTTCATTATTAATATTTACTTTACCAGCTGATAGGGTTAGTCTTTTAACTATTAATATTTACTTTACTTATATGGTTAAATTTACATTCTAGACGAATCAGAAATTGTTTTTATACTACGTGGTTGGCTGAGATAAAGTTCCATAGGATGACCAAGCAAATATTTAGACTTATATTTTCACTATAGTAAGTTTTATATTTTTCAGATCGTGTTTATAGGTATTTTTAAAAACAAGATGGGCAATTCTTCAGGACACCACCAAGGAGGCCAGGTTATTAATAAACATGATCCAAACCAACCACAAGCTCAACCACCACCAAGAGAACCACCATACCCAGGTCCATCTCCAGATTATAGGTTCATCAACCTAGAAATCTCCAACACAGCAAAATACAGTTTTGGTGGTGCAGGACAAGAAATGATGTCAAGCAATGTAGACTCGTTTTATCCCATGTTATCACAACATTACCATGAAAATTTTAGACTGTTATCTTTTTACAAAACTCCATCTCAGACACATTCTGGTATGTTTAATCCAACTATCAAAGTACCTTATCAAGCTATTTATTACCGTTATCCGTACCAGAATGAAGGATGGAGACTCCAAATTGAGAAGTCGGTTTTAGAACCCAGAAGAACATATAATTATAGTTTCTTGAGCTCCGAAGGACATGGGATGGTGGCGGATTCTTCACAACTAATCCAAGCTATATCAAGACACTCGTCACAAGGTGGGAGATTGATTTGTATGGAAGAAACTGGACAGCAAGTTGCTCAAGGTTTCTCAGGTGGATTACAAGGTCGTTTACCATGTAAGTGCCTTCCTCATTATTCTTTTGAGTAGGTCAGTCTCAGGGTGTCAGAGATTGTTCTGTTGTTCAATGTTTCACCGCCACCCTTTCACCTTAGACCCCACCCCGTCACGGTCGAATAGATGATGCTCACATTGGTATGTGTTTTATCATACTGTACGCGAGATGGGTTTAAGGGTAATACATCTGTCATGACCGTTACCGTTTACGTCTCCTCTAGTAGGGAGAGTTCCGTGTAAACTGCGTCATTTCATTCGGAACTGACTCTGACATAGTAGGCTACTCTCATTATTTTTTCATATATTTTTGGTGCCATGCCAATTGCTTTCATTATGTTTTTTATTTCTTCTTTTTTTCAGCCATTGGTGTTGACGTGTTCTTTGATATGCCAACCCACCCTAATCCACAGATATACACGTACCAAATTATATCAGTACCAATGGAAGTAAGGGCAGGTTTTGGTGGTCAAACTGTTTTTTGTGATTGGGCCTCACATTTAGGTCAGTTCTTATGTCAAGGATGGCGTTTAGTTGAAATTTTCGTGGACAATAGTCAAGTTGCTGGTAGGGGATTTTCCATGACAGCATATGCCAATACCATTTGGTTTTTTGAAAAGCCTCTTTCTAAGATGAATGATACGACACCAGTCTATCAAGGAACCTTTATTGACCACTTCGTAACTTTGCATGGTGGATTCTCTGGTGTTACTGCTAATTGTGGTTGGGAACAGAAGATTCTTGAAATGGCATCTCAAGGATGGGAATTGGCTTGTATTCTCAGAACCCCAGAACAACGTGGAACTGGAATTGCTAGGGCCGAAATAAAATTCATACTTTTCTTTCAAAGAAATTTAGTCCAACAGTCTGCGCCAAACACAGCCTATGGCTTTGAGTCGGCTGGGGCACCACCCCCATATGAATCAGTTGGAAAGTAGTGACATTAATATAACCTTATAACGTAAAAAAAAACCAAACCTAACTCGATTTTTACCACTGCTAACAAAGCCAGAGAAAGGGCAACAACCTAATTTGTGAGACAGATATCATCTTTTTATCGATGAAGTGATGCTTAATATTTAGGATGATATACATTTTCCCTAAGAGGATAAGAAGGGTGCGCATTACATTCGGAATTATACGGTATATTGTTCTTCATAATGCATAATTTATCTGTCAGGGCGTAAGTTACCTTGTCTGACAACGTATCTTATTTCAAAAGCTGATATAGATAGAGGAATGATATACATGTACTCATATAATTATACTACATGAACATTACTACAATAATCATTATGTTACAAAATGTATTATTGCTGCCAGAAGTTTGCAAATAAAACTACTTTATTTCAATGGGAACTTTAATTTTATGGACAATTCCTGAAGAAATACATCAATTTGTGTCTGTTCATCGAAACTTCAACCACCAACGACCAATTGCTTTCTCTGGGATAGGACTACTCATTTTATATTCACTTTTATTGTCAGCACTTAACAGTGTTTCATTTTTATGCATTTTATGCTCCACGAAAAACTTTCAGATTGTACTATTAGAATTCTATTTGATACTACGCTTGAGGCTTTGGCTCATGTAAGGGAATACCTTGATAAATTTCATTGTATACCCTTGTATATGAAAGTAGGTGCAAAATTCCGATGCTTTATATTTTTCGGAATATAAGAGATTTCTGATTCTCATGTGCGTTGTAAATTCGTTTCAAAAGTTCGATACGACCAATAATTCACAGATAGCTATCCCCGAGAAGAAGGAAATGTTAAATTCTTCTATCAAGTTGCATCAAACGCATAATGTTTATATACTGCCCAATAAACAATATTTAAAACAACAAATACAGCGGGGAAAGCTATTCTGGCTACTTTATCCATCTGTCTGGCTTGGTATAGGGGACTATCCTTTCTCACACTCGCCAATGGTTTTATCTCCTGAAATAAGTTGATAAAAATTTGACTAATCTATCAAACAAATGCGAAATAACATTATGAAAAAAGAAAACCCTGAAAATGATGCCGAATTGACAAACTCAGTCGCACAGTGGAATCGTGTATTCCAGAAGATTAAAAATGTAGCCTACTTCTTTACTACAGCAAATCAGCTACAGTAATTATTGTACTGGATAACTCGTATCATGTTCCAGGGGTTGCTTAGTTGTGGTAGATATTGGTGTCCACCTATACCCCCAGAAATAGTCGGTTAGTGTTTCTGCTCTTTCAGGATTACTACGTAATTATCTCAACCGTAGCTTGGAATCAAAAACTAATTCTATGGAAAAGGTCTTCAGTAATTTTGATTAAACATCTCACCTCTTCAATACCTACTTTACTTTTCTCCATCTGAATTCTTTTCGCTCTTTTTCTTGTCATTACATTAACGTAAGCAAATTCTAACAGAGACGCAAACACAAAAAATAAACACATTGCCATCCAAACATCTATAGCTTTAACATATGACACTTTGGGTAGCGAGGACTGAGCGCCGGAGCTCTGAGTAGTCATTGTTAAAACAGTCAATACACCTAATGAGATACGAGCTGGTACTGCCTCAACATCTATCCAGAATGATATCCACGATAAGATAACTATCAGCATACTGGGAATATAAACTTGGACAATAAAATAACCAATAGCTCTATCTAATTTAAAATTAGCTCGTATACAGGCGAAATTTTCTGAAAAAAGAAAACATTTTAGGTATGAGTTTGAAGCACATTTTAAATCACCTTACATCTCACAATGTTACATTCTAATATTATACGTAATGGCTGTCAGGTAAATCTAGAAGCATCTGTCTTTTATTGTCTCAATATTTCATTCAACAAAAAAGTCAGGACGTCTTCTTTCCGATCATCTGATTTCATAACCATATGCGGCATATAAAAGCAGCACTATACAGTACTACTACAGCAAAGGATGACATTCCTTGTCTATCCGATAAAACACATCAGCACCCGTACCATACTTACTTTCAAATAAATCAAGACAATCTTCAGTATAAAAGCCATTAATATAAAATGTAGGTAATGTTAAATCATTAGGTATAGTAATTGGATTAATATCAGACCATTGAAATACCACATTATCTTTTGTATAGGCATCTAAAAGTATTATAAAAGAAGCTTATACAAGGCAACCAAATAAGGGAATTAACGGTGACATTGCTGTTTTCTCCTCGGAACATTTTAGAGTCTGTTTCAGATCATCTAGTTAAACCTTATTTAGCGTCATGGCTGATCATTATCACCACATGAAAGAAAGCTGAAATTGGTCAATGTAGAAAACTAAACGACAACACCCTGTTAAGGCTGCGAACAACTACAGTCATGCTTCAACCAACAGTCAACCTTATTCAGCTGGATTCTTTAATGAAAAGACAGTATAAATTCATCCCAAAACATCTTAAACATCTTTCACCTCAAATCAATACCAAAGCTGCTGTTTACCATTACATTGATCACATTTGTTTTTGCAAATCATTATATAAATGATGATTTATTACAAAACCACTATAGTAAAGTAATAGATTGATTGATGAAATGGGAAACAACTCAGTAACCATGAAAAAAATATAACTTACAACTCTGTAAAACTATAGGACATTCTTGACTATCAAGAGGATATTCTACTAAATTCATTGAACAACCCAACGTTAGCGACAATCTGAAAGGTAAACCATAGTTGAGGCATTTAGTTCATACCATGCTAAATCTCGCAAAATCTTATTTGATATAAAGTAAAGTTTACCACATTCCCAATAAACCATGTTCAAAATTTCTAGACTAACATCAGTCGATAACCGATAATAAATATATATCAGAGGTTGGTTAAGTCAGAGAGTTTCCAACCTAACTGACAAGATGACAACGTTGTTTATGTGTTTTAAATTTCAATTAGATTGGCGAGTTTCGGGCTAAATCTCAGCTAGTGAAAGCAACCCCACCCCCTCAAGTTAGCCTTTATGATAGATTCTCGTTACAGTACTATACTCAATGTCCATCGGATGTCCATAAAAACTTAACAGTATTTACGGTGATCAAAATGCTACATTTATACAGAATATATGATATAAAGAATTTGATTTCTGTGTGAGAAAAATCAAAGGGATTCAGTACGAAATTGCATGTTATTATTCAGATTATAAGTTTGTAAAGTTATCCCAGCAGAATCCCAAATGGTCACCTTAACCTGTAGAATTGATATCACTGGTAGTAAATATTACAATAACGACTACCACGAGATTTTTATTTACATTTTTATTCATGACTATAATTTCCCTAACCGATCGTTTTACTGGAAGAAATCATAAATTGAGAACTAGTTGTAATACGTAATATAAAATACAGACTTTGTTCAAAATATGTGAATAAATCCATACCATGTGCGATATCAAAACCACAACATAAACACAACCAAGATTTTTATTTTTTTCTGTGATTTCTATGTTGTAGAAGGAATCACAAAAGTCCGGATAGGTTTTAACAATCAAATGCTAAATGACCGCTCCAAATACTTGGTTGAAATGGATCAAATTACTAAATGTATTAAGAGCTATCACTGTGTTCGACACATTATCAGTTCTCTGCGTTCGAAATGGAATCACGACAATTTGGATCACTTCGACAAAGCTTGAGAGGAGGAAAAGTCACGTTTCAAACTGCTTATTTGACAATGCTCTTTATATTCGTCTATAATAGTTTCTTTGTTTAATTCTAAAAATGATATATTCAATGCCAGAATCAGTGTTGGTATAATACATGCAGATTGCCTAGAATCTTCTCTGTCCATTATATGAATATAACTTTATTCATTGAATTAGAGAGGCAATTGAATAATGTAAGACTAAACTATGTAAATAACCCTCGACAATATTACCAAACACGCTCAGAAAATAATTCCGGTGGAATAATAATTTATTTATGTTCCATTGATATATGGCCTAGATAGAGCCATAACACCTAAATTATTTATCTCAAATAACCATTATCATTTAACCGGAAATAAAAGGAAGGTCGGACTTCATCTAATACCTTGACTACAATAGCCACCTTTCTTGTATAACGGACTGTACCGATTTCAATGGATTGTACGCCAGCGAAGACAGTCAATCATAGCCGACAGATAGATTGTAAACATTAAGGATTATTGTTTACAGAAGACTCCGATATCTATTGCTAACGTACAATCCAACCAAATCAATACATTTAAAACTGATATCAGAAAGGTGGCTATTGTAGTCAAGGTATAATTAGACGAGTTTGTAATAGGTTAACGCGGTGAAGATGGTCGGAGGGTTTATAGCTTTCCATTTTGTTTATTCAATAACACAGTATCTATATATATATAGCTCCTTCCTACCCACACCACTCTGTCACCTTTACTTTCGGTTGTCTGTCCAAGGGATAAGGTTTTGCAAACCATATAATAAAAAAAACCGGATAAACATATAGGAGTAAAGGTTAACTGACATTTAATCCCAGCTTAAATTTGAATGAATAATAACATCAAGTTATTCAACTAATGAATAAAGATGACTTACTTTAAGCTGTAGTTAATAGTGCCATCTTTATGTATATGTACCAGTCGGTTTGGCACTGTGACATTATGGAATGATGAACCTTTTTCGTTTCTGAAGAATGTATCAGGAACCCAGACATCACTAATCCTTCTAGTATCTAGTTCTAACCAATCCGATTTATTATAATCTGGAAATTGTAAACGGCTATCCACCCATTTCTGTCTCAGATAGATGGTTATGGTGTAATCCTAGAAATAAAAAGGCGATTAAATCAGGCTTATACTTAATCGAATGAAGTTGATGTCCAATTTATCTCATATCTCAGAAACAGGCTATGTTACAGAATATTTTTCTCATTTCGCTAATTCTGTGGAACCGTAGGGGAATAGATGCAGATGGCATTCGGACTTTTCAACAATAGACCCATGCTATTTGGATGTAAAAAAACCCTCATTACATAAATTTTACATAATTCCTTAAAATTAATTTATTTAAATCGTAGTCATTATTTCAGGCAAGAAATATATAGTTTTGTTTCGATCAATCATATTTTCCTGGTGGTGTTCACTTAAGCTGTCTAAGAGATTTGGTTTAAATATTGATAGATCTTTTAGTCTGACTAAAGCCTGTTGATGAATAAACTTTGTAAAATTGCCAATCTTCATGATTTATGGATCGACTAATAGTATACTGAAGCTAAAGTGCCTCTAAATTGACAGCTAAGATTACGTCTATAAAATCTGTTTCCAAGCGATTTAAAACAGACTTTTAACAGAACACGCTCATTTCCAGAGCAGAACAACATCGGTTTCCTGCCAAATTATTAGTGTTGTGTTATAAATATTTCAATTAAGTTGACAATGGCTGTAGTTTTATATCTATGTTTGTCTCGAGGAAATGACTTGATTTGTATTCCCAGACGATTTGAGGTGAAAAAAAAACCCCATAAAATCTATAATAAAGCAACATATATCAAACATCAATTTTAATTACTACTGTCAGCCTAAACAACCGTTCTGATTGATTTGTATGGGCCACGAAACAAAAACAAGATAGCTTGCCAGGCAAGATAACATACGCCCACCACCAGCTGTCAGAAATGATAAAGTCATCAATGACTTAAAAATACATTTTCTCATAATCTTAATAATATTTTTAAAAAACAAGGCAATAGCTAAAAACATGTTATCAAATTATCATCAAATTCAAATATGGACAATATGTCTTATCAACATACACATTTATTTCGAATTGCATTAAAATTGCATTAACACCTCAGTTTCTACGATCTTTACAGACCAAACTTGACACCCTTAAATAGTGCAATTCTTTAAGAAAAACAAAATATCGTCAATTTCAAACTTAAATAAGATCTTATCACAAATATTCTCAAAAGTGCTCTTTGGGTTGTAACAAAATTCAAATCTAAACAAGATATAATAAATATACATTTATACCCAGTTTCACCAAGATCGAACAAAAACTTGAGCCTCTATCGTGCCTTGAAGGCAAATTGGCACGTTTTCATTAAGTCAAGGGAAATAAGGCTAAAATCATTCTTCCGATAATTACCACATTCGTCTACGAGCCAAATTTGACGCTTTTTTACTAAGTTAAGCTAAAAATTCAAAAACCGTTCATCCCATTAATACCAAATTCGAACTTGACTGAGATCTCATCAATATATACATGTATATCAAATATCACTAAGATTGGATTATAACTGTAGCCTCTATCGTGTCTAGAAGAAATGTGAACGGGCGGACGGATAGGGGCGACGGGGCAACGGCGATATACGTCCACATTCACGTGGCCATACAAACATCGTAATAGGCCTACAGATGACGATAGTTACATCGTGCCAGATATTACACACTGGGACATTAGCTATGTGGAATCGGGTGTTCCAGAAAGTATTTTTAAAAAGGATTAAACAGAAGTTATCTCATTTAGATGAGAATGACTTAAAAGTATCTTTTAATTCCTTGAAGATCTCAACTATTATTGAAATATGATATAATTCCCACTGCATTCAGAAAACAATCTTCCCTATTGTCAATATATGTCTCTATACATCTCATATGAATATTTAATTATGAGACAAATAAAAAGATAACATTGTTTCAGCAAGGCGTATTGATTATAACAACAATTGAAGGTGCTTTATCAACAATATTGATTTAAAAAGAAACATGACATAATTATTTTCTTCTATAATTATACTATATTGAAATGAATGCCGGATTGTGGAAGCAAAATTAGCCATCCATTGAGGTAAGCGTGCTTTGTCTCGATAGCAACACGATTTCGTATAGCAGTGAAACTTACATTATACTAGTATTATACTTATTAAATATGAAATATTCCTTTGATGGCAAACAAGGACATGAGTCAGATGAGTGGTGTCTCAATAAGTTTTCTCTATAAGCCAAAAAAAAATCTTACCATTGTAGCTTCGCTTATGGTATCAAAACTTAGTAAATATACTTGCAACGTCACTTTTGTTGCAAAATCTGAAAAAGTAATATGCATTTCATCGATATGATTTCAAAACCATTCGTTCTATCAAGTAGGTTATACTAACAGCTAAACTAGAAATTGGAGTAATTCTTAAAAGATCTCATTGATTGAAAATTTTCTTTTTGACAAGAGACTATCTTATTTGCTGAAAGATCTTAATACAGATTGGCGAATTTGTTTTCAATCTGGCCATAGAAACCGTTATTGTACAATCTGCTAGTTACTTGGAAACTATGTTATGTCATGCTTTAGAATTGATCTGAAATCAATAGTTTCAAAGTTTCCACTGAAATCAGTGAGTTGGTATCAGTTCTATTCAGGATGTCTGCTTTATGGACATGGCCAATTCTATCTTATAGATGCTAACTACGATGTCAACAATCACGGCAGGGTTTATCTTGTTAGGGTTAAAGGTTCAACTATTCTGGACATGGTTAATCTGATTGTCAATATCAAATTATTGTTTTGACAGAGGCTCAAGTAGCTCATTAACTTTCTTACAAATATGTTATTAAATTTCAGAGCTGTCTTTTGTTATCAAAATTAAGCACTATTGTTTAATCATGTATCAAGGTCTACTTCGTAATGCAAAGTTCCGAAATCTGCATGTAACTAATTTATTATTCCTTGAATGTAATCTGTCAAAATAATCAATTTCATTTCATTCCTCAAATCAAATTTGATAGCAAAATTATATGTTATATCACGTCAAAGACTCGAACCACTGGTTCACCATAGAGACCATATGATCCTATACCATCATTGTTCTAGGCTGTTTTCAGCTTCTAAACCGTCATTGGAATGCATGTATTGTAAGTCTGGCGTAGCAATCACCTAAATGACTAAATCTTGTAAGGGTGCTGGGAGACATTTTATCATATTGCTGACATTTTACTGCAATTATTATACACTTACCCTTTTCATAGTCTGGTGGAATTCTTGGATCGTAGGAATCGGATTTTAATAGATGGTTTAACATTTCTCTCCTGAAAAAAATCAGGGCAACAATTGAACAAAACATACAATAAAATGACCTCTTAACATATTTTGCATGCCTGTGTGTACATCCACTTTTACATTGCGTCGAGTCTAAAATTTATTGTGTTGTCTGGGAATAGATAACCTCTCTGAACTCTATGAGTTAACTCTATGAGTTATTAGAACTCTATGCGTTATTAGAAGTCTATTGATCGTCAATTGTTCAAAAACTTTCCACGATTAGCACGATTATCAGAACTGACATCGAGATATGCTATGATCACCATGATTAGTCCAAGATTAATACCACTATTCAAATTGTGTAGCACTTAAACTCTTGTTGTCAGCTTTTGATTTGCATCGTTTCACAGGGCCACAGGCTGTGGCATCAGAAATTCTGTTTTACATTGAAGTTAATTTGAAACTAACTCTAAATTATAACACTGGTTCCAGATTCTTGGATAAAACTATTAATCACCATTTAATTACTCAATTAGAATCTGTTGTGTGTGATTTTTTTTAGCATCTGTCACAATTTATGAATATTATCATTATTTTACCTGTTTATTTATGTTCTATTATTAATCTGCTATTATGTAAACTATTAAAAAGTGCGTACATTGTTCTCTTGTTTGACATTAAGGCAGTGTTCCTACTCGACATATTGACATATGATATTCTTCTGTTTTACTATAAATGTATATTACAAAATTGCTCTTGGTATGTTCTTCTGTAGGTCCTGAATCTGAGAAACCCCTCTCACTGAACGAGATACATGTAGACCATCAGACATCAACACTGCAAAACTAATTTCAGGCCATTGCTGCATTAAATTTTTATACATACTGATAGTTAGGAGTAACAGTCTAGAAAAGAATACTGTCGTTTATTCATTTAAACCAACCATGACACTTAAAATCCGACTTTTAGTTCGCCGACTTAAAGAGAAATCGACGACATTCTGGGTTTTCTGGGTTTCCCACAGTTTACTAATGAGATCATAATACTATCTGTGTTTCGATATTTAGAATCATCCATGGATTTGTATGACTTTGGAAGGTCTAGACCATTTTCACAATGTTCGTCGTTTGTATTAACTTAACATTGTGTACAGAGATCTGGACATCGAAATTGTTACATTCGTCCTTTGTAAATTCACAATTGAGAAGGTGAAAAATAGAGAAAAGGCTGTGAAAAGGGTGAGAAAGCGAGTGAGAAAAGACAACGATAAATGCGAGAAGGCGAGAACGATTATCATCGGATTATTCTCGCTTTCTAGCTTTTTCCTGTGGGGATTGACTTCTTGCCTCTTTCCTCTAAAAGTTGATTGGTCACAGCCGCCTTCCATAGATCATCTTCACAATGTCAAGCTCTTACGAACTTCGTTATTACCTTGATTACATTAGCCAATATTCTTGTATCAAAGAATGCGACGATTTGATTAGAATGTACGCTAGTGAATACAGCCAATCAGAGCTTTATGTTCACAGACTTCCTGTGGAGGCCTCTGCTTGGCTGTATTAGCTAGCATACAATCCAATCAAGTCGCTTCATGATACAAGAAAGGTGACTATTGAGGTCAATTTAAAAGACAATAGCTTGACATTGTGAAGATGTCCATAGATAAGAGACAACAATTTCACTTAACAATAAATGTGAACAGTTTTTTTTAAATTTTTCTTGATTTATAATAAATAATTTTGTATTCACAGAGATAAAAACTAGTTAGGAAAGCAATTAGCACCTATACAGAAACTAAATAGAAGATTCCCTGACTTCATGAAGGCCGTAAAAATACCTTAATAGAATTGATTGGTATCCCACGGGAAACAGGTCTTACACACTGGAAACGAAACTGAAAACATATTGAATTTATAATTCCCTGACGTATCCCTTGAGGAATTGTTAACCAATCTTAGCATTGATGTTTTAGAAAGTAATTAAAATTTAAAAACATTGTGGTTTATAGACAAAGTAACTTTCTATTAACAGTGTTGAATTGGAAAATTGTATTGTGTTAAATTTGTACACCGAGAAAAATATTTCTGCATGAAGCGTCTTGTGCCATTTCAAATTAATCATTTTTATAGTTTATTGGTGTATACGTTGCATGTGCAGAGGTATTACAGTTGAGTGGTACTATTTACGAGTAATAACGACACAGCATCATCTTCACAATGTCAAGGTATTACAAGGTATTCTGCTTTGACAATATTAGGCACATAATATATAATTAAAGGAAATTTTATAGCGAATAACGCCAATCAGAACCGTTGACAAATAGGCAGTAAACAATATGACTGAGTAACCACTCAGGGTTCTGATTGGTTGTATTCGCTACCGTTAAAATCTAATTACACTGCTGCACTTTCAAATATCTGTGATACAAGAAAGGTACTTAAATGATGTCAAGGTATAAGATGGAGTTCGTAATACCTTTACTTTGTGAAGATGATGACATATAAGACCCAAAACTTTAAAAATAGATGATTAAGTTATTGAAAAGGTTCACGTAATTTCATTACTCAGCTGCATCTGATAACAAGACTCGAAACAATGTATCTTTCATTCTATATGACAATTTGATATATTGCTCTGACAGCCAGCATTTGCCAATTTTCAGTCTTTCTGATGATATTTATAATAACTTGAGTTAACATACAAGCATCTTCACAATGTTAAAGGTATTACGAATTTTGGTCTTATACCTTGACTTCAATAAAATAATACTGTAAAAACTGATCTATATATTTACTTGTGATCTAATAAAAAGGAACGGCTAGGTTCGTGTGTAAGTTGAATCTTAATTAGGTTTGAATTGATTTTTAACGGAATCGGTAGATAATTGACAATCTGTAGAGTAAATACGATAGAATGGCCATTCATATAGTGATCTGAGTTACTGTTTTCAGTATTTTAGTAATCTGGTTTTAAAACGTTTGGAGTGTTATTAAAAACAATTTCAAATGGTCAAAAAAGAGAAACCACACAACATAAGGTACACATGATAATAGCCAAACAAAATAGACAACACATTATGACATACACAGTTGCAAGGAAACATAACTATTAAACCATCAAAGCAAAGATGGATCGCACGACTTCGTTTTCTGTTGCCCAGTTCAAAACATAATGACGCTATTAATGCTGCAATTGATATGAAATACAATCTTTAATTCAAAACTCGCTCCATTATGTCTAACTTTGCACTCATTGCCATTAGTTTAAGGAAACGGGAAACGAATCAAAATATGGAGAACTGTGTTTAAATCAGATTTGCATATAAGCTGTTCATATTCACATCAAAGCAATGGAGATCATGAGAACGAATCAATTATTTGAAACCAGTTGATGAAAGTTTAATCAAAGGGGTAAAACTGGAATAGAATTAGTTCAGATCAATACTTTTACTGTAATATTTCGTGATGATTGACACTTACTGTTGAAGAGTTTAAAAAGCACAGCCATCAAGTTAAAAAAGACTGATACGTAACAGATAGTTTTATGTCTTGATAAGTGTTGAAGAGTTAAAGGACAGCCAAGTTAAACAAGACTGATACGTTACAGACAAGGTTAGTGTTGAAGAGTTTAAAAAAAGACAGCCAAGTTAACACAGATAGACTGATACGTAACAGACAGTTTTATGTCTTGATAAGTGTTGAAGAGTTAAAGGACAGACAAATTAAAAAAGACTGATACGTTACAGACAAGGTTAGTGTTGAAGAGTTTAAAAAAAGACAGCCAAGTTAACACAGATAGACTGATACGTAACAGACAGTTTTATGTCTTGATAAGTGTTGAAGAGTTAAAGGACAGCCAAATTAAAAAAGACTGATACGTTACAGACAAGGTTAGTGTTGAAGAGTTTAAAAAAAGACAGCCAAGTTAACATAGATTTGTTAGAAATAGAAATATCTATCCAACCACTTCTTTCACACTCCCCAAAAGTAGCCATTGCCTAGTTCACATTCTTATGTTGCATTGTTAAGTAGAATTTACAT